AAATTATCAATATTCCGGATCAGAATCCTTTGATACTTTTGTTTTTGTGTCCTTGTTAATGTATATGATTCATAACTGATATGTACTGTATATATATAATATTATATTATATAAACAATATGTGAGTGTAAAAAAGACAAAATGTAAATGTTGATTTGGTGTGTGATATGTCTTAATTCATAAGTCCCAATAAAGACAGTGCCTTAATCTACGGTTAGGTGGTTCTGCTCACCATACTCTCTTGTCTCAACTCTTTCTTTTTCCCTTTCCTATCTTCTTTCACATCAATCTTTCTCTTTTCTTTAATAAGACAATCTCTCACATCTCTTATTTTTATTTCTTTTAAGTATAAACAAGTACTTTTGATCAACTGACCAATCTTCTAATTCTAAAAATCATTAAATTCCAAGAAGACCGGGCCGATTAACTCTGGTTTGGTTACAATCAAATTGGATGCTTCATAAATTAGTCAAAATTGCCTTTTCAGTTTCACAAATTCGTCGCATTATATATATATAAAAAAATTATATGGAATGAGTAAAGTATACGTGAAATTGAAATTATAATAAAATTACGATATAAATAATTATTAAAAATAATATATGTGAAATCTAGTCGAGATATAAAAGTAAACAAACAAACAGTATAAATGACAGGAGCCAAGTACAAAAGGTCAACTATGTATGATTTTTTAAAAAAATGTAATTCAAAATTAAATTAGATAAATCAAATCAGCCCCCACTGGGACACAGAAAGTAAAACTCAAATCAGCCCCACAAACATTAAAAACTCCATTAAAGACCAATATAAGAGGGCACAAGAGGTCCACTCCAAACTTCAATTTAAGTCACAGTTCCGAGAAATTCTGTAATTTTCATCTAAAGAAATGAAGTCAATCTTATCCAGCTCTTCTCTCGACTCATCGTTCTCTCTCTCTAAACGTTACTTCAACTGGAAGAAGAAGAAGGTTCAAGAAGAAGACGAAGAGGAAGACGAAGAAGAAGAAGACGATCACAACAGCAACGAAGAAAAGATCTTGACCCGTTTCAACTTTTCCTCCGACCCTACCCGACCCGATCAGCTCAATACCCAACAGATGATGAAGAAGAAGAAGAAAAAGACTATGGAAAGGATCCGTTATGCGCTCGGGTTCACTAATTCGGGTCTGGGTTTCCGGGTCGTTGGTACTTTATTCGGGAACCGTCGTGGACACGTGTTTTTCGCCGTACAGGATGATCCGACCCGTTTACCTGCGGTTTTGATCCAGTTACCGACTCCGACGAGCGTTCTCGTCAAGGAAATGGCTTCGGGTCTCGTGAGGATCGCGCTCGAAACGGCGGCGTTTAAGACGGATTCGAAGAAGCTTCTAGAAGAGTCCACGTGGCGGACGTACTGTAACGGCAAAAAGTGCGGTTACGCGGCGAGGAAAGAGTGTGGAGAGGCGGAATGGAGAGTGTTGAAGGCGGTGGGGCCCATAACTATGGGTGCCGGAGTTTTACCGGCGACGGAAGAAGGGAATGAAGCGGTGGGGTCCGAGAAAGGTGAGCTCATGTACATGAGAGCCCGGTTCGAGCGGGTTATCGGGTCGAGAGACTCGGAAGCCTTTTACATGATGAATCCTGATGGGTCTAGTGGTGGGCCTGAGCTTAGTGTGTATTTTCTAAGGGTTTAAGGGGAAAAAAACAAATTAGTATGATCAATGATGGTAATATTTGGACCAAGAAATATAAGAATGCGTTTTGGTTTTGGGGTTTTTTTTTTTTTTTTTTTTTTTTGGTTTAAAGAAAAAATGTTCGGTAAAATGGTTTTGGGGTTTTGTTGAAATGATGGAATATGAAATGTGGCAATTGTTATTTAGATGCAATGTTTTATGAAATCCCTGTTTCTTTTCAAGTATGCCAATATTGAATTTTCTTAATGCAAACGTTTGTTTTTTCTTTTCTTTTTAATGTAAATTTTTTGCTTACAACAACATAACTTTCTTTATAGAAAATTGTATGAATGGCTGGACATGTTTTTGAGCAGATAGAAGCTTGATTGGTTTTTTTTTGTAAAAATATATTGAAAAAGAATATTAATCTAGATTACAAGTGTTTCAGAAAATGTTTCTGCTTCAGGTTGTTGTTATTTGAGTTTATAACAAACCTGAGGATATAATTGGGTTTCTTTCAAGCTATGTATGTTCTTCTTGCTGATAAGTGATAACGTAGATCGATTTCGAAGTTCATATAGTGTCTACAATCATTATTTGGTTCAAATTAAGGATTAAAACCTCACATAAACACAACTTCAAACTGTCACAGAAAAACGGTGAACTCCAAAAGATGAGATACGGGCCTACAGACCACAAAGTTTTCATGGGCCAAAAACTTGGGTACTTCAATAAACTTTTCTTTAACCCCCTTGGATTATCGCTGGATTGATTACGTATTTACGTTAGCGTAGGCTGTTTATAAGCAAGCAAGGTGTAATCATTTTTTACTAACATTGTTATGCAGGTTTCGTGAATGAGTTTTCATGCTTTTCTTGATCTTACCCATTTATAATTTAAAACCATCCACGAGTTGAAACTTAAGGCTAAATGAGTTTAAAACATTATATAAATACACTAGACATTCTTTTTTCTTTAGTTAATCCTTAAAAACTATATATATATATAGATATAATTTTAATGTATGATCAACCCGTGAGCTTGATCGCTAAGACTTAAATTACTAATTAGTGTATAATCACAAAATATTTATCGATTAAAAGCTCTAATCCAGAAGTTCGAGTAGTCCCTGTTGATAATCCCATTGTTTTCGAAGAGATTATGATATATATTCAGATGATATATACAAATATACAAATGTCGAAGAAAAGATATATATACATATTCGTATGACTTTCCAAACGAGATATTACAAATGTGAATGAAATCAAAAAGATATATAAAAATAACAAAAACCATATAAATTAAAAGGATCGAACCCCCGTCAAAAACAATTTCAAGAATCTTCTAAATATACATTATGATTGTCAAAAAATTTATTTAGAAAAAAAAAAAAGGAAACCAATTAGTGTTTGAAATTATTCACCACAGAATTGTGCCTCTTGGAAGGCCCCGAAGGTGGTACAAGTACCCGCTTCGACAAAGAATGGAACACACGGCCTTTGAAACTAAAACCCTCAAGGATCTCATGTCTTGATGATCTTGATCTTGATCTTGTCCGAGCTATTTCCATATCAGAAACCTTAATTGGGCTGATCCTCGCCGTAGCGGTGCAGGAACTAAAAACCAAGAGGATCATGACGAAATAAGCAGTCATAAACATGGTTTTGTGAGAAAGATTCATATTATGTTCGGAGAAAGCAGGAGGAGGAGACAATGATCCAGCTACTAGCTAGGGTTTTGTAGATTTTGGTTTTTTAGAAGGTTTAAGAATTGAGCGGTACGGATATATATATGCATATAGGTCTATATACATCTTTTAAATGCATTATATTATATATCGTATATGTAGGTATGCACATTTGTGTATGTGTAAATCGGTCAAACAAGAAAAGCAAAGAAAATGAAGAAGTGACGCGCAAGCAATGGAGTTTTAGAATATTTTGAGATGTCGACTAAAAAAAAAAAAATATTTTGAGATTTTTTGAAGGTCAACGTACGAATTTTAATATTTACTAAGCTCGAAATGCTCGAAATGCCGAGTTGGACTTTACGTGGGAGGACGGTGTACGTGATTACCTCAAGTTGTCTGTAAAAGTTAAAACTATGAAACCCCATTAGGATTATATGAAACTTATATATCATTTATCAATAAATATTTATGCGAATTATAGATCGATATATACTATATATATGTATGTATAAATCACGTTGTTCTGAACAAAATCACATCGTTGTGTTATTGTGTAGGCTTTATATATCAATAATTAAATATGATGTGAGAAGCCAAAATTAAAAACGTGATTATATAATGTTGTTAATGGTTAATCAGAAGTTAGCTATGTGCCAATAACTATTCAAATGATCCTCTGCGTCTTCTTCTGCATGATTGCATGAAAGTAATTCTATCTTCCTTTATTTATTATATACAACCTTCTTTAACATGGATTGGGTATCTCTTGAAAAGCTTAATCATCACCATATTACACTCACGTACATAGTTACAAAAACAAAACAAAAAAAGTTTAAAAAATAAGTTCCATTATTTGGGGTAACCAAACAAATTATATATCATAAAAATAAATTATTCATCTAAAAAATTATTTATGGCAACTAATATTTAAATTATTTATTAGCACCTAGTTTTGTTTTTTGTTCTGTTACAACAACTAAACATAATCGTCCAAGGAAAATCATCTGCATAATTCATTAGTTACTAAAAAAACAAATATTATTTGCATGTGCCAGGTGGCGACTTTCATGCGGTAGACGAAATGTCAAACATTGCACACGCGTGATTTTTAACCGTTGGATTTCGATCCTCCATTGGAGACAGATATTCGCATGGACCACTAGATTACAGGGATTTAAATATGTTTGCATAATTATAGGTTAGCACATGATTTCTTCTGAAATAGTCTAGAAAAATAAAGTGATCAATACTTATAGTCTTATACTCCAGCTCCAGGTAGTTTCTTTTTAATTAATCTTGTTTTAAGTACCAATAATTTTATTTGAAACGTGTAATGCTTTTGGCCCTTTCATTAAGATAGATACGTGTTGGTACAAGTGGAGGACATCTTTTTTTCCTTTTCATACGGTTTACTTACAGATTTATTATAACTAACTCAAGAGTCATATTGTATACTCCATTTGGTTCAAAATAAGTAATGTTTATCATTTTATTGTAAATCAATCACTTTACTTATTTATCCATATCATTGTTGTTACTTAGATAGAGATATATTTTTACAATATTTGGTAATGATTGTACATATTAAATCAAAACATCATATAATATAAAACAGACGCTGTAGATTTTTAATAATTCAGTTATGTAATAGTTGACGAAAATGATTAATGATACAACCGTGTTATTCAGTTTAACATAATCAAGTGCATGAATACAATTATAAGAACATAAAATATAAAATGATTGAATATACTGAGCATCTACATTTATTTTATAAAAGTTAAATTACAAATAATTCGCTTTACCTAAATAAAGCATCAAAATATAAGCGCACAAAAAAAAAAAAGAGCCTTCATGCTTTTCACGTTTAGGCTACATTTGCTAACAATGGAGGAACAAAGCTTAAACCTTTGAGAGTCTGCTCAAATATGTGACCCACTTTCAGCAATTTCTCCTAAAACCAATAACAAAAACTCATCAACAACATCATTTGAAGCAATATTTAAGCAAACCCAAAGCCACTAAAAACATAGTTCTTAATCTAATCTTGAGATTAAACAAGAAGAGTTTATACAACAAACCTCATCAAAGGCTGCACCGATCATTTGAAGACCAACGGGTAGTCCCGAGGGACCTCCTTCGACTAATCCACACGGTAATACAATCGCAGGAAGTCCCGCGAGATTCACATTCACCTGAAACACAATCTCATATGTTACAAATGATGTTTCTGTGTCATGAAAAAACCAATTTAAAGAGAGAAGTATTTTATACCGTCATAATGTCTCCAGCATACATTGCTAATGGATCATCTTTCTTTTCACCAATCTTGTAAGCAGCAGATGGAGCTGCTGGAGAGATTAGGATATCGTTCTGATCTAACGCCGCTTTAAAGTCTTTTCGTATTAATGTTCTCACCTATATTAGCAACAACAACAACATCAGAAAAACATATGTCCATCGATCAAAACCGGTTTAAATTTCTATAGACTGCGTCTGAAGATGAAGGTTACCTGCTGAGCTCGCTTGTAGTATGCATCGTAGTAACCAGCAGAGAGTGCATATGTTCCCATTAAGATTCTCATTTTCACCTAAGAAAACAAAAAAAAAAAAAATCTTTCATTATTGCAAAATGACGGAAGTAAGATTCAAATTTTCGTTTATGAAATCACACCTCCTTGCCAAATCCTTCTCCTCGAGAACATTCATACAGCTTATTGAGCTCGTCAGCCATTACTTGATTCCCATATCTTCATTTCCAACACCAAGAACCAATCTTTTTTTATTTATAGATCATATATATATGCCTGATACGATAAAATTTTGAATCAAATGACAGTACGTGTTTACCTGACACCATCGTAACGTGATAAATTCGAAGATGATTCAGATGAGGCAATCACATAGTAAGCTGGTAATCCAAGAGAGAATGAAGGAAGAGAGACCTGCAAAAATTTTGGAAACATAAAATCTCAGAACCTTTGTCGTTGTACACAAAGAAGAAACAGAGAGGAAGAGTATAAAAAAAAACCTCTGTCACTACGCAACCCAATGCTTCTAAGTGAGAAGCTGCTTCCTGAGTTGCAGATCTCACTCCAGAATCAACACCTTCTTCAATCGTCTCACGAATCACACCAACTTTCACTCCTTTCAACGGTTTCGATTCCAAAGAATCCACAGAAAGAAACTGTGATTCGAACTCAGGCACATCCTAAACAAAGCCAAGAAGACTCTTATTGTTTCAAAAGAAGAGATCTCTTTCTTGCTTTCTCATTAAAATGCAGGAAAACAAAACAAAACACCAGAGCCTTACTTGTTTGCTACTCGTGGAGTCGAACTTATCATAACCAGAGATAGCATGAAGAAGCATCCCAGCATCAGCAACCGTGGAGCCGAAGCAACCGATCACATCCAACGAAGACGCATAAGCCATAAGTCCAAACCTAGAGACACGTCCATAAGTTGGCTTAAGACCAACGACACCACAGAAAGAAGCAGGCTGTCTCACACTTCCACCAGTATCACTACCAAGAGACACCATACATTGTCTTGCTGCAACAGCTGCTGCTGAGCCTCCTGATGAACCTCCCGGTACACGGGTCAAGTCCCATGGATTCGCGGTTACCTTTAACCAAAACCAAACCGGAGATCAAATTCAAGTCCCTAAACCAATTACAAGTTTTGCATCAAGAAAAGACTGAGACTTTCTTCTTCGTAAGAACAAACCTGAAAGGCAGAAGCTTCAGTGGTGCTTCCCATTCCGAATTCATCCATATTGGTCTTTCCAACAACAATCCCTCCCAATTCCTTTATCTTCTTCACCGCCGTCGCATCGAACGGCGGACGATAATGCTCTAAGATGCGAGAAGCGGCGGTGGAAGGCATGCCTTCGGTGCAGATGTTATCCTTGACGCCGATCAAAACTCCGGCGAGAGGACCTAATTCCTCGCCTCTTGCGATTCGCTGGTCGATCTCTTGAGCGCCTTTCAGAACATTCTCCGATACGTGGAGGAAGCATTTGAGCTGAGGTTCAGTGAGACGGATTCGGGAAAGGTGCGATTTTGCGAGCTCGGAAGCTGTGGTTTCGCCGGAGAGGAGGGAGCGACGAGTGTTCAGAATCTGGGATTGTGGAGGAGAGACGGAAGCAGCGTCGAAGGTCGTCGTCGCGGGGGAAGTGGAAGCTGCAGATACGATTGTTTTAGGGCCGTGGAATCTTCGGAGAGGGAGGAGAGTGAGAGAACGCGGCGGATGCAATGTCGATAACATTGCTCGAAGAGTGTTAAAACAGAGTTTTGATTTAAATCACTAAATCATCAAATTAGTAGAAACTAAGTCAATTCAAATTTAGTAGCTGAATACCCGGAAGAGATTCGCCGGCGTAACGCCGGAGAGGATATATCGGCGGCGAAACCTTACGGCGGCTGTTTGGGTTTTGGGGAGAGAGAGACCGAGGAAAGAGAGGATAAGACTGTTCGAAAACAAAAATGAAAAGGGATGATTTATAAATGGGCCGAATTTAAACGGGTTCTATTGAATAAAGCCCAATATTGAGTAATATCACAAATTAATAAAATATTAATTTTTTTCAAACTTATATGTAAAAATATAGTTTTAATAATTATACAAAATTATATAAAGTAATAATTATAGATTTATGTATATAGAAATAATTTGATTGTGTTATTGTTTAAAATTTATTAATATTGTTTGGTTAATCTTTCAAATTTATTAATATAATATTTTCTAAATAAATTTTATATTATTAAAAATATTTTTTTTTGTTTTAAAAAATATTTAAAATTTTAACCGAAAAATATTTTATAAATTAATAAAATTTGGAAATTTCAGTTTTATTAGTTTATAAAAAAGTACTATATTAACTGCACTTAGTCGAATTCAGAAAAACATTTGGCAAAAGTTAAGTGATGTAAGTAGTATGTATTAAACATCTTTTAAAACACTAACTCATTCACCAATTATATATTTTCTGTATCTAATCATTTTAAAACACTAACTCATTCACCAATTATATATTTTCTGTATCTAATCATGTATACCGTAAATATTTAAAAAAATTGAACATACAGAAATACTAAACATATTTTGAGGTGATCTGGTTAAAATGACCCAGCACTGCCCATGGTATAATTTTCACACAGCGTTGATAAACAGAATCATGCCGCTCAATTTACCAGAGTATTTGTCATCGCCTTCTGCCGCCCTTAAATGCTGTGTGAAATTCTCAATTTTGCTAGAACCTATCTTTTTTTATTATGCTTCATTCTAGTGCTTCAGAGTTTGAATCTCTGATATAGTCGGTAATGTAATTATCTTGAAAACAAAAAAGGAAATAACATAAGTTTGAGAATAAAAAAGAGAGACAGGTTTGCTTTTTTGCCTACCAATCATATCTTCTGTAAAGATAATTTATCATTTAGTAATAGTATTTTCGAACGTTACTTATGGACTCTATCTATTTCTCGTTAGACATCCTTTGAAAATAATGACAGTAAACGAAGAATTTTTGATATGTAGTGGATTAGTGGTTAAGTCCAGAAATTGGTTTTGTTGCGCATTTGAGTTGAGTTTCAATGCAAAAGAATTTATATTTGCTTTTATCTCCAAACCAAGAAAACTATTGATCTTAACTCAAAACTTTTTGAATCTTTATTTTAAATCGCATTGAAAACATATAATTTTTGCAAAAATAACAACTTTACCATATATATAGTGTTAAAAGAAAGCCAAGAAATGTAATTTGACAAAAAATATATATTAAATCGTGTCTAGACAGAACCTGAGAATAAGTAAAAAAATTGTAAAAAAGAAACCAAATTCATTATAATTTTACTATTTATCCGTACGGCTCATTGATATTTTAATTCCAGTTTCCAAGAATACACTTCGATTAATGTGTGGTTGCACAAGAAAGGCTCCAATTTGGATTTGATTGTAAAATATAAATTTATATTAGTTCTGATTAGCTAACTACAAGCCTAATCAACTTTGCTACCGTGTTTAACTTAATGATTCCGTAGATCTTTACTAATTAAACAATTTTTTAACCAACAAACAAATTCGATATTTAATGTCGGTAAAATCTTTTTAAAACTAGTTGGAATGGAATTAATTTTCTTTTTGGGTTAGATACTGAGAAAAAGTACATAAGCCGCCACCTATGAACAAATAATAACTTGTGGAGTTATGAGACAGGCTACTGAAGAAGAAAAAGAGAGCTATAAATGATCGTAAAAAGCTTTCTGCAAACTTAAAAAAACGTAAAAAGTAAAAGAAGATTTGCAGCCTACACCAAAAACCCCTAACTGTCTCATCTTTAATTGACACTCAGTATCTACTTTTTTTTACAAATTACAAATAGTCATTAAATACTCTCTACGAAAGTCAGAAAATTCCAGGCAATACAAGGCTTTGTTTGGTTTGGTTTGTATTGTCTGTTTGAAGCCAGTGACAGAGTCCTGAGACGCCAAAGTTAGCTATCTTTGGATATATACTTAAATGCTTTACATGTTTAATTAAAGCATTTAACACTTCTGGTCACAAGTCACAATCAATCGTTTAATCGGAAACTTACTTTTAAAAAACCCTCGTTTATACGGATAATTTGGATAGATATGTATGATTTATTTGAAATGATTTGAGTGGTTGAAGAAGTTATAAAGAGGAATCACCTTACAAATTACAAACATATACAAATTGTTTTATATCAAGACAAAGAGAGAAGAAACCAGACTTTTTGATACATTACATCCAGAAGGATTTGATTTTCTTCTCTTAAGTAACCGACATCAAATCTATCAACCAACACATCGATACTATTAACCATCAAACAAACAAAAAAATTATTTCAATAATACAATAAAAGAAAGCTCCAAAAGTAAATCCCACATGAACCCTTTTGACAACACATGTCTTGTAACCCTCAATGACATTGATGAACTTGACTCCTCTTTCTTAAGGTTGCTCAACGTTTGTAGAATTACCAAATCACCCTCTGTTTTCTTCATCTTGCAAGGCTTCAATCCAAGTGGAAGAACATATTTCGGAGATTCTGACACGATATCATACTGACAAAGATTCGGATTCTTTGAAGCCTTAAACCTTGTTCCCATCTTCTCATAGAACTTCCTTGAGAATCTAAGCTCTCCTGTTAGATTGTTTCCATTGATGTAGAGAGCACCGAGACAAGGCAAAGTCTCGAGCTCTTTTGATGGGACTGTGCCGGTTAACTCATTGTCGTTCAGACCAAGAAACCTCAATCTTTTCAACTTAATTAAACCAGAAGGAATCTCACCTCTTAAACCCATCTTTGATAGATCCAAAATGACCAAATTGCCCATATTCTCCCACTTCACCCCCATCACGTCATCACTATCCATTGGGTTTCCTGATAAAACAAGATCCGCTAAAGATCGAATATTTTCGACGCTTTGAGACAACCCACCAGAGATTCTGTTGTTCCTCAGATCCAAAAGTGTCAGATTCTTCAAAAGCCCTATTTCTTGCGGTAACTTCCCTTCTAAGTGGTTGTTGCTTAGGTCAAGCTTAAGCAACGAAACCATCTCTCCGATAGACGAAGGCAATGTCCCTGAGAGAGAGTTTCGACTCAAATCCAAGATCAATAGATCTTTAAACCCATTGAAACAATCCGGTATTGTCCCGGTGAACGAGTTTCCCGCCAGAACCAACCGTTTCAAGCTCGATAAATTGCAGACACTCCTCGGTAGTTTCCCACTAAACCCATTCTCAAGAACCACCAAAGATTTCAGATTTGAGAGGCTTCCGATCGTTTCAGGAAGTTCTCCAGTCAGACCGGGATTGGATCTAAACTCGAGAGATTCTAAGCTATTTCCAAAGTTTACCCAATCCTCTTTAGATATTGTCGTGGACGATGTGAAGCAGTCGAAGAAAGTGAGGGACTTCAAGTGCTTGAGCTCGAATAACTGCGGCTTTATCTTCAGACTTGCGGTGCAAGAAAGCGAGTTTTCGTGAACAAGACCTAAGGTTAGCTCCGTGACATACCACAAGTCATCATAGATATCACAAGAAACACCCTGAAAATCCAAAAAGTAGAGAAAGTTCCAAATTATTGAAAGAATAAAGAAGGAATCTGTTTGTAGGGTCAACCGGCCAAATGTGTTTATATATAATTGAAGCCACTCATATTTGTAAAACATTTAAAGTAACAAAAATCAGATCTTATATGTAAATGGATATGCACTTTGATCCGTTGAAGCTTTAAAGCCTAACTTACTAGTTATGGAATTTTCAAAGTGTACAGACATTTTGAACAGAATTATTCAGACAACTACAAAACAAATTCTTTCCAAAACTCTTCACCAAAAATCAAGAAATCTCCAGAAAAGCAATGATTTTTTTTGTTCTTCTTGGTTTTGAATTACAATAGAATTACAGGAGTTTAAGCAGAAATCAAAGATTGAAGAGAGATTTGTAATAAAAAGATAAAAAGACAAGGAAACAAAACCTGAATAGGAGTCCAACCACAAGGGTCAGGATAAAGATCAGAGCCATTCCAAGAATCACCAACAAAACCTTGAATCGCTGAGTAAAGAGCTTCTCTTTCTGATTTATCCATCGGAGCTCCGTCATCAGTTACTTCCGGCGATGATGATTCTCCAGTGATGCACCACGGGAAAACCAGAAACAGGAAGAGAAGAGAGTGAATCCAAGACATTGTGGTAAAAACAGAGGAAATGAGATAAACCAGAGAGTTTTGTGATTTGCTTTGTAATAATTTTGGTGGGTTTTCTCTGGGTTTCTTTATCTTATGGGATTATTATTTATTGAGAGAGAGCGAGAGGTCGTTGGGAGTCAATGGGTTTCTCATTATAGCTCAAACGTTACAAAGAAAGAAAGAAATAAAAAAAAAAAAATAAGAAGAAAAAGAAATCGAGGGACTGTAACGAGAAAGACATTTGGTTATATGTTGTTGTCTCTGTCACACAACAAAGTAAATGTGGCCTTTGTTCCCATAAATCATACATGTTAATATAACTTTTTTAAAAATACTTTAGATATGTCGAGGTGAAAAAAGAAGAGGGCTAATGTGGAAAATAGGATGCAGAAGCACATAGCTCAAGGCAGCCATTGAATTTAATGTCTACTGATTAATGACAAAGTATTCTTTTTGAGATGCGCCTTTGACATTAGTATTTATTTGTAATTAACTATTGGGATCCCTTTATAAATAAATTAAATTACTTTATTCTTTTTACCATTTTCCAAAAAAGGGATAAACAAACGACGTCCAAAACGAAAGAAGTATATTCAAAACATCTTTAACAACGGCTTGGAATTGACATGAAGACAAGTTGATAGGAGGGAATGACAAATAAATGTATTTTCTCACAAATCTGCAATCAAATTACCCTCTTGGTGGTGGATATATAAACTCACAAATTTGGTTCTCCATTGTTTATACCATTCAGGAATCAGGATGTTGTCATATTAAAAAAAAATATATTTATTTTCTTTACAATCGAAAAAGATAGTTAGAAAACTAATTAAAAAAAAAAAATCATGGCAAATTGGAAAAGGCTTGACAAACCGACGACACGTACATACTTGGGAGGATTGTGATTGAACCGAGACGGGTAAATTCATACCGGAAAATAAACGCAAACCAAAACACTCGGAACGATTCCGAAGGTTAGTTTCGGTAGCAAGCTGTGCCATCACAGCAGCATCTCTTTCCCATCTTCTTCTCTCTGTGCTTCTTCGAATTGATGAAGCACCCACCCAGAAAAGAAAACAAAAACAAAAAAAAAACCTAATTCGGGGTCACTGAAGACCAGAAATGAGCTCTTTTTCGATTAGAAAGTCACCAAATTCATCCTTCATCTTTCCAAAATACGCTCCTTTACTTGTACGACATCGTTTCACTCTCCCATTGCTCGTCCCCGCTCTCAAACCGCCGAGATTCCGCGTCGTCTCGTCCCTCTCCGGTACCTCATGGGTCTCTCAAGCTTCCAAAGACAAATATGGTGGCTGGGCTCTTATTGAAGACGAAGCTCCTCTTCCTCATTTGAAAAGTCAAAAAAGTTAGTGTCTTTCTCGTTTTCCTCATAATGGGTTCTTCTAATTTAGTGAGGAATTGAAGAATTTCTTACCTTCGTGTTGCAATTTGATTTGAACTTTTGATTGTTTCTTCTGTGTTTAGAATGGCGGAATGTTGTGATCACTGGTGTTGGATCGTCGCTTGCAGTTCTGTTAGCTACTATTGCTTACTTCTCAATCTCGAAAAAAGGTCAAAGCATTTTCTCAACTCTTTTTGTTCTCTTTGATTGGATGTTTCAATCTGAGATTCAGGGTTTTGTGTTACTTCAACAGGGTTTAGGCTATGCTTTAGTAATCCATTGCATTATTATGATAATGTGGATTTGGATCAGAAGGAGCATGAAGAGAGTGAAAGAACGACTGATGAGAAGACTTCCGCTTCTGAGGAAAGCGTTGACTATGTTTCAGATACTGTTGTTGACACAGGTGCGTTCTTATTATGATCAATTTTTATGCATAATCGAAAGAGTTCATAACCTTGTTGTTACGATTGCTCTAACGAGTCTTTATTGGTATCTATCCGCTGGTTTACTTTAGCATCAACCGTAAAAGCTCACCATGTCACCACTCCAGTTTCCGTGGATGCTGCTCAACAAGAAGCGATAGCAGTTTTGAAGAAACTAAAGGTATGACTTGCTTTCATACAACAACTTGACTGTAAACCATGAGACTCAGAATCATATGCTACATGAGTTGAAACCTTATGTCCGGCTCTGATCATGAACATGTCACTTGTAACTAAGCTGTTCAGATAATGGAAGACGGTGTAATGGCAGAGGAGTTGTGTACCAGACGAGAGTATGCTAGATGGCTTGTTCGTTCAAATTTGTTATTAGAGAGGTAACTGATAATCTGAATACCTCTTTGAGTAAACAATCTTGTGGATATGATAAAGCTCTTTGTGTTTGTGGCCAACGACTGATAAAAAATATGTTTTTTTTCTTGGCTTTTAGAAATCCAAAGCACAGGATTGTGCCTGCAGTAGCTTTAGCTGGCTCTTCGGTTCCTGCATTTGAAGATGTGAATACCACAGACCCTGACTTCGAGTACATACAAGGTATAATCGATACAGACATTTCTTCTTTCTTTCTATTCAAACTTCGTTTCTGTAACTGAGTTTTTAAATTTTGTTGATTTGCTATTCAGCCTTGGCAGAGGCAGGCATTACTTCCAGCAAGCTATCCGGAGAAGATACTCTAAATGAGCCGAGAAACTTCAACTTTTATCCTGAAAGGTATAAAGAGGATTAGCTTTTTCAACATCTACTTTTGTATTTGTTTCATTCGTTCACTGATATCTAATTGTTCAATTGACTGCAGTTTTGTTTCCCGACTCGATTTGGTGAACTGGAAAGCTCAGCTAGAGTGTGATTACCATCCTGAAGTTATGGAAGAGGTGTGATAAAGTTTTAACATTTTGGGCATTACATGGTGATGTTATGTCAGATACTTTTGAAAAAAAAAACCTGACTTGTTTACAGTCCAGATATCAAGGACAAAGGTAGACTATATAGACACGAAGAATATCAATCCTGATATGGCCCTTGGATTCTTCTTGGACTTCTTGATGGGTGACGAGAGTACGATCAGAAACGTTTTTGGTATTCTTCTTCTACCTCTCTCTCTTTGATTCTGACATTCTCATTTCATTGGATTGTTGATTGCATTATTCAAAGTTTTCTTTTTGATTTCAACTTTACAGGTAGGATCAAGCGGTTTCAGCCGAACAGACCTGTGAGTAAAGCACAAGTGGCTGTAGCATTAACAAGTGGTAAAATGGCCAAAGCTGTTTCATCTGAGGTATCAAGGTTAGAGGCAGAGTCCTTCTTACAGAAAGCTGAGATGGAAGAAATCAGATCGGAGTTGCTAGAGAGAGGCGAGATAAGGCAATTTTGGGATGAGAAGCTTCAGGTAGAGAGATCTCGAGGAGTTCAGATGGAAGAGATGTATCTCTCCAGAGTTAGTGAATTAGAACAAGAGAAGACAGCTCAGATGAAGTGGTTTGCCGAGCGTTTGAAAGAGAAAGCAGCCAGAGATTGTCAGAAACAGTTGCTTCATAGCTTGAGAGAAGATACTGATGAGATGTCTGTGAGGCTAACATCGAATAAATCTGTTTATCTGGTTGAACACAGTGAGTTACAAGAGATGCTGAGTGACGTACAATCCAAACTTGAGTCGCTGCTCGACAAAAGATCAATCCTGGAAGCTGAAGTCGAAGCTCTTCGAATTCTCAGGTAAACGTTTGTCATTGTAATATAACTCAAGAAGACTCTGTTTTAAAGTTTTGATCTTTAGGGAAAAGCTTTTTAGATATTTACAAGAGTGGTTTATGATTGTGATATGAATGAAAATGCAGATCTTGGGTAGAGGATGAAGCTAAGGCAAGCCAAGCAAGAGCTAAGGTGCTCCACGAGGCGGGACGAAGATGGAAATGGAACGATGAAGCTTGAAATTTTCATATAGTATAAAAATTGTTGTGTAATTCATGATTGTGTGTGGCTATATGAGTGTTAACATCCGAATTCTGAGATGAAGCAAAACAAGATACACTTCAATTTTGTTGGTTAATAATCATTATCAAACTACTGGCCACCGCTAATTTTTTTTTAATAGATAGGCCTAAGAGAAAGCAGGTCTCCTCCACCTAGACAGTGTTATGTTTTAGAGCCACAATTTTAATTACAATCTGACAAATATGGTAAGCTTATGAGGCAAACTTCTGCCTCCTTTGGTCTGTTTGCTTGCAGCTTTTTGGCAGTCATAAACTCTGGTTTAGAGAATAGAGGGTCATATCTATGTTTCCAATGGGCTGTATTTAGCTCCAATGGGACATTTATAAAATTTCAACTTGAGATGTCGATGTTTCTAATTATTTTAATAATTTTATCAACATGAAGATTATGAGATTAAAGTATACAGTACAAGGAAATTTAGAGTTCCCTTCATTTTGATATTAGAGTTCCAAGAGGAATGTTGTAAATATTGTAACTCACCTTACATGTGTTTTTGAATTGTTTGTTGCTCAAAGAGTATTATCACCTTCTGTTTGCGTTTGGCGCAAGTTGCTCAAAGAGTATTATCACCTTCTAGTGAAACATAACAGAGCATTACCCGTAACTAGCTAGATTTTGCTTTCCCTACGAAAGCGAATCAACAAAAAAAAGGTATTTGAGTTTGAAGAAAAAAGTTTGCAACTTTAAGCCAAAATGCATTGGCAAGGGTCAAAGCAAAAGCTATCACTTTCTGTTTCTCTGTTTTGGACCTTTTTGGTTAATGGTTTCAGTATGTTAAAGTGTTAAGAATGGTAGTGATTCGAGTTTCAGTGATTGGATATGATGATGTAATTTCTTATATGATTTTTTTTCTTGCTTTAACATAATTTGTCTATAAACTACTGTTGCTTTCTCTGATGTCTAACAATGACACCATTCAGATTGTAACCAAACCCATAAGACGGAAACCAGCAAAGAAAACATTTGACACTGTAACCAAAGGCGTGAACATGTTGCAACCATGAGTGAACTATACTCACTCTTCCTTCAAGGCTCTTCCTTATCCTCTCAAGAACCGTTTCAAAAGATGGCCTCCTTGTGGTTTCTGACAAGTTTATCAACTATAGAAAATTGTGACCCTTTTAGCTTGTAGATGTTCCTGTGAATTGGCTTTTGAAATCATTATCTATGTCCCGATGAGGCCATAAGAACTGCCACAGCAACTATGAACATAAACAGCATACTGATAAGAAGTATATATGTTCTTTTAGATGATCTCCTGTATTCTCCAAACAGCTATATCCCCCAAAACGTGCTCACAAGTGGAAGTGCCTGAAACCCATCAAAACCAAAGTAAAAGACATGTTTTGTTTGTGTTTTTATCATTTGAACAGAGAACAAGTTTCTAGTCTCTTGTAATAAACCTGAACTGCGTCTGCAGCTGCATATCCAGCGGCTTGACCACCCATAAACTGAAGACCATTACCAAATCCACAGAGAAATTCAGCCAAGAAAGACCATCCTCGACCGTTCCAGTCGTTTAGGTAAGCCTTGAAAGAAGATCTCGGGAGACCAAGTATAGGCCAATAGAGAAACCTGATGTTAAGTATCAGAGCAAGTACAAATGCAGAGACTGAGAAGTAGAAGAAGGCAGTGTAGACATTGAGTTTTGGAACACCATGTTCAAAGTGTGCCATTGGTCGTTTGTAGCTAAGTTGAATACAGGTGAGAACGAAGAAAGAACCAGTTAAAAAAAGTAAGTTTGAAGAAAGAAGAGCTTACCTATAACAACGGTGATAGCAGTGATGACTTCAGTGACTGATAAACCAACAAAAGTTTCCAAGGTTAAGCACTATTCCTCCAGCCATTGCAAACATCACAGATTGCCAATTATCCTGCAATTACAAATTAAATAAAAACGCTTTCCAACATGATTTTGAATGAGAAGTATGTATATATATATATATGGATATGTAACTGACTTGAGAAAGCTGTGTGATGAAATTTGGTCTGCTTGGACCTATTTGGCCTAGTGTGATTGTGTAGTCAAGATAAGTGTGTTGAGGAAGTCGACCGCGTCTCTCGGTTAGAGTCATGATCGCTGGCCATGTCCCTAAGAAGAGCAGAGCCAAGAGCACGCAAGTGATTGCTCCGCCTTTGCTCTCAATCATGTACATCTCTCTCTCTTTCTCTCTGTTCATATACTTATGAAATCACCAAAAGACCGCTGCATCAAAGTAAAGAAAGAGGATTCTTCGGTTATCTAATCATCGACGAAGCTAGTTGAGTTCAAAGAAGGTTCCAAGAACATAACACAATTTAGAATCTGATACAAGAAGATATACAGGAAACTCAAAACTCTGTTTTATCAAAAATCTATTAAGATCTCAGGAAAGGAAAATTGAAAATTGACAACCATAAGGCAACACAAGAGGACAAAACCTTAAGGGTTTCTAAATAAGCAATAAGAAGGGAGACCACAAAAGTAAAGATCTTTGACTAGTGGGGTTTAAGAGATTACCTATTTAAAGCTTCTGTCCTTAGGTACGAGGTTGGAGAGAGAGAGGACAATCAAGAGACAGCTCCACTCCAGTTTACTTTAGTACTGTATATAATTCTCTCATGTTACGTTCGGATTAGATTCCTTTGCCAGTTCGTAAGTCAACGGCTTACGAAATTAAAGTACGAAATTACGATATTAAAATGTTTATAACTTAGAAATGTGAACTTCTTTTTTTGTTTGTTAATGTAAAATGCAAACATTAGCGCAATCAAACAAATATTCCTGCGAAAATATGCTAAATGGATGCTTCCAGTACGAGTTTTCGATACCTTCTTCTTCGTTAAGGAAATATCCAGAGAACACATAATAAAGCCATCTCTGTTACAATCTAAAAATAAATCATCAAAAATATTTTAAAATCAAATATGTCTGTGTGATTTATCTATTAGTAATCCAAGTTATTATCAGTAATAAAAGTTTTAAAAAAACAAAAACAAATTTAATTACTCGAAAAAATTGAATACAATTCTTCTCATATACAAGTTACACCTCTCTAGCCCTTTTTATAAAAAAAAAAAAAAGTTACACCTCTCCTCCATTGGAAAAAATATCGTAGTGACCTTTTTTTTATTCCAAAAGGGGAAAACAATAGAACGGAAACGGAAACAAGGCCCAACAGCTTATACAAACCCAAGTTCGCGCGTGAACCCAATCGCTGCTTGGTTGGGTATTCGAATAATAACCGATAATAACCGGTAACAGCATTAAAAGTAAAACAAAACAAAGTACAGAAACGTGTTCCGAAAGGAAAAGATTTTCCTTTTTTTAAAAAGAAATTGGAAAATGGGGACCATTAGGGTTTTGGATTTGGATTAAACTTGAAATCCTAGTTCGAGTGTGGGTAGGAGAAGCCAATATACGGTGTTTATAAATTGGAGGCAGATGAGAAGAGAATTGAAGACAGAACGAGGCAATATCAACTAAGTACTTGGTCCTTGTCGTTTAGAAAGAGGAAGCAAAAGTACAATAAGAAGCGCAGAGACAATTCACCATCAATGGAGGGGAAGAAGGGCAAGACTTTTTGGTCCAGAAGATGTGAAGAGACAGTGTTCCAAAGCCGGATGAACAAGAGAAGATATGCATATGATGATGGTGGTGAACCATCATCACCGTGGAAGATCAACGGAAAGGGCAAAATCTCTTGGCCTTTGTCGTCACAAAGACGAAGAAGAATCGAAGACACAGGATGTGATCCATCATCACCCATGGAAAAAGTCAAAACTGCCTCGTGGAGAAGAAGTGAAGAGACAAGATCATGGAAGAGAGTTGGAAGAGAAAGCAAAAGAAGAAGAATAAGGGATGTGAGTGAGATAATACTCAACCACGACTTGTTAGATGAAGTTATGTTGCGACTTCCAGTAAAATCTCTGGCTAGATTTCAAACCGTGTCGAAACACTGGAGACGTATGATAACGTCCAAGTTTTTCATGGACAGGTACATGTTGCATCAGAAAACCCAAGAAGCCAGATTTCTCTGTGTCTATGACGATGACAGCTGGTCTAGGCAAAATATTGCTCTAAAGACGATGAGGTTGGAGTGGTGTTCGGCTTGTCTAGTAGACGAAGAGGAAGAATATCATACGTTGATGACCCCGAATTTGCACTCGTACAGGAACAGGAACATGACGTGGGGGTAGTTTCCAAGAGTGTTGATGGTCTTTTCTGTTTCTATGCTTCCATGGAATTGACAAGACAAATCAAAGTGACAAACCCAGCAACGAGATGGTCCTACAGGCTTCCTCTTGCCAGCATTCAAAGAGAACATTACCTAGACAACAATGACACAGAGTTCCCTCTCCCAGGATTTGGAAAAGACTACGTCACGGGAACATACAAAATAGTCTGGTTACATAACATTGACGACGATAACAACTTATCGTGCGAGGTTTTCGACTTCAGAGTCAAGCAATGGAGGCAGATTCCACCTCCTCCTGATCAGCGCTTAAAGAACTACCAAGCACCAATTTTTGCAAACGGATGGCTTTATTGGTTCAGCCAAGAGGATACCAAGTTGATTGCTTTTGATGTGCACATGGACATGTTTCGAGTCATTCCAAATCCTATTACTGAGGAGGCCTCATCGTCTATTGGAATGCAGATGGGTAGCATAGACGATGACCGTCATCTTGTGTGGATTTCAGACACAAATGGAGATGGCATGCAACACGTGTGGAGGCTCACTAACCACAATACAGAAGGGACATTGTTGAAAATGGACAAGATGTTCTCCATTGACATGAACAAGATTACATCGACTTGGTTTGATGATCCTCTTCGTGATTCTCCGCTCTTCATTCTTGAGGCAGTTTCCAAGGATGGTAACAAGGTGATGCTCTCAAAAGTAAACAATTATCTCGTCCTATATCAACCCCGAAGCTCTACACATCGCATCTTGTCTTATTCCTCTCTACGTCAGTGGGATAGTGCTTGTGTTGCTTTTTTCCCAAGTTTAGTCTGTCCCTTGTGAATTAATTTCAAGTTTTTAAAGTGCATTTGATTCTCATTATATGAATTTTTTAAACATTGTCTTACTTACTTTAGCAGTGCAAGTTATTCAGAATTAATTTGGATTTGATCATCTATTAGCTGTCACTAGACTTACGTTTGGGAATGAAGAGAGTGAAAGAACGACTTCGCTTTTGACTGATGAGAAGAATTCTGATTTATATCATTTTGGTCAACTTCGAGGCATATTTGACGAATTCTTAACTTTGTTGTTCTAATTTTATTTAGTAGTTTGTGTTTTCTGCTTGACTGCTTTAGCATCAACAAAAAAAACACTCACACCAGAATTAAAGCAGTAGCATAAAAGAATCTAAAGGGTTTATTTCCTGAAACTTTCTCTCTCCTTCATTAGATTATACAACCAACTTGATTTTATTAACTTGAGCCTTAATTTTCTAGCTTTGATCATGAACATGTCACTCGCAATTAAGTTGTAATGGCAGAGGAGAGTAAATCCAGATGGCTAGTTCGTTCAAATTTGTTACTAGAGAGAGTAATGAGAAGTACGTTTGTGTAGTTTGATTTTTTTTTTCTTTAATTTGATTTGCAATTCAGCAGCCTTGGCATTACTTTCAAAAGGGCAAAAAAGTGAGAATAGTTACTACGAATCTAATCATTTTGAAACTATTCTCACACTTTTAGCAAAGAACCAAAGTCTGAAATTTCAAATTTTGAAGAGCGATTTACAAAAACCGTTTGTGGAGATTGAATCTTCTTCGCCACATTTTTCTATTTCAAAGCCCAGCAACGAAAGAAGGAAAAATCAAGAATGAAATTGGTATTCCTTCTTCGACTACTTTGAAATCGGGTAATGCTTCTTAAAATTTCAATCTTGCAATTCACGAACTGGGTTTTGCTTAAAAATCGAATCTTTTGAATTTGTTTCATCGAATTGCTTCTTCTTCCTTTATACATTCAGTTTTTAGCTTTCGCAGTTACAGTTACAGTATCAGTCAAACTAAAATTGGGTCATATTTAGAGTTACGTCTTTTGTTTTAGAAAAAGAAAGTGTCACAATTCTTTTATCTACGCTATTCTCAGTTTTATCTTTGATGAATTCCAAAATTTTCACCAGACAAGAAACAATTAAAGCTGTTCTTGTCTTATTTTCGAGAGAAATAATATCCTTTGTGAGCTGTTGACACCAGAAAATTCCTCTGCCATACAATAAAACAGATATTTGATAAAATTTCGTTCTCTCCACTTGTCCTGATTCTCACTGTCAACTGTCTGAATCAGATTTTATCTTCATTCTAATCTTTAACTGTTTTCTGCAGATTGGTTAAAAAAACAGAATCAGAATCAGGTGAAGGTCTAATATGAGTTTTCACACCATATCTTGTAAGTTTCAGAACTTACTATCTCTTACTTTTAACAAAAGTTTTGTGTTCTAAGATAAGGCTAAAAAAAACATGTGAAAAATCTATGGCTTAGAAAATAGGGGTTTTAAGAAGATAATGAAAAAACCATTCTTGGTTTTCTTGTTTAGCTGATATAATTTCTCCAGCATTTAACCATAAAAATTGACATTTAAAGTGACTTAAATCTCAACCTCTCTGTTTTCATGTAATTGGTTACTGCTACGTAGCGTAGCAACACACCCCTACTTGGTATTGGTCCCAAAACATTACAACATAATCTAACAAAACGATTTTTTCTTTTCTTTATCTAACCAACTTGAGATCACTAATCTTTATATTGAGTTGATTGGTTTTGATGAATATTGAATGTCTTATCTTTAATCATCTTCTGTGTTTAGTTCACCGTCTAAGTTTGGTAAAATGCGTTGGCACAAGAGACAAAATTCTTAATCTTTTGCTTTGACACATATGGACATAAACGTTTTAGTTACGGCTGCTTAGTATACATATGTACCTTGCTTCTTGGTCATTGGCTTTATTAAGACCCCATCTATTACCGAACATGTCTATTTCCTCATCTGTCTTGAGCAAAACACAGCCACTATTTTTTTTTTTAATGCTGAAAATTTTGGCTATTGATGCATGAGAGACTTGAGAGGTCCATAAAGCTGATAAGGTCGAATTTCCTGATGATAAGTGTCTTCTTTTTTCTTCTTTTCTTTGGTGGACATAGTTGTACAAAGTTTTGTCAGTATCTGTGAGTTTCTCTTACTGGAACAAGTTTGTTTATTAATATGTTATAAGGTTCATGAACTGGATTTGGACTTAAAGTTTTTTGTTGGAGGAACGATGGATTGAGTAGTGTCAAAAATTTGGAGGAGATTTATTTTCCGGTTCTGTAGATGAGACGGAAAAGGGAATTTATTCCCAATTCAAGAGTTTAATATATGATTGTGCGGATAGGGTTTGTTGTTGCTGCTTCCGTTGCAGCATTTGCGGTTAAGCAGCTCAACGGTAAACCCTCCAAACCGAACAAACCATCAGGTAGTTTAGTTTCTTATACAAAACATATAAGATTCACTATTTCATTGCATTTATAGAATCTGACTTTGTTTTTGTTTTTTTCTGCATTTTGATCTTAGAAAATGGCAAAGGAGGTGAGAAAGAACAAGCCGTGTATCCCAACAACAATCTCAATGATAAGAATGTAAGTGTTTTCTGCAAAAGTTTTGTACTTTTTGTTTATTTTTCTTCATGTTCTTGATTAACAATTCAGATAACAATTTCAGGTGGAAGAAGAGGAAGAAGAAGAAGAAGAGGTGAAACTGATCAACAGCGTAATCAATCAGACTCGTGGGAGTTTCTCAGACTATCTAGATGATGATGATATTTTGCCCGAGTTTGAAGATCTTTTATCCGGTGAGATTGAGTATTCATTGCCTAGTGATGATAACACCTTGGAGAAATCAGAGAAAGAGAGGAAATACGAGAGCGAGATGGCGTATAACGACAGTGAGCTCGAGAGGCTGAGGGAACTAGTTAAGGAGCTAGAAGAGAGAGAAGTGAAACTCGAAGGAGAGTTGCTCGAGTACTATGGACTCAAAGAGCAAGAATCTGATATCGTGGAGTTACAAAGACAGCTCAAGATCAAGACGGTCGAGATCGATATGCTGAACATCACTATTAACTCCCTGCAAGCAGAGAGGAAGAAGCTTCAAGAAGAGATCTCTCAGAACGGTGTTGTGAGAAAGGAGCTTGAAGCTGCGAGGAACAAGATCAAGGAGTTGCAGAGGCAAATCCAGCTAGATGCTAACCAGACGAAAGGACAGTTGCTGTTGCTTAAGCAGCATGTCTCTAGTCTTCAGATGAAAGAAGAAGAAGCCATGAATAAAGACAGTGAAGTCGAGAGGAAGCTAAAAGCTGTACAGGAACTGGAAGTTGAAGTTATGGAGCTCAGGAGAAAAAACAGAGAGCTTCAACACGAGAAGAGAGAGTTAACCATTAAACTCGATTCCGCAGAAGCAAGAATCTCAGCTCTTTCAAACATGACTGAGGTAAGTGTAATGAAATCAGTCTTGCATCAAAGTTTTCTTTCTTTCTTTCTCTTAGGTTAAAAACTTTCCGTCTTTCTTGATTGTAGAGTGATAAAGTGGCGAAAGTAAGAGAAGAGGTTAACAACTTGAAGCATAACAATGAGGATTTGTTGAAGCAAGTGGAAGGGCTTCAGATGAATAGGTTTAGTGAAGTTGAGGAACTGGTTTATCTCCGTTGGGTCAATGCTTGTTTGAGGTATGAGCTAAGAAACTACCAGACACCAGCTGGTAAAACCTCGGCTCGTGACTTGAGCAAGAACCTAAGCCCCAAGTCCCAAGCTAAAGCTAAACGGTTGATGCTAGAGTACGCTGGTTCGGAACGTGGCCAAGGAGACACCGATGTAGAGAGCAACTTCTCTCAGCCTTCGTCTCCTGGAAGCGACGACTTCGACAACGCCTCCATGGATAGCTCCACGAGCAGGTTAAGTAGCTTTAGCAAGAAACCTGGACTGATTCAGAAGCTTAAGAGATGGGGCAAAAGCAAAGACGATTCTAGCGTTCAGTCATCTCCTTCGAGATCATTCTATGGAGGATCTCCGGGGAGGCTTAGCATGAGCATGAATAAACAGAGAGGTCCTTTAGAGTCTCTGATGATAAGAAACGCAGGAGAGTCCGTAGCGATCACAACGTTCGGTAAAGTTGATCAAGAATCTCCCGGTACACCAGAAACTCCGAATCTTCCAAGAATCAGAACAGCAACAGCTTCTTCTCCCGGTGAGCCTTTGAACTCCGTGGCGTCGTCGTTTCATGTGATGTCGAAATCGGTTGATAATGTTTTGGATGAGAAGTATCCGGCGTATAAAGACAGGCATAAGCTGGCTGTTGAGAGAGAGAAGCACATTAAGCACAAAGCTGATCAAGCGAGAGCAGAGAGGTTTGGTGGTAACGTGGCTTTGCCTCCAAAACTTGCTCAGTTAAAGGAGAAATCTGTTTTGGTCCCTTCCGTGACGGTGACCTCAAGTGGTGCTCAGTCTAACGACGGCGGTAATGGCAACGACGGTAAAGCCAGCGAAAACGCTCAAGCCGTAGCTAAAATGAAGCTTGTAGACATTGAGAAACGACCTCCAAGAGTACCTCGTCCGCCTCCAAGATCGTCTGGAGGCGGCAAAAGCACCAACGCGCCCTCACCGAGGCCTCCTTTACCCGGTGGTGGACCTCCGCCGCCTCCGCCACCACCTGGCGGTGGACTTACTCCGCCTCCTGGTGGTGGTCCTCCTCCACCACCACCTCCTCCTGGAGCGCTTGGAAGAGGAGCTGGAAGCGGGAGCAAAGTTCACCGAGCTCCTGAGCTCGTTGAGTTTTATCAGTCGCTGATGAAACGTGAAGCGAAGAAAGATGGTTCAGCGGCTTCTCTGATCTCTTCAGGAACTGGTAATTCATCTGAAGCTAGGAGCAACATGATTGGAGAAATCGAGAACCGATCAACTTTCCTCTTAGCAGTAAAGTTCACAACTTTTAAAACTCAATAGATTCCATATTAACGTTGGTGCAACGTTGAAACAAAATTGTTTTGGTTTAAAACTTTGGTTACAGGTGAAAGCAGATGTGGAGACACAAGGAGACTTTGTTCAGTCGTTAGCAACTGAAGTTCGAGCTGCTTCTTTCACCAACATAGAAGATCTCTTGGCGTTCGTTAGCTGGCTAGATGAAGAGCTCTCCTTCTTGGTCATTAAACTCATCTTTTCCAACACTACTTTCTCTGACCGCTGTTTTCGGATCCTTGTAGCTGACAAAGATCAAATCACTTGTCTTTTTTTGAGTAGGTTGATGAAAGGGCGGTTCTTAAACACTTTGATTGGCCAGAAGGCAAAGCTGATGCGCTACGAGAAGCAGCTTTCGAGTATCAAGATCTCATGAAACTGGAGAAACAAGTTACTTCCTTTGTCGATGATCCTAACCTCCCTTGTGAGCCGGCTTTGAAGAAGATGTACAAGTTGTTAGAGAAGTAAGTTTCTAATCAACTCGAAAAAAACAGAGTATCACACTCACACCAAAGCTTTTCTTCAACTAATGTTTGATTTCTGATGTTCACAGAGTTGAACAGAGTGTATACGCGCTTTTACGTACAAGAGACATGGCGGTTTCACGATATAAAGAATTCGGAATTCCAGTTGATTGGTTATCTGACACTGGCGTTGTAGGAAAGGTAGAAAAATTGTTCTTTGATTACTGATAAACTCTGTTTTTGTATATAAAAACCGACCTTTAAAATGCTCTGTTTTTATGTTCTTCTCGTCATCACAGATCAAGCTTTCCTCAGTCCAGCTCGCGAAGAAGTACATGAAACGAGTAGCTTATGAGCTTGATTCAGTGAGTGGATCTGATAAAGATCCTAACAGAGAGTTCTTGCTTCTCCAAGGTGTTCGTTTCGCTTTTAGAGTCCATCAGGTAAAAAAAACAGAGAAAAACTCAAGAAACATTATGATCAGATTTATAAATTGTTTGGATGCATAACTGTAACTGTTTTGGTTTGTTATGTATGGATGAAATTTGCAGTTTGCTGGAGGGTTTGATGCAGAAAGCATGAAAGCATTTGAAGAGCTTAGAAGCAGAGCCAAAACTGAAACTGGAGGAGACAATAATAACAACAATGAAGAAGAATCTGTAAACTGAGTTTATTAGTTTACATTTTCTTCTGTCTCTATGTATCGTTGTATCACATACTTGTCATATTGAAAATGATTTTTGGTACAGTAAAATAGTTCATTGTTAAAAAAACACACACACACACACATCTTTTATTTTCGAGTTTTTGCAACTTGCAAGTGTGTTTTTTTAGTTATTTATTTACTATTTTAGCAATAAATTTGTAATCTCCCAAACTACTAAAAAAGATAAAATAATTGTGGTTTGTCTTAAAAGTCACATGTTTCATATCATGTGCAGCCATGCAAAGTATCGCCCGAATCTTCTTCACTCTTTAATGTTTTACATTATTTATAAATTTTTTATCATATTAATTCATCACAATAAAGCTTCTGACCCAAAATAAAAATACATCACAATAAAGCTTGTTTCCATGCTTTGGTAACGTACAAAAATAATAAAAATAATAATGATTCACTAGATTTTTAGCATATAACAACAAGTAATAGTAACAAAATTTTTTTGTTATTTTATGTAATCATATAGGGAAAAAATATTATGTTTTTATTTTTGGAAATTAAGTACTACTGCCACCACCTAACAAACAGGGTCCAGTTCTTGGGTATAGTACTTTTCACGTCCAAACAAGATCTACATTTATTATATTATTATTGTATTGTATAATTGTTAATTACTACAACATAATAATCATTTATATCATCCGACCCTCTATAACAAATGCAATAAATTCACGGATCTAAGACTAAGTTTACAATCACTAGAAAACAACCATAGATATAAATGATTACTCAAAAACCAAAATCAACTCAATGTAATATAGTGTTATCACACTCCTCAAGTATTAAAATAGTAAAAATAAAAACAGATTTGCTTTTGATGTTTAAAGCAAAAGAAAGGAACAAAGAAACAAAACAAAAACACATTTAGACAGCTAAGAGTTTCTTGCAAAAGCCAAAGCTTTCTTTTGATGCCCCCAAAAACAGAAATCTCTCAGTCTTCACGTTACAATGTATTAACATTTCGACCACAAACTGACAAAATCGTATAATATACACGTACACAAACCGTATATTATACGCTCTTCTTCTTCTTCATCTCTTAAAAAACACAGACAACTAAACGAAAACCTCTTCTTCCTCTCTCTCTCCTATCACTCTTTTTCTCTCTCTAAATGTTCCATCTTATCGTCCTCTGCTCTTTCATCTCTCTCTTCCTCCTCCCACCGGTGAATCTCGCCGCCGTGAGTGATTATGAGTACTTAAAACTTCCGTTACTACGCAAATCTCCGTTTCCTTCTCCGACGCAAGCTCTTGCTCTAGACACTCGCCGTCTCCATTTTCTCTCTCTCCGCCGTAAAACCATCCCCTTCGTAAAATCGCCGGTGGTCTCCGGCGCTTCTTCCGGGTCGGGTCAGTACTTCGTGGATCTCCGAATCGGCCAGCCGCCTCAGTCGCTACTCCTAATCGCCGATACAGGAAGCGATCTCGTTTGGGTCAAATGCTCCGCTTGCCGAAACTGCTCTCTCCATTCTCCGGCCACCGTCTTCTTCCCTCGCCACTCCTCCACATTCTCTCCTACTCATTGCTACGACCCGATTTGTCGACTAGTACCCAAACCGGATCCGGCTCCGAAATGTAACCATACCCGGATCCATTCCACGTGTCCTTACGAGTACGCTTACGCGGATGGTTCATTAACTTCCGGTTTATTCGCTAGAGAGACGACGACGTTGAAAACAAGCTCCGGTAGAGAAGCGAATCTAAAGAGCGTCGCTTTCGGATGCGGGTTTCGGACCTCGGGTCAAAGTGTATCGGGTACGAGTTTTAATGGAGCCCATGGCGTTATGGGCTTGGGCCGTGGGCCTATTTCGTTTGCTTCTCAGTTGGGTCGTCGTTTCGGCGACAAGTTTTCGTATTGCTTGATGGATTACACTCTCTCTCCGCCGCCGACGAGTTACCTCATCATCGGCAACGGCGGTGGAGTTCGATCAGACGCCGTTTCGAAGCTTCGATACACTCCGTTGCTCACTAATCCGTTCTCCCCGACTTTTTACTACGTTAGATTGAAATCGGTTTTTGTCAACGGTGCAAAATTACGAATCGAACCTTCCGTCTGGGAAATCGACGGTTCAGGTAACGGTGGAACCGTCGTGGACTCCGGTACAACCCTCACGTTTCTCGCTGAACCGGCGTATCTGTTGGTCGTCGCGGCAGTGAGACGACGGATCCGGCTCCCGATTGCCCCAGAGCTGACTCCGGGATTCGATTTATGTGTTAACGTCTCGGGCGTTTCGAAGCCGGAGAAGATCATGCCGAGGCTGAAATTCGAATTCTCCGGCGGCGCAGTGTTCGTTCCGCCGCGGAGGAATTACTTTATCGAGACGGAGGAAGAGATCCAATGTCTGGCGATTCAATCGGTGAATCCGAAAGTTGGGTTTTCGGTGATCGGTAATCTGATGCAACAAGGGTTCTTGTTTGAATTCGATAGGGATAGATCACGGCTTGGTTTTTCTCGTCGCGGTTGCGCTTTGCCGTGATGATTTTCACCGGAATATTCCGTTTCGAATTGCTCAGAGATTCTTTTTATCGTTTTTACTTCTTACTTTTTTTTCCTCTTGGGAAGTACGAGAATGGGTAATTCTTTTGGTTCACTGCTACCGAAAATAGGAATAAAATTATATTTTTGGAGTTTGTATAATTTTGGATTGGAAATAAAATATTAAAAGTATCACTGTCCAAAATAAAATAAGATAGATATATATATATATATATATATAAATGTACGTTTCAAATTAAATGTTATTAAAACAAAAAACTGAATACTCTCCTGCTTTTGTGATTGATGATGTTAGAAATGAAAACAGAAAATTATAGAAATAATTTGGTATATGAATAAAACTTTTACATTGACATGATTTGAAATCACAGAGATAATTAATATGCGGCAATGTAAAAGTTTTATTCATATACCAATTTTTTTTGTGTGTGAAACATAAACACAACTTTAAAAGACTAAAACGGTACTTGTTGGTTATTTGAAGAAACAAACAAAGAAATAAAATTATTCGTTAGTAAAAAGGTAATTATTCGTTAGTAAAAAGGTCTCTTGGCATGAAGCGGTATGGTTCAAAGGCCACATCCCTAAGTACGCTTTTAATTTTTGGGTGGCAAATAAGTGTAGGTTACCCCTCTGTACCCGTCTTCTCAAGTGGGGCATCGGTAGCTCTGATGCTTGTTGTATGTGCAATCTGCATGAAGAAACTAGGGATCATCTCTTCCTTCAGTGCGAGGTTAGTATCCAAGTTCTTAAACTCCTTCTCACTCGGCTAGGGGAACCCTCAAAAACCTTCGCAAGCTGGCCACACTTCATAGACTGGATACTCGGACCTTCCCCACACACCCCGAAAATTATCAAGCTCCTTGCATCTCAGACAGTGATATACTTCCTCTGGAAAGAGAGAAATCTGAGGCTCCATGAGAATGTATCAAGCACTCTGAATCTCATTTTCAGGTTGTTTGACAGGTCTATCCGCGAAGCTATCCACACACAGAACAGAACGCAATCAACTGACCTGCTATCATCCTGGTTTCGTCACGCCAACTGAATTCTCTGTTCAAGCTCCTCTAATCCCTTCTCTCTAATGATTCACTTTGTAAAGTTCTGGATTTTTTAATTTTTTTTGGGTCCAGAATTTTTGCTTCTAGCTACGCCAAAGCTTTTTTGTATCCGGAAACTTTTCCTAATTTGGTATATAAATTTACATTTTATCAAAAAAAAAAGTAATTATTGTGTTTAATTATTATTAGTTTGACACTTGAAAATCTACTAGTGAAGTAGTGGTAGTAACTAGTAAGTAGTAGTATAATACACACAACGATTAAACGAAAACTGCATTATCTAAATAGTTGGCCCAAAATAAATTACTAGCCCAAAATGATTTATTGGCCCAGAGGGCCTATCTGCCTATGATCCTTCTTATCTTATTACAAAACCATAAGATATCACTGAACTCAACTAAAGCCTTATAAACAAATTACTTCGAAAAAAACAAAAATCCAATATTTGAAACTAGAAACTTTTATTTCAGATAAATCGAGAAAATTTGATCCGACACAAACATAAAAAATCTTATCTGAAAACGGATCGAATACGTGTGTTAGAAAGAAAAAAAGTAATACATGTTGTATATATCCAAAAAATTGAAATCGAATCCGAACACAACTGAAAAAAAAAAAAAAAACTGAATATGTAACCAAATATTTTGAGATAAAAGAAAGATTTTTTTGATTAACTCACATCCCATCAGAAACCAAAACATATTAAACCAAATATATACTATAGATGTTTTAGTTTAGCAGCTATTTTTGAATACCAAATATAAATAAATAAAACAAAATCATCTGAGCTAAACTAAACTGAAATCCGGACTAATACAAACTTGATTATTATAAAAACATGATTTCCAAAATGATTTTATAAAGACGACAAGATGACAAAAGCGTCTTGCGAATAACAATTTTTGGTTAGATCATGAATACAAGTTACTCGAAATCTCTGAATATGTTATACATTAAATTATTAAGTTGTGATCTATATACGAGCTCGTACAAGCAAACTTGTCTATTAAATGTGTATTTTTTTTTTGCAAGTGAACAGCATTGTTCGCAAAATGTCAAGATTTTATCATTTATATATGGTACGTAAATTTATAAAACAGAAGTATTCTTAAGACGCAATTAATGGAGTAAGCATGGCGTCATGGTGATCAAAGCCCTAAAAGAGCACCCACCGCCACGGGATAATGTTCACAAATCGTAACCAAACTATTTTCTATTAAAGAATTTATATTCACTTTAGAAAACCTTAAAATATTAAGAAAGTGCAAACACACTCATATATGTGTATATAATATATGTCTAAAGGGGGTGACATAAGAAGGCTACAAATGGCCACAAATGTGAAAAAGTGAAATGCAAAGGGACCAGAGACAACCCATGCGTGTGACCACAAACTGATGCTTACTTATTCCTTATGCTCATATATAATTATATAATATCTATATCTATATTATACATACCCACACATGTGCAAGGACCTCCATATACAAGCAAACTAATAGTATACATTATACTTCATATTTGCTTCCATAAGACATACCTCATCCCACGTCACCGTTTCTTCTTTTCCATATTGCATATTTGGTTACACTACAACTTTTCCGTAAATTAAAGCATTTTTTTAAAAAAATGCCTACATTTCTCCGGATCATAGAACAAAACAAGTATGTGTTCTTACGAATGATGAATATCCTACTATGGCAAACTTCTTTTAAAAATTAAGTTATGGACCTATGGTCGACTTAGTTACCGATTAATTGATATCGGCTTTATTTATCTCAACATGATGTCTAATAGATATAATGGATGTTAGTTACTGAATGTAAAGTTACTCGTACATAAATATATACACCATTGATATAATTATGAATTTCCCCATCATGTAGAACAGGGTTAAACAATCTCATCTATATATATGACATATCATGTTCTAACGTGATTGAGCTAGTAATATATACTAGCCTAGTATTATTGGTAACCTGTTGATTATGTTTGATTTAAACATGATATATAATGGATGTCAGCTAGTGAATGTCTCGCATTAAATATTATCCATACAGTTATAAAAAACCAGCCAGCATAGTGGGACTGGGGCATGTTATACATTCATGAGTTCATTGTTTTTTTTTTTTTTTTTTGCAATTGTATATGGTTAACATGAGTTGACATTAATTAGGTTTTGATCCGCCAAGAAAATATGCAAGTTCAGGCAATATATTTGTAACTAGTCTGGCGAAGAAAAAACTTTGATATATGATCGAAATCAGAGATAGATTTCAAAAGAAGAAGAAGAAGATGTCTCTCACTACTTATAAATAAAAGGTATATATGTCCTTATTTTTGAAGTCCCGTAAGATTTTTTTATTAAAAACTTATAACATCAAAATTAGTGAAAATTTTGTTTTCTCTTATACCGTTTGTGCTCAGCTTATGTTACATAAAACTTGTTAAAATACCTCTTAGACGGCTTCCTATGGTACAGGAGTTCGACCTTATTTCCAATCATGGGATACAAATAGTATGAGCCAGTGGACAAAACAACAAAATATTACATGAAACACCTAAAATTCGAAAGATACCTTTGTAATGAATCATGGTCTAACGACTAACGCACACACGGTTAAAGGCCCTTGCACATATATACGTATCTATTTACACATACACATGTAATGATGTGGTCGTGAAGACGTTTGCACAAATACGTATGTTGTGTTGTGTGTAGTCACAAATTCACGTGTAAAAGGACAACTGCGGGTTATATACATATACATATATATAATCGTCATACTGATAGTTAGCAGTAACTCAACGTATACCATGATAAGTAATTTAACGATTTGTGTTACTGTTATAGTCATGTTACCATCCGAATTCAAATTACTGTAAATTTGTAACGCAGTCAGTTATTAAGGTGTAAAGCTTCACTGATACATATTCCAGATTCGAGTTTTTTGGTCACTAAATTGATATGGTGCATCGCATATTTTATAATTTATACATATTAAGGTCAAGTGGTTCCAAAAATTCTTGATTAAAATAGAATCTAATGTATAAATATGTGTATATGTTTTTATTTCCATGCAAGGGCGACAACCACACTCTTAAGATACCTTTTGATAAAAACTAATGCCAATAATTTTTATAGAGTTTAATATATGAAATTCAAAATGTTAAGTCAAACCCAATTTGATTTTTCGTTGCAAGTAATACAAAAAATGACAAGTTCTGAAAGAACTAAAAGATCCAACGAATAACGCCTGGCATAATCGTAGGACAAAAAAAATCAGTGTCCATTGTCCGAAATTACTAAAAGTACCATTTCTTTTCACCAATATAATTTTCCAATATAGAATTATACAGATAAAAGCAAAGCATGCATATCTGAGTTTAAAAGAATATTGATTATCTATTATACAATGTAGAGTTCATTTCACTTCATGATTTTTTCACACAAAAAATATATAGTACTATCAAGATGTCCTCTAATTTCGCGTAACGAATCTTTAATTAGACAATTTTTTGCACACTAATTAAAGCCAAAGTAACTAACTGATTTATTTTTTAAATGAGCCATCAGCCATGCTTGTCAAAATGTAAATGATTTTAGCTTTTTCAAAGGCCTTTTGAACATGAACACTGACTTTATTTTAAAAGTAATGATTACAGTTTTCTTCCAACAATTGATTCTTACCATATAATTCTTCGCCCTAAAATTATGACATTTTATGGACCAACAGTTTAAGCACATACTCGGCGAAGGGCATGGTCTCGTGACAATATTATACTACAATAGATACAAAAAATGTATGTTTGTTATATAGTATTGGATACCGTGAAAATTATCAGGTTATGTCCATAGTCATTAGGGACTAGTATTATTATTGCTGCTTTTGATATGTTTCTCTCACTTTTTTTCAGTGCATAAAATATGGATTCATGATATACATATATATGTCCACCATATACTTGATCTTGATGCATCGTTCATTCTTTTCGTAAATATCTTTATATTTAGTTAAGTCTCCTAGGTAAGTTAGTTAAATTTTAGTCGTCTTGTATTTTAATAAACATCTTTAAGAAATAAACAAACAAAATATCATCATTTATTTCAGTCTGTGATCATCATTTAATTTGGATAATTTAACCTTTATGGAGCAAAACAATTAAAAGAAAAAACTTGTGTAAAAAAAAACTACTACTAATAAATATGCTTTTTTTTTGTTCAAATTACTAATAAATATGCATGAAGCATAAAAGAAACAAATGTATGCAAGATCAATTGTTAGTTATACAAACTTTAGCTAAAAATTCCACCAAAAAAAAACTTTAGCTAAAAAAACAAATCTGAGATTGTAAAATCAATTGTTAGACCATCTCCAATGTGTTCTTCTAATTTTTCCTCTAAAATAGAGGAACTCTAAAATAGAGGTGCACTTCTCTCCAATGTGTTTCTCTATTTTTTCCTCTAAAAAAGAATATTTTAAGAATATTCTTTGTATAATTTGTTATTAACACATTCTTTTCATAAAATTTATAAATTAACCTCATTTATATTATTGTTTACAAAAATTTCCATAAATAATAAAAATATATTAAAATTAAACATTTATTTCATAAAACAAAATCCAAAATGAAAATAAAACTTGTTGATCTAACAACAACAGTTATCAACACCTTAGAAGAAGGAAATAAGTAATTTTTGAAGCAATTAAAGAAGTCAAGCACACAAAGACAAGATCATTTGGAGATTCAAAAAAAGAATTATGCTTTAAAAGAACTGAAAGAAGAAAACAAAATTTTATTTTGTGATTTGAGTTTCATACAAGATCCAAATATCCGCTCATACATTCAAGCTGAACAAGCACACATTTTTCAAAAGCAAAGTGATCAACATCAAGATCAATAAGATCCTCCTCCATCTACTCTGTTGGATCAATATTTGCATGATCTTAGTGGATCCGGAAACAAATTCTCAGAATATTAAATCAATATATTATTTATTATTTTCTATAATTTTCTGTATTTTTAAAAAAATAATTTATCATTTTATTTATAATTTAGTTTGAAATGAATGAGAATTTTCTAATTTAGTTATATTATATGTTAACAAAATTTTCTCAAACCATAACAAAAATTATTAAATTTATTTATTTATTGAGTTTTTGTATTTAATAACATATAAAAACTGTATAATGTAACTTTATTGACGTATTATTGTACATGTGTATATTATATTGTTATTCATGTATACTATATTACTATTTATGTTCATTTTTTTATCATGGATTAATCACTATTATTTATAAATTATATAGTTAATTAAAGTAAATAATATTTTCTGTTTTTCTATAATAGTTATTGTCTGAAATAATGTTGATTTTATTAAACTTTATTAAAGTTATTTAACATTATATAGTTTAATTAAATTTATATGTTAGATATATAGCTATTTATTGGATATATACAAACTAGATTATGCAAATATTTAATTTAACTTTTATATTTGTTATATAAATAAAAATAAAAAGATGTAAAAGTTAAGGGACCAGTTTATAAATAAAAAAGTTCATCTCTATTATAGAAGAACAAATAAAGTTCCTCCAAATATAGAGCGAAAAATAGCAACCTCTATTTTAGAGGTAAAAATAGAGATGGATTGGAGATAATTTTCCTCTAAACTCTATTTTTTCCTCTAAAATAAAGGTAGATTGGAGATGCTCTTAGAATGTTTTTTCGTTAGGACCTATATAAAAAAGTTTTCGAGAGCAGAATAATAGCGAAGTTTGTTTCAAGTTTCAACAAGTAAAAAACAGAAAAGAATCATGTATGTAAATCAATCAAGTACTTATCAAATAGAAGTATTATTGGAAAAAAACAAGAAGATGAGTAATTTCAAAGACAAAATGATTTGAAATTCTTGGAGAAGGCAAAAGAAGAAGACAGCGTGGAGAAAGAGCCCAGAATGTTGAACGTCGTGTGGGCTTCACTCTGCACCACCACCACCACCCCCAAAACCCTAGTTTCATACCCTATCCTATTTTTTTTTGTTTCCAATTTATTGATAAAATAAGTATTTTATAAATCCCACTCCGTCTATAGGAAAACAGAAATTCTACTTATTAATTCAACTGGAATGAGAAAATGATTCTACAATTTTGCAGAGTTTTGTATCCATCAAATAACATATAAAATTCTGATACAGGTTTCATTATTTTTACTGAGTAATATAATCTTTGAATGATCTTCAGTATTCTATCCGTTTTGAATTACATGTTGTTTTAACCTCTAATCATTTTCACATATAAGAAAATAATTTAAAAAATATATTACTACGCATGTCACAAAAAAAAAAAAAATACTGATTGCACTGAAACTAAAATCATATCTATTTAGAAACATAATAAATCTATAATAGACACTCAATTTAAAACATTTAGGAAATAAATATGTATATATCAAATAATCTAGTCAAGATATATTCAGAACACGGTATAAGATATTAGTAGGATATGTACGAGTAGATCAAATAAAAAAGGGAATCTCTTCGGGTGCACTTAAGACAAATCTATAACTTAGAAAATCTTGATTAGATTAGATTAAAGAAGGAAAGAAAAAAAGAAAAGAAAGTGGGTTTGGCTATAAGAAACGAGTGGGATTATTAATGATTAAAAGTAAAAGTCTTTTTGGTCTCTGGTCGGTCGACAATCCGTGTGTCCTGTGGTCAGTGTTTGTTTTTTCTTTTCTTCTTAGTTTAGTTTTCCACTGAAAAACAAAACATTAAGCAGCCAAATGAAATTCTTTTAACGCGTTGTTTCAGAACCTGATGAAAACAATAATAGTGTCCTCTTCTTTATATTCCCTTAAATGCATGTTATGATGTAAAATTATAAATCCACTTTAATCTTCTCTCTTTTTTTAATCGTGGCATATATAACCTGATAACTCTAGAAGAAAAATTAGAAATAAAAACTTCTTATCTTGTAAAAAACACATTTTGTTTTTATAAATGTAATTTCCAAATTTTTGTTTTTGAAGCTTTTATTTTCACGATTAGCATCTCAGATAGTTTCTTCTAAAAATTTAAATTTTAATTTTTAGACAATATATATTTTGTGGGTCGTCCTCATCAGTCATCATGCTCAAATGCAAATATAAAAGCATGATTATGTCTATTTGACCATTCTAACTTATAACTGAAAGAAAATTTACTTGATTTTTTTTTTTAAAGTAATGAAATATTTTTGTCTATAATATCACTTGTGAAGGTTTCTGACAAGAATCCTCTTGCTAAAAAACTCATGACAAAGTCATCTACTATTTATTGATAATGGAGTATTCTTTTTTTGGGGGTTAAACTTAAAACTATTATTCATTAATATTCTTGACCGCATTTAGTAGATTCATACTAGATTATACACACTGTATTTGTACGGAATACCTATATCGCTTTAACTGTTACATAATTTGATATAGTTTGCAGAATGGTAATGACGTGGTATTCCTCGTATAAATAGGGAAAACTTTAACCCTAGACGCGAATATATTAAGTGGGAAAAGGAGCCAAAATGCTTATATTAACAAGTAGAAAAGTAGACACATAAATGAAACATTATAATTCTTAATAACATTAGTAATTAATAAATTGATAAAATAAAAATAAATAAAAATCATAGGAAGCCAAATCCATCAGCGAAATCCACAAGATGATGACAGCTCCCCATTTAGAAGTCGTAAAAGAAAAGTAAAGAAGATGTACAGCACTTGCAGATTCATTTGATTTGTCAAATATTATAATAAATATCGTGGACCCAAATGAAAATTATGTTTCTCAAAAAGAAAATGAAAATTACCAAACAAAAAAACTAATATGGTAAAAAAAAAAATTGGTAAACATTGTGATATTATAGTTGAATTTAATCACGATTGCAATTTTTTAATATATATAACTAGCTAGAATTTGTTTTGTAGAATTATGCAGTCTTGCATTCTACAGAATTAGTATCAATGTAAAAATCATAAAATATCAACAATCTTTTTATTTTTTCGAAATTGGGTATAGTATCAACAATACTTTTGCAGAAAATTTGCTCGCAATGTAATTTCTGGCATCGCTCTCGATGTGTATTTATCAAAGAAAATGGTGGTCTGATTGTACAAACCGGTGAAAATGTGTATCATACATGAATTATTCATTTGGAAATAAATCTTTCAGTTTTAAAATATTAAATAACTTTTCTTCAAAAATACCAAAAGGCACATGATATAGCACTATATATATGTGTATCCATTATCAAATGGGATGTTTGTGACCTTTTGTCTTTTCTTCTACAATTCTCTTTATCCTTTCTTTCTCTCTATTTCCAAAAACAAAAAACCAAAAATGTATGCTATGAAAGAAGAAGATTGTCTTCAAACGTTTCACAACTTACAAGATTATCAAGACCAGTTTCTTCTTCATCACCATCCACAAATCCTCCCTTGGTCATCCTTACCTTCTTTTGACCCGACCCATTTCCCATCTAACCCGACCCGTTATCCTGACCCGGTCCACTACTTCAACAGAAGAGCTTCTTCTTCCTCGTCGTCCTTTGACTATACCGACGCTTTCGTCTCTCCTCCTCCTTCTATGGATCATCATCATCCTCAAAACCATTTAAGGATTTTATCCGAAGCACTTGGACCCATCATGCGTCGTGGCTCGTCCTTCGGGTTTGATGGTGAGATGATGGGAAAAATGAGTGCACAAGAAGTCATGGATGCGAAGGCTTTAGCTGCTTCGAAAAGCCACAGTGAAGCTGAGAGAAGAAGACGAGAGAGAATCAACACTCATCTTGCTAAGTTGCGTAGCATTTTACCAAACACAACCAAAGTAAGTTGTCATAAATTATTACTCTTTCCCATTCATCATCGTTTGATGTTTTAAAATTTAACTTTTTTATTTATGTTTTGTAAAATTCTATCAAAAATTAATTTAATTTAATAATACTTCAATATTTATCTTTATGCAAATTTCATCGTTCAGTAGTAGTAATCTTTCATTTTGTATGGTACTAGTTCATAAACCACAGATTGGAATATCTGTAATTATTAGCATTATGAAGAGGACGATTAAATGATTATTCTTCGTCTTGTGTTTGTATAGACGGACAAAGCTTCGTTGCTAGCGGAAGTGATCCAACACATGAAGGAGTTAAAACGACAGACATCACTGATCACCGACACGTGTCAAGTCCCAACAGAGTCCGATGATCTGACGGTCGATACTTCTTACAACGACGAAGAAGGAAACTTGGTGATAAGAGCATCCTTTTGCTGCGAAGACAGGACTGACCTCATGCATGACGTCATCAGTGCCTTAAAGTGTCTTCGTCTCCGAACTCTAAAAGCCGAGATCGCAACCGTAGGTGGTCGAGTCAAGAACGTCTTGTTCTTGAGCCGAGAGGTCGATGAAGAAAGTAATGACGCATATTGTAGAAACTTCGATTGTGATGACGTTGAGAATGACGATGAAGAGAAGAGGTTTAATCGTGTGAGTTCGATAGAAGAAGCGTTAAAGGCGGTTATAGAGAAGTGTGTCAATAATATTGATGAAAATAATGAGAACAATAACTTGGAGAAATCATCTTCGGGGAGTATTAAGAGGCAAAGGACAAGTAAGATGGTAAATCGATGCTATAATTAGTTAATTCCTCCCCCATTCAATGATTGATTAGATCATCAAGTCTTTAATTAGTTAGGGCTAGTTATTCAGACTTGCAAAAATGGAATTATGGGTTGTTGGTACTAATATAGTGTCTTTTGGGTTTTCTCTCTTTTTAATTTGGTTTGGGTTTCTTCTTCTATGTTTTTTTAATCTATGAAGAACCCTTTGTTTAGGGTTTTGTAGTGACGGGGTTTGGTTTATATAGTATTGTACTATAATTAAGACTTTTCTCGTCTTAGTTAATATAGGAAATGTAAAGAGTTTGGGGTTTGTATTAATGAAGGAGTGGATTCAAGAAGGTTTTTTCCATCATGTTTCTCGTCTCAATTATTTGTAACTATCTATTATAAGTTTTAAAACTTACTCCTTTATAATAGATTTCCTTTATATGTTACCTGTCTCTAGTCTGAAATAACCGAAAAATATATTTTCGCATATCCATTGTTAAATTTCTGACAATCATAACAGACCTGTTTAAGTCAGAATGTGCATGGGAAAACTTCGTCTCTATATATTTCCAATTTTTATATTTGACGTTGTACGCATTGATCATACTCGTTACATAATCTACTTGCTAGTACCGAATGAAAACCCAACTTTTACTTCATAAAGGCATATTACCGATATATATTTATATGTGATATAATAAATGTTATGTTTCCTAAATTAGGTTGATGTAGAGAGTTATTCAATGGAAGATTTTATACCTACAAGTGAAATCGAGAGGAGTAGATCGAATCTTTTTCGTGGGAAGAGAAAACTTAGATTTTAGTTCTATTTATAGAAACTCTTGTGGCTTTGGTTTTGGGGATCTTTGCAATGGTGTCTCTGTCGTCGTTACTGACTCCTCTCTTCGTCTTACGTTATTTATTATTATTACAGACAGTTGCTACCATAAGCACATTATGTCATGATCTAGTCACTTGTATTGTGAATCTATTGATTTGTTTTTTAGTTTCGATTTTTGCTCAATTTCAACATATAACCCAAAAAAAAGACTTTCTTTTCTTACCTGGATGGCTAGATCACATTACACATTATTTCGATGTATAATATATTTTTTTTTTTCGTTTTCAGAATTTAATTGTTGTTTTTTGAGACCGGGGTTTCACAATATTGACAATGGAAAAAAAAAAGAAAAAAAAAATCTGGTAGATTTTGATTGTTGGGAACACTTTGAAAGTGCTTTCCTCTTAGATTATTTTGTTGACAAAAATTTTTAAGCTTAATCTGATTTCAGAGTTGAAGGACCCAATGGTAATGAGTTTTTATAGGCCTAAGTGAATCAACTTGTAGACCCAATTTAGGCCCAAAAGATATTAATGTTTCGTGATGTGCTTTCCTCGGATGATAGATATACCGAGGCCCAGAATAGATAGATCCTTTTTGTTCAATGGGGCTGAATAACATATACCGAGGCCCAGAATATAAAAAAAAACTTAATTTGGCCTATACAGGTTTCGAACCTGTGACCTTCGCGTTATTAGCACGACGCTCTAACCAACTGAGCTAATAGGCCATCTTAACATTTTTCTTCAGTTTATATACTTATTCTTTAAATAAGAAAATATTGAATAATGTGACCTAAGAAATTTTCAAGGCATAGAAATAGAAGAGTTTTTTCCTAAGAAATTTTTTTCATATGATATATAGACAGGAATGGACCTAGAGAGAAAATCATGTGCAATGAACATATATGCAAGAACACAAATATGAATGCACCTGGAGAGAAGTCCATATGTGGACCAATACTGTCGAATCAAATTTTAAAATAAAGATCTAAAACAATGCAAAGAGGCCGAAGAGAAAATCATTTCCATACATGATACAGACCAGAATACTTTAGCTAGTTGGATCTTGTGATTAGTTGGAAACACCATACGATACGAAACAATGAACTTGGTTTAAACTTTAAACACATCCTGTGATGCAAAAATAAATTGGCAGAATGATAAACAAGGGACTCGAAAACTATGATAAATTAATGAAATGACGGAATCATTAATGAAATAAAGCTTAGCTTAATTATAATGGAATATTTATTTGTCATATATAACCTTTTAATAAGTTACGATTTAACAAAATCTTATGATTAACATTGAACCATTTGTATGCAGCTATATGAATGTTGTACTGGTCAAAAGTGTAATAAGTGAACTAGACTAGTACAACATTCATATAGCTGCAAGAACTCAAATATTGAAATTTAGCTAATTAAGATTTCATCGCATACAAAATTATTGCTACCTAACTAAGTAAACCAAAACTACATGGATCGGTTTGGAAAGAAAATTACTTTTATAGCCAAGAACACTGAGATCTGTCTTATCATGTATAATACACAAAGATGCAATGAAAACATTGGGATACTGGTGAAGATTTTTCATATTGCAATACTGAATATTTGTTTTCAAGAATCAAGATATTGAATTCTTGAAACAAAACTAAATATGGAAATACAAAATAGTTGACCCTCACGTAGGAATGTTTAGCTTAACTGGGTAATGAAAATAAACACTAGATTGGGAATTTCATAATGTGAACATCAATAATAACTTTGGACCCCGATGTGAGAAAGTGACAAGAGAAAAGCTCAATGGTTCTGGCCACGACGGCGACGGTTGTAGGACCGCCGTGTTGGCCCGCCGCACGTGGTCGAGCCTATCCTCTTGTCCTTTTGACCGTTCAACATCTTTTGTCTCTTCCTCAATAGCTTTATGTGTCAACATTTTCTTACTGCACATAGATTTAATAAAATCAACTAACGATTAGTAGATGGATGTGCAGAACACAAATTCTAGTGACCACAGTCAGAAAAAAGGGGATATAAAGTATAGTGATCGTTGCAATTATAACATACATCATTAGGATTAATTAAACTCAAGTTTTCTAATGATGAAGCTCTTCGATTCATAAAAAAATGTATAAAATCATGAGAAAATAAATTGATACGTAGGTGTAGATGAGTACATAAACATATGGGCTGCATAGTTAAAGTTGGCCGACAATAGAATATCAATGAGACAATGATGCAGATTCAGTTTCTTCCCACCTGACACTTTGACCCCATTTTCATGCTTTCTTTTGTCATCAACTACTATAATTTTGGTGAAATCATTAATATAGAAATTTTAAGTGTTCGAATAATAATTGAACGTTATAATGACAATTCTTAGTGGTTGGAGATGGACTGGTTGAAACGATCCTCGATAGACTAATTCACCATCCAATCGCAGCTCTCATTCTAGAGCTTAATTACTTCAGATATGAGCCACATAAGGCGTTATTAGTCTCTAGTGTCTTCTTCACTCTTCAATATTCAATCTTCAATCTTCAGACGATATTAACACAATTAAAAGAAAAAAGGAAATTCACTTTACATATAGTATTTGAATAGAATAAAGTCGACGTACACCATACATGTCTTCCATCATAAATAATTTGGCACCTAATGGTCACGTCAGATTAAATAAGAGGGACCCGAACAATAATTTTAATGGTGTGTGACTTGTGCTGTATCCCTTGATCAATATCTATAGTCACTAAAACTTGATTAGTTTAATTTGATAATTCAATAGAAACCAAACAAACACACATCATGTCCATGATAATTAAAGTTTTTGATAATTAAAGTTTCAAGTTAAGTCATATAGTATGTTGAGATTTGTTTATGTCAGTCCAAACAACTAAATTAAATTAGAGTTATCTCATACGTGGAACACCAACACTACATATGATTAGACAAGTAACCAAAGAGTATTTAAATTAAAACTTTAGTTTATCTACAAATCAATTGGCTAATCATTGGAACTACGAAGAGGTTGGTGGGTTGACTAAAATTAGAAGAACCGAAGCATGCATAAGAAGAAAGCATGTCATATATAAACTTTTTAATAATTGGATTTTATAAACTAAAGCTTATTAATTACATCGGCTATGTAAATTCTTTTCTTTTTTAGTTTTAATGGAAAGTAAAGATTGAAGAATGTGCTTAAGACTAATATACCAGCTTCAAATACGGCAAATGAAGAATGTGCAGAAGCTTTAATGTAGGAGTACTTAAAATTCTTTAAACTCATTCATTCATGTACTTAAATGAGATTGATCATTTTTTTTTTTTGGTTTAAGAGATTGATCATTTGCTTACACAAAGTAATCATTCTAGTTGTAGTTTGATTTTTGTTAAATAAAACGTCTAGCTGGTTTACCGTGTAGCTACACCGACTTCTTAAAATTGTAGAACATTTGTAATTGTTTAGTTTGTTAGCTTTATCACCATTTTTCATATATATTTCGTTAAATAACATTTTCTTTGAGCTAATGCGATTTCACATTTTAGAAAAACAAACATTCAAAATAAACCAGATACTAATCACAAGCTCGTAAACCTAAGAAACTGAAATCAAGAAAATTAAGGAACACAAAAATAAACATAAGAACTGATATTTGTTAGATTTATGTGTGAGATAGCTGAATTTACACCGGGAGCTGGGAGCTATATAGAAACTAAGGCAAAAGCCATTACAAAAATTTATCCCAAAGTCTTATTGTCGATATTTACAAATTTACCCCTATATCAAAAGTGTTCCAACTTTTCACCCTCCAAGATCGACGAATGACAAGCAAACCCAAACCGGTTTCCTCCTTGATATCTTCTAAGAAATCATCGGTTTAATTCGGTTCAACTTCAAAGCTTCAGCACTCGTTACAACCACGATCAATCTTGCCAACATAGGAGCATCACAACACATCGTTTGATGATGTAAAGCCTAGCTCTTTGCTCTCTAAGAACACCACCAAGTCCTCTACTACTCGACACTCTTCTCTTCAAAGCACCCATCTTCGATATTTTAGGGTTTTTATCTGATGATTCTTGTGGAGGTTTTAGTTTAAGGATGAGAGAAAGTAAGATGAACAAACAAAAGTCTTTTATAGAAGAAGGAGAAGAGAGTTGTGTAGGGACAACAAGTCGAAGTCGCACGTGGAAGTGCACCCCAACCCACCCGACACTGTCTTTCATCATCCACTTGTGTTAAGTGTCACATCATTTTCAATCTTCAAAGATCGATGATTATAATTGAGTTCTGATTCGTATCGGTGTTGCCCTTGTACCATTACTAATATGTGTCTATGAGTTGTAAGAAACAAATATATTCAATGTTTAAGATATCAAAGTTCTTATTGGTTGTACTTGTTGTACACAAGGCAGTGTGATTCTGTTGTTCTTTTTCTTTATTTTTGTGTTTTAATCGGAATTTAATCATGTTCTGATAGTATGCTCTTTTGATTTTTTTCATTTTACATGATTTACTAATTAGTGATTAATATATGGTTGTGATAAACTTTTGTTATTCCCTTTTCCTATAATCATTCTCAGTGTTGTGAATCAGAATGCATACATAACTACGTACGTTAGGGACATGAATATGTTTTTTTTTTAAACAAAAGGCTATTAATTAAAATGCAATGAAAATAAACAATACAAAGATATAGTTTGAGCCATGAATATGTTGTGTGTGAAAAATCTTGATAAGCCATCGTTTTATTTTATTTTATATGGTCACAAACCCCGAACATGTATGCCCCTCTCTGTTCCCTCTTTTATTTTTTACCAAATATTTTTGAGATCTTTATTTTCAATAATTTGAAAGATAACAAAAAGATTTTGTCGATAAGGAAAAAGCAAAATTTTAAAGCTCTTGCAACTAAAAATCTCATATTTACTCAATTTATCTGTCCAAGAGTAGTTGGATTATAAAGAAACTCGAAATTTGGGTTTAATCTGGACAAACCGGATCATACTATTAGCAGTAAAACTGAAACTATGATTTCAAAAGGCCGAAAATTTGACTAATCTTGTCTGATATTCTTTGATCGGGGATGAATTGTGTAGCATTTAGTATTTTTAGATCTTTAATTTTATATACTGTGATAATCTCATAATAGTATTCATATTTATTTGAAAACATAAAGTTCAAATTCAAATAATTTGCGGATAGTACATGAAAGAAACCATTGGGTTTATTTGAAGAATAATATATTTTATGAACTATAGTTTGTTTGTATGTGTTGGATCCACGTCAGTAAACCAAACTAGTAGACATTCCAGTCGACTTGAAATCATATGTTGCTTTGACAACGTAGCAATGACGATTTTGTAACATGACATGATTAGTATATAATTAAAGCAAAAAGTGGGTGATTATTAATTATAATTAAAATTTTCAGATCAAATGAAGTAAGTTTAATCTACTAACTAAATACATTAGGCTAGTGGTCTGAGTTATACGTCTCTTCAAAGTAAAAGTCTACAGAAACTTGGATTTTTGGGTCGAAGGGATTTGTATTTTCGACAGTAGCCAAAAGAAGAGTAAGCTTCAGATAAATTAATCCGCTTTTGAGCAGTTTACACTATGCGATTTTGGAAAGGGCCTGACTTAAGTTATTATGGGCCCATAAATCAGCCCAGTTAATTTTAGTTCCAAACGGGCCCTAAAATTACGATTCGACACTAATTTGAACCCCCAAAAAATTGAAACTGCTTTTGATTTGGGGAAGTGAGGTTTCCTGAGTCGCTGTAGAGTTTGGTGCAGATGTTATTGATGAAAGATTCTATGAATCGTGATCAAGTAGGTATATCATTTATTACCTTATAATTCTCCACATACATTGCTAAGTTCCTCCAAATTTTGATTAAGTGTGCTATGATTCTTGATTATTGCTGAAGAAACATTGAGTCATCTGATGAAAATCTTTGATACAGAAACTCATTCAACACGTACAGTGTAAAATGTTTGCTTTAATTCTTATCAAAATATCGTATCTTGCATTTTGAACATGTTGCAAAAACCATTGATTCTTGTGTTTTATGTGGTAAAGATGCCATTTTGCATTCTGAAAGTTTTTCAGGGAAGATATTGTTTATGAGTGTGAGGCTTATGGTTAACTACAGTGGCTTGAACTGAATACACAACATATTGTACAAATTGATATCCGAATGAAGAAAGTAATTTTCAATACCAAGCCAGTTTCTGTTTGATGGATCAAGCTTTATATTGACTTAGTTTCAATCAGCTTAGCTTAAAAAGATTAGATTGGGAATATGAATCCTTAAAACCATAACAAAAACACACAAAAGCAAGACTCAGACACATAACTTGTCTCAAATTTCAACTTAAAACACTCAAGTTCTCTTAAAACAAAAGGATAGATAGATAGAGAGAGTGATTACTCAAGTTCTCAAGGTCAAGTGAAAACCTTGAGAACACCAAATTTGACAGTGGCGGTGATGGAGTTAACCGAAGGTGCAGTGGAAGAGTCCATCGTGCCGAAGCTTCCAAGGTAGAGACGAGCGCTCTCATCATGCTCGCACGCCTTCTTGGTCTGAGCGATGAACCTAAGCCCATTCCGGATGGTAACCCATTGGACATCGTCAGTAATAGCACCTGGCATATCTATGGCCATGTAAGAACCTCCATCACGTGTTGCTCCAACGAACATTGCTCCCTTAGGACCTTTCACCAGAAACGGATGATCCTCTTGGCGTCTTCCAGATTTACCTAATCGTACAAACAAAGCAAGTACACGTTATACAACAATGGTGTCAAGACATATATATATGGCGGTGGTGACTATATTGTGAGAGGATTGATTTGAGATCAAACCTGTGAAAGGAGGGAAAGTGAGAGTACACTTCTTGTCATGGTTCTTCACCTTGACCCTTGACGCAAACATCCTCAAGACTCCATCTTTCATCTTGGCCTCCACGCCGGTGATCTCGCAGCAGTCGCAGCTCAGACCGGTGCTTCCGGAGTACTCACGAACGCCGTCCTTGTTGTTGCCGTCGTCGAGAGTCTCGCCGGAAAAAAAGATCACCTTTTGCCTCACGGAGTCGACTCTGTGGCGGACGGCGTCGTCGGGAACACCGGGCAAGTCGACGCGGATGTAAAGCTTGTCGTCCTCGAGGATCTTCACCTCGACGAAACCCTTGGGACCCGCTTTCTGGAACGGACTGTTGGTAGCGTAAAAACCATCTGTTACAGTACAATGCCGAAAAACAGAGATGGGAAAAACATGAGAACAGAGCTTCAGTGACGGAAAGTTTAAAGCTTTAATTAGTTGCCAGAAGAAAAGAAAAAAGCACACAGAACCGAAGAAACACTATCAAAGAGCATTAAAGAACTAACTCAACTGATTTTTCATGAACGAAAACTTGATTTTTCATGGATTATTGAACTAAAGATCAAATATTTATACAGATTTCATGGTAAAGACAAAGTATTTGTCATCTCGCTTCCTTTGTAGAAAATAAAACATGTCTTTAGATCGGAGAAACTGATATGAAAATCTAAAAAGAAAGAAGCTAAAGGGAGATCAAAGAAGAGAAGGGTGAACGAAAGAAACCTGGGTTTGCCGTGAATCTCGTGATGTCCATGTATGAATACTCCTCAGCCATCTCTCTTCTTTCTCTATATTCTCTCTCTCTCTCTCTCTTCAACGTCTCTTAACAATGGCGTTTTTGATTTTGTTATCAATCACTGAATAGTGAATAACTATAAAGAGACGATGAACAACGAGGGTATGAGCTATTGACGTGGCACTGTACCTCTCTTTTCACCTTCACAACACTCTTTCTGAGTAAAACTAATTTGACTGGTCCTCTTCCTTACGTCACTCTCTTAATTTTTGTTAAAAGAAATTTTTTTAAGTGAAAAACAAAAGTCAGGGAAGACGATGAGCTGTCCATCTCCTATTAGCTCTCCTTCCATATCGTTCACATACGACAAATAAATAACGGAAATGTTGTGACCTCTCTCTCTCTTTTCTTTCTTCATTTTCAAAATTTTACAGAGGAAGAAACATTGAATTAGCTATGTTGAAAAATTATGAGCTGTCATTTTTGTTTTTACTATCTATCCCCTTTACTTTGGTTTCACATTACACGATAAAAACAGATAACAATTCAAAGCAGTAAAAGCATCGTCTGCTTTCGTGGAGGAGTTTGCTGATTCATCATCCTTCAAAAGACAGACGCTGGTTTTGTTGTTATAAATAGTAACCAGACCGAGTAAATAATTTATTATACAGTTATCTTTACTTAGCCGAAGGAGAGAAAAGGGAAAGCTATTATGGGCCCATAAATCGGCCCAGTAATTTTAGGTCCAAACGAGCCCTGGGGAAGTGAGGTTTTCTGAGTCGCTGTAGAGTTTGGTGCAGATGTTCATGTTGTTATTGATGAAGGATGATGGATGCAGATTCTCCACATGCCATTGCTAAGCTCCTCCAACTTTTAATTGAGCTGTTACGAAATTTGCCTTTTGTTGTTTGACGATCGTTGATTGTTTGATTGCTCTAAGAAGAGATTTGTTTGAGTTAAGAGAATAGAGACACAAATTTGTTTACCCAGTTCTCTTACGATACGTCTGGGGAGAGATCCAAACTCTCAAGCTTGCACTATCACAAAAGAATAACAGAGATTGCTTCTCTTTTGTTACAGGTTCTTAACTTGTCCTCTCTGAGCTATTGAGGATAAATTGTAAACTATATATATCCGTCAAGATGAAACTGCAGCCCTAGAAGAATCAGGAGATGATAGCAATGAAGAGAATCAGGGTGAATTTCTTCTCCTTATCTTCTCTGATTCTGCATTTATCCGATAAACAGTAGCTGACTTCGTCTTCTTCAGTTTTCCAGCGGAATGGGCTTCAACTTGTATGGCCCAAACACACACTCCTTGACTTTCTCCAAACTAATGACGCAGGCCCAATTTGGTGTAGGCCCAAGACAAAAGATAGCTCACAATCTCCACCTTTGTCGATGGGTCACTCTCAATTTCCCGACAAAAAACCTTCGACACCTCCGCCGAACACCTCACTAGCTCAATCTCTTATTCCGGCGAGACGTCTTTACCGCCGATCGCCATTGCAGCCAGCTTTACCGATGACCACTGTTGAAATCTTTCCGGAGAGGTAATCTAACTATCTCTCAAAATTACTCCCCCTTTGATTCTTTGTGTTGAAAAATAATCTCAGATTTACCGAAACTCATCATCTCTCTGTTTTCACTGTTCAGTTTCACGGAGATAGATTATTCTGGAGTCCACGACTAAAATGAGAAAGGTAAACCCCTCTAACTCCCAAGTTTCTCCCTCTGATTTCATAAATTCCATTCTTCAATCCCTTTACCCGTTGCATGAAGAATGTTGCTGTCGATTTCTCTTCCTGAAGAACTAACACTGTTTTTCTTTTTGTTTATGGTGCGAGATAATCAAATCGACTGGAGTACCTTGACCATCTTCGCCATTGGATCAGGCGATTACCTTGAGCGTGGCAAGGCACTGCTCAAAACACTTGCCAGGCACACTCTTAGTTAGGAAATCAGCTGGGTTTAGGCTTGTATGAATCTTCGGTAGGTTGATGGAACCATTACCCACTAGATTCCTGATGAAATGTTATTTAGTATCGATGTGTTTAGTTCTATCATGGTGAACTGCATTCTTTGCTAGACATATAGCGCTATGTGAATCACAATGTAGATCGAAACTTGCTGAACTAAATCCCAACTCATCACAAATACCCATAAGCCATATCCCTTCCTTAGCTGCTTCTGTGAGAGCTATGTACTCAGCCTCTGTGGTTGACAAAGCCACTACTGGTTGTAGTTGCGCTCTCCAGCTGACAGTATTCCCTCCCACCGTAAATGCATATGCTGACATTGATCTCCTTCTATCTAAATCAGTAGCATAGTCCGAGTCACTGAACCTAACTATATCAAACTTATCTGACTTAGTAAATGTTAGATCAATATCCAACGCTCCTGTAACATACTTCAAAATCCATCTGACAGCTGCCCAGTGAGTTCTCCCTGGTTGGGCCATGTATCTGCTAACCAAGCAAATAGCAAACCCCAAATCAGGTCGAGACCCATTCATTGCGTACATCAGACTGCCCACTGCGCTTGCGTATGACACTTTTTCCATATGTTCCGCTTCTAATAGCACTTCTCTTTCGGTAAGCTTCTATAGCTTAAACTGAGAACTTGTAGGAGTAATAACTGAGTTTGCCCCTTCCATGTTAAATGTCTTCAAAACTTGTCTCAGATATTTTTCTTGAGACAGTTTGATCGTCCCTTTCTTTTTGTCTCTGATAATATCCATTTCCAGTATTCTTGTAGCCGGACCCAGATCCTTCATCTCAAACTCCTTCATTAAGCTATTCTTTAGTTTTGAATCCTTTTCCTGTCCTTTGCCGCTACTAACATGTCATCAACATAGAGTAAGAGATACACCCGATCATCAATGTTTGTTCCTTTGAAGTACACACATGTGTCACGCTGACTTTGTGTGAACCCATGAGTCTTCATGAATTCATCAAACCGATGATTCCATTGTCTAAGCGATTCCTTTAATCCATACAACAACTTCTTTAGTAGACATACCCTTGATTCCTTTCCCTTATGTATGAATCCCTCTGGTTGATTCATATAGATTTCCTCATCTAGAGTTCCATGAAGGAATGCTGTTTTAACGTCCAACTGTTCTAGTTCCAGATCGAAGTTGACTACAATGGATAGTAGTATCCTTATGGAGACATGTTTTACCACAAGGGAGAATATTTCATTGTAATCAATTCCTTCTATTTGAGTGAATCCTTTTGCTACCAGTCGAGCCTTGAATCTTGGTAGCTCCACTCCTGGAATTCCTTCTTTGTACTTGAAAACCCACTTGCATCCCACTATATTCTTCCTGTCCGGTTTAGTGACGATTTCCCAAGTTTCGTTCTTGTACAAAGAATCCATCTCCTCTTGCATCGCTTGTTTCCACTCCTTCCAGTACTTACTTTTCATAGCTTCAGAAACTGTCCTTGGCTCTTCTATTTCAATGTCCTGAGCGCATGACAGTGCATAAGAGATGACGTAGTCTCCGCTTGTAAAGATCTCTGGCAGCTTTTTGATCCGCGATTTTTTATCCCGAGTAAGGATATAATCCCCGAGAGAGAGGATATAATCCCCGAGAGAGTCTGGTTTATTGCTTTCTTGGTTTGATTTCTGCTCCAGCAGTTGTTCCGATTCAGACTTGTCTTCTTCGGATGACATTCTGTCTAAGTCTGAGCTTTCTCTTTCTGATGACGCTCCACCTGAATCCAACTCTGAGTTATCCTTTCTTGATGTAGCTCCACCTGAATCTGAATCTGAGCTATCTTTTTCTGACGTAGCTCCACTTGAATCTGACTCTGAGCTGTCCTCTTCATATGAATCTTCATCTGATCCTAACGGCGTTTCCCTTGATCCTGAGGTTGCTTTTTCTGACATGAGCTTATTCTTTCTCTGTTCATACTCGAAAGTAACTGCTTTTCCCTTCCTGTCTTCCGGTGCTTTCTTAGGATTCTTATCTTTAAATACAAGTTCTTCGTGGAACACCACATTCCTACTTGTAGTACATTTGCCAACCTCCGGGATCCAGATCCTATAGCCTTTAACTCCTTGGGGATAACCCATGAAGTAACCTTTAACTGCTCTCGGACTGACTTTGTCTTGTGTAACATGGACGTATGCTACACTGCCAAACCTTCTTAAGTGTCCCAAACTGATGTCGCCACCAGTCTAAATTTCCTCTGGAATTTTAAACTGTAATGCTGAAGTTGGTGACCTGTTAATGAGGTACACAGCTGTAGACGCAGCTTCTGCCCAAAACTGCTTTCCAAAACCCGTTTCTGCCAGCATACATCTTACTTTATTCATGATGGTCCGATTCATTCTCTCAGATACACCATTTTGCTGTGGTGTGTAAGAGCATGTCTTATGTCTTTTAATACCCGAAGTCTTGCACAAGTTGTCGAATTGATTGTTGCAAAACTCAAGTCCATTGTCAGTTCGTAGACATTTCACTTTCTTCCCTTTCTGAGTTTCCACTAGCTGTTTCCATTCCTTAAAGCTCTGGAAAGCTTCATCTTTAGTTCTCAAAAAATTGATCCACACTTTTCTCGAGTAGTCATCGATGAATGTGATAAAATACTTGCATCCTGACAAGCTCTCTTCCACTCCTGGTGAACCCCAGAGATCTGAGTGTATGTATTCCAACACTTCCTTAGACGTATGCTTGCCCTTAGGGAAACTCTGTTTTTAAGATTTTCCCAACACACATTCTTCGCAGAAGTCAAGAGTATGAACCCCCTTCTTGTCGAGATATCCTCCTTTAACCAGAACGTTCATACACTTTAGACTCATGTGACCTAACCTTGAATGCCATCTCTTTGTTGTGTCAACACTTGGCCTTGCTACAGCTGCTATTCCTTTTGCAACGGTTCCTACCAGATAGTACAGACCATCCTTGTACTCTCCTGAGATGACTTTCTTTCCCTCTTTGAAAAAATTTACTCTGAAGTCTTCTCCCTGATACTTACAACCGTTTTTCTCTAGTTGACCATATGAAATCAGATTTCTCCCCATTGTAGGCATATATCTGACCTCTGTTAACACCACAATCGATCCATCTGGATTTATAACCTTCAGTTTACCAATACCCTTGATCTCACTGACCGAGTTATTCCCCATCAACACTCTACCTCCTTCGACTTCTTGAAAGTCAAATAAGACATTCTTATCTGGTGTGATGTGGAAAGTGCACCCAGAATCCATCACCCTATCATCCTTGGGATCTTGTAGGCTTGCTGTCAACACCATATGTTCTTGTTTATCCACGACATTTGCTGCATTTGCCTTTCTCTCTGGACAGTCCCTTTTGTAATGTCCTTCTTTTCCGCAAGTCCAACATTCCCTGGCTTTTCCTTGGCCTTTAGGTTTAGACTTTGACTTGTCTCTACTCTTTCCTTTTCTCTTAGAGTGAGACTCATACTTCTTCTCGGTTTTTCCTTTACCAGCATAGAGTCCTTCTCCTTCGCTTCGTGATTTACCCAAAAGTCCTGCCTCTCGAAGCTCAATCTCTTTAGCTGTTGCCGATGTGACAACTTCTTCGAGTGTTATAGGTCCCTCACGCTTACCATACTTCAAAGTATGTACCAGTGGAGCATAAGCTTTAGGTAAACCGGACAGTACTTGCACTGCTTGATCTTCGTCTGTTACCACGATCTCAAGACTCTCTAACTCATCTACCATTCTCAGGAACAAGTCCATATTTTCTTCTATGCTCTTGTGTTCTTCCATCCTGAAACTGGTGAATCGTTGCTTTAGGTAAACGCGATTAGGTAGAATCTTTGCTTGATATTCTCTTTCAAGCGCTTTCCAAACATCTACGGCAGTAGATTCTTTCATTACTTTTCTCAGGACCATGTTCGATAGACTCGAACATATCAGGTTCTTTGCTCTGTGAGACTACTCTCAGGTTTTGTTTCCGGTAATACAACTCTGATTTCTTTGTTCTTATAAGGAGACGCTTGAGTAACTTCTTGCAAAGCCTTCCCGAGTCCTTGCAGTTCAAGTTGCATAAGCATCTTGAATTTCCACATGCCAAAATTTATCTTGCCGTCGAACTTCTCCATTTCAAACTTATGAACGGGATCCATAGTTTCTTTGCGAATCAGTCTTCAACCAGCGCTGATCCCCCGAAACTATGCTCTAGAAACGTTTTGTTTCTTCTTCTATTACTTAACTCGCACTTAGAGCAATGAACATTGCAATCCGATCGTACCTTGCAACACACAAACTTGAGTGCTTGACCGCACTTCTCTTACTGCTGAACCAGCAGCTCTGATACCACTTGTTACGAAATTTGCCTTTTGTTGTTTAACGATCGTTGATTGTTTGATTGCTCTAAGAAGAGATTTGTTTGAGTTAAGAGAATAGACACACAAATTTGTTTACCCAGTTCCCTTACGGTACGTCTGGGGAGAGATCCAAACTCTCAAGCTTGCACTATCACAAAAGAATAACAGAGATTGCTTCTCTTTTGTTACAGGTTCTTAGCTTGTCCTCTCTGAGCTATTGAAGATAAATTGTAAGCTATATATATCCGTCAAGATGAAACTGCAGCCCTAGAAAAATCAGGAGATGATAGCAATGAAGAGAATCAGGGTGAATCTCTTCTCCTTATCTCCTCTGCTTCTGCGTTTATCCGATAAACAGCAGCTGACTTCGTCTTCTTCAGTTTTCCAGCGGAATGGGTTTCAACTTGTATGGCCCAAACACACACTCCTTGACTTTCTCCAAACTAATGACGCAGGCCCAATTTGGTGTAGGCCCGAGACAAAAGATAGCTCACATGAGCGACTTATGATTCTTGATTATTGCTGCAAATCATTGAATAAGTAAGTCTATAAGATGTACCAGGTGCCATTGCTAAAGAAGAGTAATATCAAACTTCATAAGCACTTTGCGATTTTTGGGCTTAAGGATATGAAGTAATATATGGCTCAAAACGCATTTATTGGGCCTAGATATACTTGTACTTTACAGATTCTTTCTTGATGGCTTAAAAATTATTTACACACATAGAGATATCTATACTAAATAAAAGGAACTATTTGGGGCTCCTTAAGCTATCCACCTCAGCTTTTCAAACTACTCTAAAAATATGACACATCAGCAAAAAATAATAATACAAATTCCCACTTTAGATTTTTTTGAAATACACATAAAGTAAATAAATAGAACCAAAATTAATATAGTTAAATACAAGAGTAAATAAAAATAAAATATTATTTTTTGAATCAATAAAATAAATATTATTTAAATCTATAGCATCAATATATACTCTTTTGTTTGTAATATAACAAATTAACAATAATAAAAATTTTCACTTTAGATTTTTTTAAAATACACATAAAATAAATAAATAGAACCATTAAATTAATATAGTTATTAGCAAAAACTAAATAAAATTATATATCATTTTAATCAGTAAAATAAATATCATTTCAATCTGTAGCATTAATATATTCTCATTTTTGTCACTAAAATTAATATAGTTACGAACAAAAGTAAATAAAATTAAAATATCATTTTTTGAATCAGTAAAATAAACATCATTTAAATTTATAGCATCAATATATACTTCTTTTGTTTGTAATATAACAATAATAAAAAATTTTACTTTATATCTTTTGAAATACACATAAAATAAATAAATAGAACCACTAAGTTAATATAGTTATTAGGAATAAGTAAATAAAACTAAATATCATTTTCGAAATCAGTAAAATAAATATCATTTAAATCTGTAGCATTAATATATACTCCTTTTTGTAATATAGTGAATATATTGGACAAGAAATTGCTCTAAAAAACTTAAATAATAGTTAATAGAAACAAGATTACAAAATAATAATTTTTAAAATAAAATTTAAAACATTTACAAATTATAAAAATCTAAAACATTCACCTTTTAGAAACATAAAGATTAAACATCATAGTACGTTAGATTTATGACAACCAACAAGACAACATAAATTATAGGAAGCTTTTCAAAGCATCTATCTATATGAAGATTTCGACCATCGTTACTATTTACATTGCAGAAAATGATAGACAAAAGAAGAATTTCATGTACTGATATTTATTCAATATGTATCTTAGTTGGCTTAAGGTAGTTAAGTTACTACAAGCAATACATGTCAGCGCATGAATTAAACAGTTTATAAAAAAAAATTAAGTTTTAGATGACAGTTAATTTTTATATATATCAAGTTAGTAAATTTTTAAATTAAATAATAATGCATTTTTGAAAAAATAACATACACATTTTTATGTAGAAGAAAATGTCTAAAAAATCTCTAATTATCTACATCAACAAAATTCCTTATAAACCCAATTTGAATGAAAAACTAATATGGTTTTTTTTACTGGGTTAAGAAACTCCTTTAAAAATAATACAATATATATTATTAGTTTAATTATAAAGGCTCATCAAAATATATATGTGTAGTTTAAGAAAAAATGTTTAAGTTAAATTACAAGCAAAATTTTTTACATCTTTTGAGTTTTGAGAAACTCAACATACTTTATTTAACATAATGAGTTAGTATTAAATTATATTTTTATATGTATTACTTGCCTTATTCATCTATATTTTTTTATAGTTTACGTATACTTCATAGACCAAATCAAAATTGCATTTTATCAATATGATTGTGATTTTTTATACTATGTAAATATTGTTTTTATTTATATGAATCATAGTTATTTTATAGATTTATAAGAGATTAGAACATTGAGTGTTGTTTGTATTTGAGATTGCTAATTAAATAAAAACACTACACGAACACAGTTGAAATAAAAATAAAAAAACTAAATTAATTGGAACAATAATAATCAAATTTAGTCAAAACAAAAAATAATTTTAATAATATTTTGAAAGTTAGTAGTGAATAACAGTGAGTTTATATACAAATATTAAGTTTTAGATTAATAGTTAATTTTAGCATATATCAAGTAGGTAATTCTTAAAATTATATCATGATACATTTTTTGAATACATTAAAATATTTTTGATGTATAATCATATCAAAACAATTTTAAAAATTAAATATTATATTTAAAATATTAACTTAAAGTAAAAATAATTTAACTTAGATAATAATCAAATATCTATATAAAAACAATCCGCGAGTAGCGCGGAAACATCCCTAGTTCTAATGATACAAATAGTTATCTTTTAGTTTCACGCAAGTGTCAGATAGTTTTAGTTTGGAAAAAACAAATGATGATATCTTACAAAAAGGCTTTTCCTAAAATTGTTGGTTTGTACCAACGGAAACTTGTTCGTCAAATGTTAAACGATTCAGACAGAAGTGAAACTTTTAGATTCTAGATTTTGGATTAAATGCTATGCAACACGCAGTTTCGGTCAGTTCTTGAATTTTTTTCTTTTCTTAACTATTTATGTAATTATTATGGATGCATAAATACAAAAGATTGCGACTTTGTTTTCTTCTTCCCATTTTTTTTTTCCACATTCTGCACCAGCTCTTATAAGTTGAATATTCTAAGTTTTATAAGTTTGATAGAATCATTAATTTAATCACGATTGTTGCAACCAACTTCTGATATATATAATTCTATTATTATATACTTTCAGATCTCCAGGATTAGGATTTAACAAGTCCTCTGTTTTCATCTCCCTCTTCTTCGCTTTTGAGAAACAATGGAAGCAATGGCCAGCGTTGACTTTGGAAACTTCTTCATCTCAACCCTCCTATGCCTGTTATCAACCTTATTCCTGTTTCTCTTCTTCTCCAAGAAACCAAAAAAGAATGGTGTTAACCTACCTCCAAGCCCTCCTTCTCTTCCGATCATCGGTCATGTTCACCATCTCTTCTCTGGCTCAGTCCACAAGTCTTTTCAGAAAATCTCATCAAAGTACGGACCATTCCTCCATCTCCGCATCTTCAACGTCCCCATCGTCCTCGTCTCCTCTGCCTCAGTGGCCTACGAGATCTTCAAGGACCACGACATGAGCGTCTCCTCTCACGACGCTATTGGGATGGAGGAGTGCCTCGTGTTTGGATCTTTTGGCTTCACCAATGCTCCCTATGGAGATTACTGGAAGTTCATGAAGAAGCTCATCACTAACTAACATGCTCGGACCCCAGGCGCTCGAGCGGTCACGAGGCGTTCGTGCAGCTGAGATGGAGCGGTTCTACAGAGATCTTCTTGATAAGGCGATGAAGAAACAGAGCGTTGAGATCGGCGAGGAAGCGATGAGACTCGTTAACAGTATTTTCGGAAAGATGAGCATGGGAAGTAGTTTTTCAGAGGACAACAACGAGGAGAAAGTCTCGGAGTTTAGTGTCAAGTTCGCTGCCTTGACACAAAAGATTTTTTTGGCACAAATACTGCGTAAGCCGCTTGAGAAGTTTGGTATCTCACCATTCAAGAAGGAGGTAATGGATGTTTCATACGAATTTGAGGAGATGCTTGAAAGGATTATTGTGAAATACGAAGAGAAAGTGAACGAGCATCACCGTAGTGAAATTATGGACACATTGTTGGCAGCTTATCGAGACCAAAATGCAGAGTGCAAGATCACTAGGAAACATATCAAGGCGATAATAGCGGTAAAATAATCTAAACTAGGTCAAGAAGGCATTCCATTTTTTTTTTGGCTTGGCTTTTTTTGTGAGATTAATTGGTGTAGCACACCCTTAAATCAAAACGTACACAACTCTCTTAATAATCATTTTGCAAACTGTAGGAGCTTCTCTTTGGAGCCGGTGACACTTCTTCAAAGTCAACACAATGGGCAATGGCTGAAATCATCAACAACCCTAAGATCCTTGAGAGACTGAGGGAAGAAATAGATTCAGTTGTAGGGAGAACAAGGTTGGTCCAAGAAACAGATCTACCAAAGCTTCCTTACTTGCAAGCGGTCATCAAGGAATCTCTAAGGTTGCACCCACCAGGAGCTCTTTTGCCGAGGGAGTTTGACCAAGGGTGTAAGATCGGAGGGTTCTACATACCAAAGGGGACATCACTTGTTATCAATGCTTACGCTGTGATGAGAGATGCTGATTCTTGGACAGACCCTGACGAGTTTAAGCCGGAGAGGTTTCTAATGCAAGAAGAGGAGAGAAGAGAGAAAGTACTCAACTTCCTTCCTTTTGGTGCTGGAAGGAGAGGGTGTCCTGGATCAAATCTAGGTTATATCTTAATAGGAACTGCGATTGGAGTGATGGTGCAGTGTTTTGACTGGGAAATCGAAGGAGATTATGTCAACATGGAAGAAGCTTCTGGAAGACCTTTCTTGGCCATGGCTCATCCCCTTAACTGTGTTCCTCTTCCTCGAATCTTAAATCCTTTACCCTCCAGTTTGTAGATCCTTTGTTTCGTAAAACTCAAGTTTTCACTCTATATTCCATAGATGTGGTGAGAATCTCTGCACCAGTTTTTGTAATAAGAACTGTATGCTCGAACTGTACGGCCGGACCACCATCTGCTGTCAGAATAGTCCATTTGTCTGGCCACGTTACAAACTCAGTAGTTCCAATGGTAAGGATAGGTTCTGCAATGAGAACAAAGGAACAATCAATTTATAAAAAAAAAAAAGAGTATAACTCATTCATCAATTTTCTATATGAGAATGCTCACTCACCCAGAGTAAAAGTTTGACCCTCAATCATATTCATATGCTCAAGTTCGTGATCATCTGCAAACAAACAAAAAAGACAATTTTTCTCATTCAGTGAAGTTTCCACCATTAAGAAGAGTTGTTACAAGAAGCCCTTTTTGTTTACTTACAGTTTTGATGAAGATATATTAGAGGCTCTGAATGTAGTACCGTTCCAACACCATGCCCAATAAAGCTCTCCACATTGTATCCATACTTCTCAACATGCTCACTATTGGAAATTGTAAATCACTGAAACTGTTCCTTTATTGAATCTGGTTAGTACTGTTGTTACTACTACCTGATGATCTTCCCAATTTCGTTGAAGCTTGCTCCATCTTTACAAATCGATATACCTTTCTCCAAGCATTCTTCTGTAACCTTTTTAAAAAAGAAATAACTATGTCAGCCTCTAATGGTTTCATAATAAGAAGCAAAAAAAGTAGTATCCATTGAAACCTTCACAAGTTGTATAAGACTTTTATTGACATCTCCACAGAGGAAAGTCTTTGACGTATCTCCATGATATCCCTGATTCAAAGTGTTGAACCACAACAAAAAGTGTTACACAACTAAACTCTTTGATTGAAGATTAGCAAAAGAAGCCTAAAAGACTTACATCCAAGTAAACTGCCACATCGATATTTATCACATCTCCGTTCTACAAAACAAGGTTTGATTAGTGATCCTTCAGAACAAACTCTGTTCATACTTAAAGAAGCAGATTCATACTCCGGACCTGTAGCTGCCGTGAGTCTGGAATCCCGTGAAACATGCATTCATTAACCGATGTACAAACGCTTTTAGGGAATCCTCCATATCCGAGAGGTGAAGGATAAGCACCAGACTCAATGATCATCTTGTGCACTGCCTTGTCGATTTCATCTGTGGTTACAAAAGCCTGCAAGAACCATTTAACCAAGAAGGGTTCAACAGAAAATGAGAGAGACCCACAAGAAAAAAAAGCTAATCTTTACTTACTCTAACCAAAGTTCCTGCATAGTCTAACACACGAGCAGCAAGCTCGCACGCTGCCTTCATTTTCACAATACCTTTGGAGTCATGAATCTGATATTCACTTGATATCTTTGGTAACTCGTTACACTCGAGATAAGGAGGCTTTTGTATGTGATCAGGAACAGTAAGACAAGGCGATACTCTTCCACATACTAGAGGTGGATTTCTTCTTACTTCTAATGTGCTTTGAAGTTCTTGAAACCTGGAAACACGCATCAAGATTCATCTTCAATGTTTTCACTTAGCTCTGAAATGTTATCATGTTTATGAATAAAATGACTCAAATTTATTTCTTAAATTCAAAAATAGTATAAAAATCAGTGAGTACCTTCTTGTTCTAGGAGAATATGACTTCCTTTTGCCTGCAGCGAAAGAAGAAGATGATGATGAAAAAACATCAAACGTATCACACCGGTTTCAAATTGTGATTCATCGATTACAAAATTTTCAATTTGGATGAACAACAAAGCCTTTCAACACTTGAATAATGCAAATCGTATCATCAAATTCTAAACATGGATTTAGTCTCGCTAAAGAAACTTCCAACAGTAGCCATAGGAAGTAGAGAACAGCAGTAAAAGCAAACTTGAGAGCGGGAGAGTGGAGAAGTTAGCCGGAGCTCCGGCAAAGTTTCTCGACGGCGTTAATAGATCGCCGTTAAACAAAGAACGGGACTGAGAAAGACCGAACAACATTTTCCATTGTGTGAATAAGCAATGACTGAAGATTTGGAAGGTAAAAAAAAAACAAAATTTTTTTTGAAGGTTCCAACAAGAATTTTAATGGGCCGTTAACAAATCAAGGCCCGTTAGAAATTAGATTGCATATTAACACAAAATTCCCAAATCTGTTCAACACTTTTTAACTTATGTTATTTGCAACAACTCATAAATAATCTCGGAAAAAAGTCAACGAAAGGAAAAAAAAAGTTAAAATTTTGTTATTTTGTTAATGAAATTACAACAACAAACAAACAGAGAAAGAGTTGTTAAACTGTGTAACAAATATCGGTAATATATAGTTGGTATAGTATTTTATATATTGAAGACTGGTTTATGATGCTAAGAATTATAGTTATCTTTATTTATGCATAATTATCAGATCATGATGCGAGGAGACTTACTTCAAATTTCTTTGTAATATCGAGTCTGAATGCTTCAAATTTCTTTGTAATATCGAGTCTGAAACTCTGAATCTTCTGTTGTATCACGAGTTTGACGATCTAAGTATATCCATATCTAAAGCTTTTTTTTTCAAACTAAATTGTCATTTTTCATTTTTATTGACCGCGAGTTGTAGTATCGCAAACCATACGTTTTGAGCTTACTGTAGCCGTGTAGCGTAACACATTGTGTTGTCTTTAGAAGTTAAAACATGTCGGTCCATTTGTACGGAGTTACTATATGTAGAGTTCGTTGACTTAGTTGACATTAAAGTTTCCTTTTCTATTGTGGTGACGCCACTGCGTTCGTCATAAAAGAATAGCCATAATTATTTACGATTATGACATATTTGTATAGTGGGAGCACGGGTTATTGCTGAGCTCGTTTACAACAGAGAAAATTCCCTAAATTAAATATCTAACTAGAAAAATTATATATATGCAAGTTGCTAAGTTAAATAAAATTCCAACAAAAACAATTTTTTTGCTTTAGCTATAATATCGAGTTGTTGTATTTGATTCATGGGTGTCATGTCAGCATATCGTGAATCTACTTATTAGAAATAGTCAAATATTTATAGGAAACTAAATTTTAATTTTACTACAAATTATTACTTTTGCCAGCATTAGCTCTTTTTGTATTGCGTGAATGTATATATCGTTTGTTTGCTGAAGGGAGCCCTAACAGTTGGGATAAAAAAAAATTATGAAATAATTTTGAAAGGGAGGAAGTAACAGAATCCATTTTAAAATATTATGTGAAATTATCAAATAAAACTTACAAACAACTAAGTTATTAGTATATAACTTATAGAAATTTAATACTAATTATAATCTGACAATAATGTGCCTATCAGCTTTTCAACCAATGGCAACAGATATGTATGGGGTAGTTGGTCCCATGGTCTCGACCAATTAACTTCCTCTTTCGATTAGAATTTAGTCAACAAAAGCAACTTGGAGTGAAGCATGAGGAACCAACTATAACGAGCTCTTGAACTTAATTAGTTGATTAATTTGTTCTTTAATTACTATTTTTTTTTCCATGGCTTGATTTGATTTGATTTGTGACTTGGATAGGGGTGTATAAGTATATCTGGTCCACAAGTGGCCCATGCTTTATACTTTTCCGCTGATATAAAATCAGGCAGAATCTTGCAAAATCCGTGACTTGATGAATTTAAATACTACCTAATTAACTAATTTCGAATTCGACAAAATAGCATGGTTCGGCAGTTTTCACTTTTTAGGGCTCTCTCGTATTAATTAATTCTTTGAGCAACATGTTTTTATGTCAGTATAATACTATGGTTTTATACATTCTCTTCTTAAGTATAATTTTCTATATTTTTTTATATAAATATATTTCCCAGCTACTACTACAAATATTCCAACCGGCTATGTAGATTATTCCCAAGATATACACGAAAATCAATATACTATAGTAGCAAGAAATTGCACTTCTATGCGACGGATTTGAAAACCTAACATCAAACAGTAATTATATGATATCTATAAAATAATTAAGTGTACGTATAAAATCTTAATTTTGTAGTTAATTCTTACGTGTGAACACTGAACAGCCAGACAAGCTGGCTAATCAAAAACACGTAAATGGGAAGAAAATGCGTGACATTGACGTGGCATAGAGTCTCCAAAATACTATCCTTTTCCTTTTTTTTCTTCTAACTAAAACGAAATTAATTGGCTCGTGAAGAAAGAGATATCTCCCATAAAAGATTAAATTTAAATTTATTTCTTTGTCTGCTTAATAACAAGAAACATTATTATATTACACCTAACGCTGCCACACCTATTTATAAGATAAGTGTTTTCTTTTTCAACTGTCTGAAATATCTTATTTCTGTATTATTATGTTTTGTGATGTTATACGGCATTGTAAACCATTTTCATTTTACTACTTTTTATAATTTTTTGTGAAAAATAGAATTAAACATATAGGAAATCATCGTAAATTTGAGACATCTGGTAAAGAGTAACACATGTTTTCCTTTTTGTATTGGGACATCAAAAAACAAGCAGAAGAATCTGGATAACAAATGACAACCAAATTTATTAATTGACAACCGGATAATATGCCCAACCACGTAAGATATATATTCAGAAAAGAAAGTTACACTACATCTTTTTTTTATGGTTTATGTTGCAAATTTATAACTTTTTGTTAATTTCTTAGTTCAATTAATGATGATTTTGTTACTCACACACACAACTCTCATAATAGTAAAACTGAATACATAGAAACAAAATAATGAAAGTTAAACTTATTTATGAAAAACTTCATTAAATTCATTTTTTCTTACCTCACTATATGACACATATATCTATATAATGTGACAAATTGCTTTTCGAAAGTTATTTATATTAACTTTATGATTCTGATTCGATAATAATAAAAATATTAGTCGAGGGAAAAAATTAACAAGGATATCAACTATTTGAATTTACTGCTAAAGAAGGATATCAACCATTCAAACAACAAGTTTAAGTTCTCAAAAAAAAAAAAAACAAGTTTAAAATATTAAAACACGCTACATTTGTGAATTTAGTTCGGTTTTTTCGAAAACGTGTATAACTTATCTGTGTTAGTAATCATCGTTCTCAAAACATAAATTCTAAAGGAAACTTATTTGTGTTAGTAATCATCGTTATCTAAACTTAAACTCTAAAGAAGAAAAGGTTATACTTATATTTTTTGTTAGTAGCTCTTATCCAAAAACTTATCTCAAATTAATACTTCAAAGACACGAAAGACAAAGGACAATGAATGTCAACCAACATATCAAAACGAGCACACACACACATATATATATATATACGTAATAACATCTATATATATACACAATACGATCTATCTTTAATGTAATAATTAGTATATAATAAAACCAATTTTTATCGTAGTACTCATACATAATCTATAAAAAAAAACAAGATGATTTAAGAATACGATGCATCAGAATTTGAAAACTTGATAATCGAGAGATACATGCTGCATTTGATCAAATCAATATATAAGATTAGGTTATAGTTTTAATATTGTGTCAGGAAACCTTAATATAGTAAGGGCTTTTCATTAATTGAAGTACCACGGTTTTACCTTATACATAAACACGACAGTACACCTATTAACAGAATAGGTATAGCCAAACTAGGCAATATCATTACCTAATTACAAAGAATATAAAGAAATACTACTATTTTAGAACGATTAAATAGTTTAGCATATAACGCGGCTGCCGACAGTAGATGTAGGGTATGACTTCGCGCAGACATATTAAGTCATCTAAGTGTCATTATAATAATATTAATTGACGGACTTATAATTGATCTCTAACTGATCAAGTGTTTGGTGTTGATCAAGTAAAAATAAACTATTGAGTGTTAATGTTGTATATGATGCCTAACACTAAAGAAGTTTAGATAACCCGAGGGCCATTAAACTAATCCAGACAAGAGAAATGTGGATAAACATCGCTTTTGCTTTTTTCATCACATTCCATCGATTACATATATTTTGAAATTTATTTACTCTTGGGTCGGATAATTACATGATGGTTTTCAAAAAGAATGATCAATTATAACAAACATCCAATACGAAAAAGCTGTGTCGAAAACACATGATATAATCAAATTTTTGGGCAACGAGGAAATCAATATGATTACAAGCCTAGTGGAATAGGTCTCGCATAATGATAAAAATGGAGTTACAACGGGTCTAACGTAAAATTGCATTGCGATTATTAAAACAAAAAAAACTTACAGATCAAACTTTAAACCGCGTGACACTTAAGTATAGATAGAGAGTAATCCTTAAGGTCCAAGATTATTTCTCCTCGACTCCTCCACGGCTCCAATCCAACAATGCTCATGTGATCTCCGCTTGTGCAAAGATCATTTAAGTGTAACTGTTACGATCAAACAGCGATGAATGATCTATAAAACGGCATTATAGTATCACAAAACAATAAAAACTAAGCATTCCATTTACAAAGATATTTTGATGTAATTTGTTTTTGTCTTAATTTCAGATTATGGTTATTGTTTTTATAATCTTAGTTGAAACTAAAATGAACAAATAAAGACATTTTTTTTTGTCAACTGTAAATTTTATTAAAAACCTTGAAAGATACATTTCTAACTTATATGTTTTCACAGAAGTAGAGAATAAAACATTACTCGCGAGTCATATCATATTGTTGTATGTGACTGGGTATAAATATAATGCTGGCTGATCTAAATGTAGAAAGTCGCTTGGCGTAAGCATAATCCTTGACGATAAAGATAATTTATATATATATACACTTACAATTAAATTTAATCACATTTGATGAGAAAATAGATAGCAAGAATAAGAAATAAATAACTTCAAAGCGTACAAATAAAATGGAATAATCGACTAAATAACAATCGGTCACATCTTAAGTAGTGTCATGGTTTCTCCTTTTTCTAATCTTGATTAAACCAAACTTTTTCTTCCCACGTGTTCTCTCATTTTTTCGACTGATTGATTGCATTAAAAAAATGGTTGTGAATATATCATATCGCTAATTAAATAATACTTTAGTTTATGGATTTTTCTTCTTTTATGATTTTGTTTTTGGTATTTCTTCTTCTTCTATTCAATATGATAAGTCTAATTATTCTTATGGACAGAAATTAGGTTGTAAGAATCATAAACCCCTAATGTGTACTGTATTCATTTTAAAAGTCCAATATTGATACACATAGTCACAAGCCAGGACCTCTATTCGTACACTTTCATATCGCATTCAATATTCTGCGAAAGTTACCATATTACGATCCCAAATTCACACATAGTTCCCATTCTAGTAGAAAAAATAAATAATAAAGGAATAAAGATGCTTGAGAAATATACGAACAATGGAATAAAGATATGTCAATAGCATATTAGCATCGACCATTGCATTTGCAGTAGGATTCATGCTTGCAAAAGATTCCTCACGGCAGAAAATCTCACCGAGATTTGTAACAAAAACATAATAATTCTTCAGTGAGAAAAGAATAAAAATCATAACAATGAATTCTCCAATCTCATACTTTCGTTATTGATAATATATTGCTTATGATTATAGTATTTAATTTCTTTTGAACACCATGCTTGTAAATAAGCATATCAAAAGCTCAGGGGGAATGAATTTCACTGAAATAATATTCAATTTGTCATGTGAACCTCTTTTCTCCATCCCAGCCCACTTATTGGCCCCACTTCTCCATGCAGCCCCCAACATATTCATATAACTTTTTTTCGTCATGAATATAAACTAAACAGTATATATAACAATATTATATATTCCCATTAACTAATTATAAAGATTCATAACCGTCTGTGGGTTAATAATATATAAAAGCTCTCTGGATTTTATTTAAATGTGACTTTGGGGACAATAGTCTCAATATATTTGTCAAATTGTCAAGTGAAATGGAATGCAAAATAATAGAATAATCAAATAGCAAAACTACATGAGCTGAAATAAATTATGTTGGATAACTATATCGCTTTAATAAAAAAAACTGTCGATTAATAGCCTTTCATAGTTATAAGTTATAACACTTGCATCATAAAGCATTATCATTTTTTAAAAAAATATAGAAACTAACAAAACTTGATGAACTTTAACCAATATGATTAAAACACAAGTGACATTACACTTTAAAACATAAATAAGTGAATTACTAAATTACTAATAATATCCTAATCTAATTATTAATTGTAGAATTGATCATACAACAGCTCTAATATGGACATGCTAATATGTGTTGACAAAAGTTGCTCTATACCTTTTTCTTTTAAACTGATACTTCTTTATCTTTTGCATGAGCCTTCTTGTGAATTTAAGTTGACCCTACCCACAACATACACATACAAACCCCATATTATTCCCATACACCTGCCCATATATAGCAGTATACTTCTATCTCCTTAAAACACACTACAAATAATAAAAGAAATAAAATAAAATTTAAATATTAATACATACACGATACATGCACTTGATGTTTTCTTATTTCCCTCTTGTCTCTCTATATATACACACACACATATATTCACACACGTTCACACATAACATTCACACTAATCTCTCTCGATTCTCAAATCTCACAATTTTCTTGTGATTCTTTATTCCTTCTTTCGATTCAAATTATAAAAAAAATATCAAAAGAAATGGAAGCTGTGAGTAGCGTTGACGAGAGCTCGACAACCACAGATTCAATTCACACTCCGGCGAAGATTATACCGTCGACGGCGAGAAAGTCGTCATCTCCGGCGAGTTTATACAGAATGGGAAGCGGATCAAGCGTGGTTTTAGACTCTGAGAACAGCGTCGAAGCCGAATCAAGAAAGCTCCCGTCGTCAAGATTCAAAGGCGTCGTTCCTCAGCCAAACGGAAGATGGGGAGCTCAGATTTACGAGAAACACCAGCGCGTCTGGCTCGGCACTTTCAACGAAGAAGACGAAGCGGCGCGTGCTTACGACGTCGCTGCTCACCGTTTCCGCGGCCGTGACGCCGTCAGGAACTTCGTGGTAGAAGGTGACGGTGACGGAGCCGAGGTTGATTTCTTGAACGCACATTCGAAATCCGAGATCGTCGATATGTTGAGGAAACACACCTACAAAGAGGAGCTAGAGCAGAGGAAACGGAACCGTAACGGTAACGGAAACAGGAACGAGACGGCGTTCGTAACGGTTGTGACGGGGTTTAAATCGGCGGAGTCTCTGTTCGAGAAAGCGGTGACGCCGAGTGACGTCGGGAAACTAAACCGTCTAGTGATCCCGAAACACCAAGCGGAGAAACATTTTCCGTTACCGTTATCTGGCGACGTCTCCGTTAAAGGGACGCTGTTGAATTTCGAGGACGTTAACGGGAAAGTGTGGAGGTTCCGTTACTCGTACTGGAACAGTAGTCAAAGCTATGTGTTGACTAAAGGATGGAGCAGGTTCGTTAAAGAGAAGAGACTCTGTGCCGGTGATTCGATCAGTTTTAAAAGATCCAACGGTCAGGATCAACAGTTGTATATTGGGTGGAAGTCGAAATCCGGGTCGGATCAGAATACGGGCCGGGTCGTTATGAGATTATTCGGGGTTGACATTTCTTCTGTTAAGCTACAAAACGACGCCGTAGTTAAGGAAGAAGAGACGGAGATGTTGTCGTCGTTAAGGTGCAATAAGAAGCAACGCGTCTTCGATGCCTTGTAACAACAGTTTAACAACTCTTTCTCTGTTTGTTTGTTGTTGTAATTTCATGAACAAAATAACACAATTTTAACTTTTTTTTTTCTTTCTTTGACTTTTTTCCGAGATTATTTATGAGTTGTTGCAAATAACATAAGTTAAAAAGTGTTGAACAAATTTGGGAATTTTTGTGCTAATATGCAATCTGATTTATAACGGGCCTTGATTCGTTAACGGCCCATTAAAGTTCTTGTTGGAACCATCAAAATCTTCAGTCATTGCTTATTCACACAATGGAAAATGTTGTTCGGTCTTTCTCAGTCCCGTTCTTTGTTTAACGGCGATCTATTAACGCCGTCGAGATACCTTGCCGGAGCTCCGGCTAAGTTCTCCACTCTCCCGCTCTCAGGTTTGCTTTTTCTGTTGTTCTCTACTTCCTATGGCTACTGTTGGAAGTTTCTTTAGCGAAACTAAATCCATGTTTAGAATTTGATGATACGATTCGCATTGTTCAAGTGTTGAAAGACTTTGTTGTTCATCCAAATTGAAAATTTTGTAATCGATGAATCACAATTTGAAACCGGTGTGATACGTTTGATGTTTTTTCATCATCATCTTCTTCTTTCGCTGCAGGCAAAAGGAAGTCATATTCTCCTAGAACAAGAAGGTACTCACTGATTTTTATACTATTTTTGAATTTAAGAAATAAATTTGAGTCATTTTATTCATAAACATGATAACATTTCAGAGCTAAGTGAAAACATTGAAGATGAATCTTGATGCGTGTTTCCAGGTTTCAAGAACTTCAAAGCACATTAGAAGTAAGAAGAAATCCACCTCTAGTATGTGGAAGAGTATCGCCTTGTCTTACTGTTCCTGATCACATACAAAAGCCTCCTTATCTCGAGTGTAACGAGTTACCAAAGATATCAAGTGAATATCAGATTCATGACTCCAAAGGTATTGTGAAAATGAAGGCAGCGTGCGAGCTTGCTGCTCGTGTGTTAGACTATGCAGGAACTTTGGTTAGAGTAAGTAAAGATTAGCTTTTTTTTCTTGTGGGTCTCTCTCATTTTCTGTTGAACCCTTCTTGGTTAAATGGTTCTTGCAGGCTTTTGTAACCACAGATGAAATCGACAAGGCAGTGCACAAGATGATCATTGAGTCTGGTGCTTATCCTTCACCTCTCGGATATGGAGGATTCCCTAAAAGCGTTTGTACATCGGTTAATGAATGCATGTTTCACGGGATTCCAGACTCACGGCAGCTACAGGTCCGGAGTATGAATCTGCTTCTTTAAGTATGAACAGAGTTTGTTCTGAAGGATCACTAATCAAACCTTGTTTTGTAGAACGGAGATGTGATAAATATCGATGTGGCAGTTTACTTGGATGTAAGTCTTTTAGGCTTCTTTTGCTAATCTTCAATCAAAGAGTTTAGTTGTGTAACACTTTTTGTTGTGGTTCAACACTTTGAATCAGGGATATCATGGAGATACGTCAAAGACTTTCCTCTGTGGAGATGTCAATAAAAGTCTTATACAACTTGTGAAGGTTTCAATGGATACTACTTTTTTTTGCTTCTTATTATGAAACCATTAGAGGCTGACATAGTTATTTCTTTTTTAAAAAGGTTACAGAAGAATGCTTGGAGAAAGGTATATCGATTTGTAAAGATGGAGCAAGCTTCAACGAAATTGGGAAGATCATCAGGTAGTAGTAACAACAGTACTAACCAGATTCAATAAAGGAACAGTTTCAGTGATTTACAATTTCCAATAGTGAGCATGTTGAGAAGTATGGATACAATGTGGAGAGCTTTATTGGGCATGGTGTTGGAACGGTACTACATTCAGAGCCTCTAATATATCTTCATCAAAACTGTAAGTAAACAAAAAGGGCTTCTTGTAACAACTCTTCTTAATGGTGGAAACTTCACTGAATGAGAAAAATTGTCTTTTTTGTTTGTTTGCAGATGATCACGAACTTGAGCATATGAATATGATTGAGGGTCAAACTTTTACTCTGGGTGAGTGAGCATTCTCATATAGAAAATTGATGAATGAGTTATACTCTTTTTTTTTTTTATAAATTGATTGTTCCTTTGTTCTCATTGCAGAACCTATCCTTACCATTGGAACTACTGAGTTTGTAACGTGGCCAGACAAATGGACTATTCTGACAGCAGATGGTGGTCCGGCCGTACAGTTCGAGCATACAGTTCTTATTACAAAAACTGGTGCAGAGATTCTCACCACATCATGAAACTATATAACACAATGTTCAAGAATTGTATTATTGACTATTCATGTATTTTTTTAAAAAGGTAACTTAAGCTAACTAAATCATTCAAAGGCCTTTTCAGATTGTGTTATGATTTCTCTTCTGCATAATACAAAGCAGCACAAAATATATCTGATCAATCTGTCGTCCTTCTGAACTTTTTAAAAAGAAAAAAAAAGTTTTTAAATACTAAAGTTCAGATATGTTGTTTAGTTTATATATCACACAAGTCGCACGTTTTTCCTTTTCTCTATTGTAATTTAAGGACCGACCACATATATTAAGTTTTCAGTATCAAAACTTGGACCAGCCATTACTCACGTTTTCACGTGCCGACCATGGAAACCAAATCCAAATTCCTCAAAAACATATTTTGGTTAGAGAACCACTTTCTGAATTTGCGCACGTGTAATAACTTCATCATTCATCATCGAAATATGATATATATATATATATATATATATATATACACATACATAGACATTCGTAGAACTCAACTCACTCACAACATAAGCACAAGTCTCATCCTCTTCTTCTTAATATACCTTTTCAATCAAATCACAAAGGTTTTATTTTGATCAAATGGCTTCTTCTGCAATGTCTCTTCAATCCATCTCTATGACAACTCTCAACAATCTCTCATGTAATCACCAGTTTCATCGGAGCTCTCTTCTCGGTTTCTCCAGGTCCTTCCCAAATCTTGGGATCTCATCCAACGGTCCAGGTTTCTCCTCTCTATCAAGTTCCACTCCCAAGAACCTCATTTCTTCTCGAGCTCTCTCCCACAACTCGGGAACTACCGAAAATCACAGACCAAGTAAGCTAAAATTCATCATTTTTTTTTTTGTCTTTACAGTTCACTGTTCATAATTCTTGTACCATTTTATTAATTTTCAAAATTAATCATCTTAAAGGTATATCTCATTACTCAAAATCAAGTACCCAATTCGTAAATCTACAAAAATTGATTTATCTAGATATGGTCTCATAGCTTAAAAATAAACAAATACCCAAATTTATAAATTTGCAAACTTGACCATTTAAACATGATCTCAGAGCTCAAAATCAAAATACCCAGTTCGTAAATTTGCAAAGATAATCTCAAAGCTCACAAATTATGTTTTTCTTTTTGACTCATAATGAAAAAAAAGTTTCAGGTAAAGTTCAAGAACTCAGCGTGTACGAGCTCAACGAAGGAGACAGACACAGCCCGAAAATTCTGAAAAACGCAATGAGCCTAACGTTCGGTCTCGGCGATCTCGTCCCATTCACCAACAAACTCTACACCGGCGATCTCAAGAAGCGCGTGGGAATCACCGCCGGTCTCTGCGTCGTGATCGAACACGTCCCGGAGAAGAACGGTGACCGATTCGAAGCGACTTACAGCTTCTACTTCGGCGACTACGGCCACTTATCCGTACAGGGACCGTACTTGACTTACGAGGAGTCGTTCCTCGCCATTACAGGTGGCTCCGGGATCTTCGAAGGCGCGTACGGACAGGTCAAGCTTCAACAGCTTGTGTATCCGACAAAACTGTTCTACACTTTTTACCTCAAGGGTCTTGCTAATGATTTACCGGCGGAGCTCACCGGAACACCGGTTCCGCCGTCTAAGGACGTGAAGCCGGCGCCGGAAGCCAAGGCGTTAAAACCCCACGGAGTTATTACTAACTTTACTAATTAAAATAAATATAATTAGTCCCATTTTTCTTGTGTCTTTTTTTTGTTAAAGCATTTTTTCTTTTTCTTGTGTCTTTGTATAATGGATATTCTATTTTTTTTAATAAAGAACTGAGAAGTTACAAGCTAATACTCACTCTTAAGTCTGAATCAAGCTCGTATTCTCAGCAAACTAACCCAAGTAACCGATTTCATTCAAAAATTATATTGCGATGCTAGTGGTTGATTAAAGACAATATAACAAGTGCAATAACGATCTTTCGAACACTTATATGTTTGGAAATGGAGTGAAAACTTGAATTAACGAACTGAGAATCTACAAACTAGTTGGTAAAAGATTTAGGATTCGAGGAAGCGGAGTGCACTTAAGGGGATGATCCAAAGCCAAAAAAATTCTTCCAGAAGCTTCGTTCATGTTGACTTTCTCTCCTTCGATATCCCAGTCAAAGCACTGCACCATCACCCCAATCGATGTTCCTACTGCGAGATAAGCTAGATTTGATCCAAGACATCCTCTCCTTCCAGCACCAAAAGGAAGAAAGTTGAGTACCTTTTCTCTTTTCTCCTCCTGTCCTAAAAACCTCTCCGGCTTAAACTCATCAGGATCTGTCCAAGAATCAGCATCTCTCATCACAGCATAACCATTGATGACAAGTGAAGTGCCCTTAGGTATGTAGAACCCTCCGATCTTACAACCTTTTAGACATTCCCTTGGGATAAGAGACCCTGGCGGATGCAATCTTAGAGATTCCTTGATGACCGCTTGCAAGTAAGGAAGCTTTGGTAGATCAGTTTCTTGGACCAACCTTGTTCTTCCTACAACGGAATCTATGTCTTCTCTCAACCTCTCAAGGATCTTAGGGTTGTTGATGATTTCAGCCATTGCCCATTGTATTGTATTTGAAGAGGTGTCACCGGCTCCGAAGAAAAGCTCCTACAGTTGCAAATATCTATACTGAGTTACTCTGAAGAACCCTAACCAAAACATTTTGAAGTCAATGTAATGGAACACACGAACCGTAATACATTACATAATTTTTTTTGAAGTAATTGTTTTATTTTTTCCACAAATTGATATATTATTAACTTAAACGTTATAGTACATAAGGAATATGTAAAGTAATCCTTAATTTATTTGACAAGCAGGTTTAATGACAAAAACTGATGTGTCAACATCTTAACAAAAGTTAGTGTAAAACAATGTCAACTCATAAATGTGATATGACAAATTTCCTAAAATAAACGAAATGTTTCGATTGGTTAAGTTAAAACTAAATAAATCTCATTTTTAAATAATAAACAAAAAATTTATGTCATATATGAATGAATTCTCATTATATAGTAAGAATTCAAAATTATTAATGAAAAAAAAAATAAACAAACAGAAAAATAAATTATAAGTATCCTCTTAGCTAACTATTTTTTATTGTAATACTGTATATATGAATAAAAAGTAGAAATAGAAGTAAAAATGAATTTTTACGTCTTTGGTTTTTTGTACAAATTTCATGCTATATTTTTAGTTTAAAGCATCTCCAACCCATCTTTATTTTAAATCTTCTAATTTAAAGGAAAAAAAAGTTGTTATTTTTTCCTCCAATTATAGAGAAAAAAAATAATGTTTTTTTCTGTAAAATAGAAATAGACTGGAGAGAAATCCACTTATGTTTTAGCGGAAAAATAGAAAAATACATTAGAGATGATTTTAATATTTAATATATTATTAAAGGCAAAGAAAAAAAAGTATGAGACGAAGAAGACAAAAAAAAATAAATAAGAATAATTTTGATCGACTTTATGGTTGTATTTGAAATATTAAAAAATATTATCTTACACATATTAATTCTTTCATGCAAATGTTTTTTCCAACATATTAAAACATTATTTCATAAATCAAATTTTGTATATGTTTTGATCTATTATATTATATATTAAAAAATATATTAAAGTTAGGAACAGATCAACTTTTAATTTTTAATATAACAATCAAATATTAATTATATTATTTTACATCTTAAATCATACACATATAATTTTAGCTCTGATTGGCTTAAACGATTTGGTTACAGAGAGTTTGTGGAAGCAGATTATAAAAGATTTGATGAAGAGATGAGCGGAGAGCTACCAGAAAATTTTATAAAATATGTTTTTATTAAAAAACGACAGAAACGGTTTTCATGATTGTTGTTAAACACTAATAACTGCATCATGTAAAAACATAACGTTTGCGAAAATATCAGAAAAATTTACCAACACCTAAATATTACAATTCACTTATTTCTAACTCATATCTACATGTATAAATATATTTATTATTATTATTAAAAAAATCGACCATACATTATAAAAATATATATTACAAAACATATACTTCATTATTTTCTTTTAACACATGAACGCCATACTTTAATTTTTTTACAAATATGCATGTAGATATAAATATTAATTGTGTAAAAGTCAAACTCGCATGCAACTTATCGTGCATAAATTTTGTTAACTTTGATTGCATTCTAGTTTTAATTTTAGTTATTAGACAATTATATTTTTTTAAAAAATCTTTATATGTCCTAAGAGCGGTGAGGTGGTAGGTATGCACGAATGTGCGGGCTAACCCTCAACCCGCACTTAGGATAACTAAATATAATAAAATTCATTTGGTTTAATTAGCAATAGGTCAAGAAAAAATGTATACTTAAAAATATATATCTATTGGTAAGATTATATAGTATAAGGAGAGAAATTTATAATATAGATCATATTCAAAAAATATTATAAAAATTTATTATTATTTAATATAATTTTTACATTTGCAGTTATATGTTATTATAAATTCTAGAAAAAAAAATCAAAAGACACAAAACAATAGAAAACGTTTATGTCATTGTTGTTGAACACTAAAACTGTGTATGTATAAAAACATAATGTTTACATAATGTATAAGAAAATTAATTAATATTTAAATATTACAACTAATTATGTTTATTAAAAAATTTATACATGCACATAGATGTAGACCAAAAATAAAAATTAAATAGATTATTATATATTTTAATGTTTTTCTGTTTATTTAGTTATCATATTTACATTTTCTTTATCTAAGAAAATATTGTAAAATCTTAATCAATATTTTTATCTTCATTTTCTATTAAAATCTATAACATTTGATATTTGATTTATCATTATTTTCTATTATTAAATATTTATAATTTTATTATTAATACTTAATTTATTATATACAAATAAAACATTTTCAATACTATATTAATCATAATTGAATATATCAAATGTTTTATAGCCTGCATACGGTGCAGACCGATCACCTAGTTGTTAAATATATAAGATACATTTATATAAATTATGGTTCTAAATATTGATTAATTCTAAGAATTTTATTAACTCCAAAATCGAACCGAACTCAAATCAAACCTGAATCAAACCCTACTAATTTCAAATAGAAACACCAAATTGACTAAAAACTAACTAAAAAAAACTAATGTCATGGCGTAGTCTTATAATCATGATAACTTTTTGACTGATTTCTCATTGTAATTATCTATCGGTGATTTATATTATTCAATAAAAAATATAATCAGTATTAAAAATATACGAGACTATAATAATTTAGTAGTTTATGAAACTTTGGTTCTGTTTCTGTTTCTGATTTAAGTGGAAGTTTAGTTTTGTTGGTTGGATAAAAACTTCTTTGATACTATCTGACTTAGGGTTTCGGAAGTTTTAGAAGATCTGCAAAGTCTGATGTTGTAATTGTTCTTTGGATTTGCTATGTTCTGATCCTGTTTTATTTTTAGATTCTTAGAGTTTTTAAAGGTTTAATAATTGTACCCCACAAATATATTAGGCAACTGTATCCTCCTGATTTAATAAAAATTTCAGATGAAAAAAAAAAGTTATTTAATATTTACCGCTAATAACGCCTTGATATGCATCCTAGTGATCTTGCACTCTGCATTTTCATCTAGATAAGCTGCTAACAATGTGTCCATAATCTCAGTACCTTGATGCTCGTCCACGTTCTCTTCGTAGTCCACAATAATCCTTTCCAGGAGCTCCTCAAATCCGTGCGAAACTTTCATTATCTCCTTCTTGAATGGTGAGATCCCAAGCTTCTCAAGCGGCTTACGCAGTATTTGTTGCAAGAAAAGCTTCTTGGTCAAGTCAGCGAACTTGACACTAAACTCCGAGACTTTCTCCTCTTGAAAACTCCTTCCCATGCTCATCTTCCCGAGGATACTGTTAACGAGTCTCAGTGCTTCCCCACCGATCTCAACGCTCTGTTTCTTCATCGCCTTATCAAGAAGATCTCTGTAGAACCTCTCCATCTCAACTGCACGAACGTCTCGTGACCGCTCGAGCGCCTGGGGTCCGAGCATAGTAGTAGTGATGAGCTTCTTCATGAACTTCCAGTAATCTCCATAGGGAGCATTGATGAAGCCATAAGATCCAAACACGAGGCACTCGTCTAAGCCAATAGCGCCGTGAGAGGAGACGCTCATGTCGTGGTCCTTGAAGATCTCGTAGGCCACTGAAGCAGAGGAGACGAGGACGATGGGGACGTTGAAGATGCGGAGATGGAGGAAAGGTCCGTACTTGGATGAGATTTTTTTAAAAGACTTGTGGATTGAACTAGAGAAGAGATGGTGAACATGACCGATGATCGGAAGAGAAGGAGGGCTCGGAGGTAGGTTAAAAGCATTCTTTTTTGGTTTCTTGAAGAAGAAAAGAAACAGGAAGAAGGTTGATAACAGGCATAGGAGGGTTAAGATGAAGCAGTTTCCAAAGTCAACGCTGGCCATTGCTTCCAGTGCAGCTCAAAAGCGAAGAAGAGGGAGATAAAAAACAGAGGACTTGTTAAATCCTAATCCTGGAGATCTGAAACTATATAATAATAGTGTTATATATATATATATATATCAGAAGTTGGTTGCATTACTCGTGATAAAATTAATGATTCTATCAAATAATTCAAGGTGAGAAACTTAAGATTCTCGAGATTCGGAATTCTAATTTCTCTTTGACATGTGAGAAGTTAGACTTGCTCATGTGGAAGAAATGGGTCTGTGATGGAGTCGGTGATTTTAGGCTTTGGTGGTGTAACGAAAGAAGTATGGTTCGGTGCGGTTTCAACAGCTAGTAGACACTTTGTTACTACTTGCTTACTATTCATAAAAAACTATACTGTAGTTTAATTTATGTTCGGTTCAAGATATTATTTTCTCTAATCAAATTTTGTAAACCACTTTTGAACCACATGCCAATCATTCAAAGTGTAACCGCTGCTTTCTCAAGGCTTTCTTAGATTGTTCATACTTTGTTCTGCACTGCTTTTGCTGCTGGATCCGTCCAATCTTTTTATTTACGTACACTAACCATAGGTCAAGTATGTAGTTAGAATAAGTGAAGTAAGAGCTTCACAAGCTGACCGTCCATAAGGATTCCACTGGAGCCAACACTTGGACCAACCTGTTCTCACATCTCCACGTGCTGACTAGGGATGTCAAACGGGCTGATGATCCACCTGAGTCCGAGCACAAGCCCGATCCAAAGGAGATGGGCAGAGGTGCGATGGCCAGAGGCCCGAGCCCATTTCAATAGAAAACCTTTGTAAAAAGGGTCTATTGTTTTATTTTTTTCCTTAATAATGGGCTCATTTTTTTGTTTTTTTTAGTATCAAAGGACCCATTTTTATTTTAAAAATTAGAAATAGTCTAGTTTTATTTCATAATTTGAAAATTTATCCAAAAAATTGGCCCATACTTTTAAAAGTATATAAAAAATATTCAAATATTTTTTGAAAAATAATATTTATAAGGTCCAAAATCTTTTTTGCCCATAAGACCTAAAATACAATGGGCCCTGTCAGAGCATTGTAGTTGTGATGAGCTTCTTCATGAACTTCCAGTAATCTCCGTAGGGAGCTTTGATGAAGCCAAAAGTTCCAAGCACGAGGCACTCCTCGATCGCAACAGCACCGTGAGAGGAGATGCTAGGGTCGTGGTACTTGAAGATCTCGTAGGCCACTGAGGCAGAGGAGACGAGAACGAAGGGGACGTTGAAGATATGGAGATGGAGGAAAGGTCCGTACTTTGATGAGATTTTCTGAAAAGACTTGTGGACTAAACCAGAGAAGAGAACGTGAAGATGACCGATGAACGGAAGAGAAGAGGGATCGGAGGCAGGTTAAAAGCATTCTTTGGTTTCTTGAAGAAGAATGTAAAGAGAAAGAAGGTTGAGAACAGGCATAAAAGGAATAAGATGAAGCTGTTTTCAAAGTCAACGGTGGCCATTGTTTCACAAAAGCAAAGAAGAAGGAGATGAAACAGAGGACTTGTTAAATCCTATGAAGCTGAAATAATCAAGATCTGAAAATATAGAATAATAGTATTAGTATATATGAAGTTGGTCTCGTGATCAAAATTATTAATTCAAAGGTGACAAACAAAGATTCTCGAGATTCGGGATTCTAATTTATCTTCGACATGTGAGAACTTGACTTGCTCATGTGGAAGAATTTGTTTGTGATGGTTTTATACCATCTGCATTGCATTGGGGTTTTTAATGGAGTTTTTAATATTAAAAAAAAAAAGAAAAAGGAAAAAAAATAAAAAGAGAATGTAGAAAGGTCATCAAATGAGAACGGTTTTCAACTTATGAAATATCAATGGGACATTTTTTTGTAATTTAAATGAGTTCAACTTCTTTTAAATATTAAAATTTAATTATATATAATAAATCAATATTATTTATGGCTGAAAACAGATCTTCGCCAATAAAAATGCTCTAAGGCTTTGATGGTGTAACGAAAGAAAATAGTTTAATATGTTCGGTTCAAGATATAAGTTTAGATAATTACATTTGTGATTTCTCATATATTAAGGAGAGAACCAAAGAAATGAGTTAAATTAAATCGGCAATTTTAGGTGGAAGAACCGAGAGTTTTCAAGATAATCATAAATATAAAAGTTATGAGAAGTTGCAAATGAGCATTTTTAACAAAGGTTTTTGGTTGAACGAATGTATCTTTTGGAGGCAAAGAAGCATCTTTTCGGTAAAAAAAAAAAAATTAAAGAGAGACAACTAGAACCACTAAATTAAAAACGGAGTGATATAAACCGTTGGATTATTTCTTTTCCCTCAAACGAAAATTAATCTATATTTTGTGTATTTTTTTATTCAAATTTCCAAAATGTTATCGGTTGTATGTACTATTTTTTAAATTCATTATCACTTACCACGTCGCCCGTATCTCATTTAATGGTCTCCTCCCCCAACCACATTCATCATAAATCGGAAGAAAATAAAATAAATTAAAACCATTTAGTTTAAAAATGAAATAGTTTGTGTTGTTCATACTTTGTGATACGAGAGTTTCTACTTTCTAACAACCAGCCGATTAATTTATAATGTCAAAGTCAAATGCCGTTGCATATTCAGACCCCGTGTTTCATATATGCACAAAGTACATCAAAATCGATTGTCATCGTGATCCTCATGCTACGAAAAATCAACACAACCGAACAAGTTACTTATATGTCTTCACGAAAACACTCTTAACGACAAGAGTTTTGTAGACATGGTGACGCAAATATCTGTTGGCTTGTTTTGGTTATCTTTCTTTTTTACTTGGAGATCTCTTAACTCGGTTTTGACTTATGAGTCAATGGTTCTCTAGCTTTTACGCTCAGTGACCAACCATGGAAACCGAGTCGAAATTCGACAAAGCATCTTTCGTTAGAAGACCGACCACTTTTGTAATATACGCACGTGCAACATGAGATCATCATCTAAATCTATCTAATTATTTATACACACATTACACATCCGTAGACTAGACAGTAGACGCACTCTTTTATAAACCAGATCTCTTCATTAAATAAATCAATCAAACTAGAGTTTCAAGTCCTTTCTTAACATTAAAACCAAAAAAAAAGAAAAAAAACAAAAAGAAGAAGAAGTTTCAAGTCTTTTTGATCAAAATGGCTTCTTCTGCGATGTCTCTCGAATTCATCTCTATGACTGCTCTCAACAATCTCTCCCGTAATCATCACTTTCATCGAAGCTCTTTTCTTGGTTTCTCAAGATCTTTCCAAAGCCTTGGGATCTCATCTAACGGTCCAGATTTCTCCTCTCGATCAAGATCTACTCCCAAGTATCTCTCACCTACTCGAGCTTTCTTCTGGAATTGGGGCAAGACTGAAAACTCCAGACCAAGTAAGTTTACACACTTCATAAATTTGCAAAATTTATTATCTAAAAATAATGATTCTATAACACAAGCTGACAAACTAAGACTCTTGAGATTCGGGATTCCTATCATTTGACAGTGACATGTGAGAAGTTGACTTGCTCATGTGGATGAATTGTATCTGTGATGATTTCTGTGATTTTAACAATTTTTCTTGCGTGTTACTTTTGGTAAAATACTTTCAAATACAATCAGGCATCTCTAGTATATATATAATCCATTTATTGTTTTGATATAGTGTATTTATTTATTTTATTTGACATGCATAAAGGATATAAGTGTATCCAATGGACGGATAATCCAACAGAACAAAAAAAGATTGTTAGTTTTGTTAGCTGAGATTTTCGAAAATCTTTACATAAAAAAAAATTGTTTAAAAAAAAACCCAAATATATTTATATATATAGAAAATTTAATGGAGCACAAGTCTACTACGATTAGGATTTAGTTTGTATTTTGCGTTTGGATTTCCTGTGTTTTAAAAGGATTGCTAATTTTCCAATTCACATTAGTAGGATTATAAGCCTCCTCTACGAGACTTATAAATAGAGAGAGTTAGTCCCTTGATTTGTTATTATTATTCATCATCTCAAATCAAGATAGATATATTAAAAAAAAAGCAAAAAAAGAGGTAACTTTGGAGAATGGAGAAGATGATGAGTAAAAAAGATGTATTTGTATGCAGAGGAATATGGTATGTAATGACTCTCCTCTCGATCTGTGGCCTCTATATATCATTCAATCTTCTCTGGCCAGCCGGAGGAAAGTCAACATCGTCATTCAGGACGGTGCAGTGAGTGCCACAACATTCTATGCAGTGACGCTACTCAGATATCTCTTCTTCAGCCATTCTCCTTCTCCTTGCTACAAGGTCTTGACTACAATAGAAGATGTGTACATTCAGACTGTTGTCTCGAGTTTAGCCTTGGGTTTAGTCATGACACCACCGTTGTTGATCTATGAAGGGGTGACGAAGAATGTGTCTGTGTTGGCCATGTTGTTATTCACCATCTCTTTGTTCACGGGAGGGATAGGGCTAATCCAGTTATCAGATAAACTTCGGATGGAGATGAGATATGCTTTGATCACGCTCTTCCTGGGATGGTTGTTTTGTCTTTCTGGCATATATATCTGTTCATATAATCCACACACTCCAAGATTGGCATTCGCACTTTGTTCAGGTTGTCAGTGGATGCTTTCCGTTTGTTTTTTTCTAAGTTATTATGACGACGAAGACCTCATCAACAAGATCAACAACCCTCGTCTTCCTGTGTGAAAAGGAATAATCTATCAAATTTTATGTTTACTACTTTGTTTTTTTTTTGTTTTTTTCAATTTAGTTGAGCATATTCGTTTTTTCTGTTGTGGAGTTTTTTTATAACTATATAATAATAATATGGATTTCTTTAACATTATTGTATATTATTTATTCTTTTTATGATAAGTTGGGACTAAATTCATCCACGACAATTAATTTATTTTCTTAGCCAGGATAATTGGTATTTTACCGTATGTATATATAATTGCGAAAATCTAAATGAACAAAGCGTAAATACACAAGATAGATCTATACCGAAAGGTGACATTTAGTCCGACTACTCAAGACAATATACTCTTTCATAACATTGTTTTAGGATGAATATATCTATTTGACTATGAATATATCACACAGAACCTCACCAACATAAGAATTGTGTCTTTCCATATATACTTGTGTCTCTCAAATATGAGTATTCAAACCGTAACTACCCGAACTAAAGTCATGGCTCTAACATACACATTTTCTGAATGGATCCTTAGATGGTGTTGGGGTAACGAAAGAAGAAGTGTGGTTCGGTACGGTTTCACACTTTTGTTATTCATAAAAAAAGAATAAGATTTTATATAAATTTTGAGAATTTTGAAATTCCATCATTATTGGTTTATTGATTTTTAAAATCTTACTAAAATCCATTGTTATTAGTTTAAAGATTTTAAAATTCCATCCAAAATCCTTTGTTATTCAAAAAGTTTGGCTTTTTCAAGATTTTATGATTCTATTAAAATTTTGTGTTATTAGAATATGGATTTTAAATAATTTAACTCATAGAACAAGATTTTGGAAGACTTTTAAAATATTACCTATATGACTTAGATTATCAAAGTCATTATAATAAAATATTTTCATAAACTTTCTAAATACATAAACTCTCAAATTTATCAAATCTTTTTAACAAATCTCTCAACTCTTAAAATCAATTAAAACTTTGTAACTTCATCTCCCAATAACCCCACTTAGTTATATTCGGTTTCAAAGATATTATTTTTAGCTTTCTAATTAAATTATGTTAACCTTTTTTGAACCACATACCAATTATTAAACACAGAGACTCAAGTGTTGTTCAAATGCAGTTAGCATTAATAAAAGGCAAAGTAAAATCGTAAGTACAAATTTTATTATTGACAAAACAATTTACATTTTTTACACATGACATGCCCCTCTACGATTTTTTTTTTGCCAAAACACATTACATTTTTATCCCCCCAAAACTCATCGACATTGATTTATAGATTTAAGCTTACATTTGTGATTTCTCATACTTTTGGAAGAGAATCAAAGAAATGAGATAAATTGGATGGGCGATTTTAGTTGGAAGAACCGAGAGTTTTCAAGGTAATCATAAATATAAAAGTTTGAGAAGTTTTTTTTTGAACTGAAATTTAAAAGTTGAGAAGTTGAAAATGAACATTTTTAACAAAGGTTTTTGGTAGAACGAATGTATCTTTTGGAGGCAAAGAAGCATCTTTTCGGTAAAAAATAAATTAAAGAGAGACAACTAGAACCAATAAATTAAAAATGGAGTGATATAAACCGTTGGATTATTTCTTTTCCCTCAAAAGAAAATTAATCTATATTTTGTGTATTTTTATTCAAATTCCCAAAATGTTATCGTTTGTATGTATTTTTTAAAATTCATTATCACTTACCACGTGGTCCATATCTCATTTAATGGTCTCCTCCCCCAACCACATCCATCATAAATCGCAAGAAAATAAAATAAATTAAAACCGTTTAGTTTAAAAATGAAATGGTTTGTGTTGTTTACTTTGTGATACGAGAGTTTCTAACAACCAGCCGATTAATTTATAATGTCAAAGTCAAACGCCGTTGCATATTCAAACCCCGTGTTTCATATATGCACAAAGTACATCAAAATCGATTGTCATCGCTACGAAAAATCAACACAACCGAACAAGTTACTTATAGCATCAGTAATGCAGAACTTTTCATAAGTTCTTAAGTTAAAATGAAAAGAAAAAAAGAAAAAAAAATGATGTGGCACATAAAAAATTGAGAATCGCTTCTTTAAGAGGAGTTTGTAGAATCGATTATATTCTGATTCTCCACAGATGTTTTCTTTTCCACCTTATACTTTTTTTTTGTTTAAAAATTATTGTTCTTTCTCCTTTTTAATATTAAAATATAATTAAGAACTTTTAATAAGAAGATCTGCATTACTCATGCTCTTAGAACATCTACAATAGAGAACTCTTGATTAAATTCTTAAGTATATTTTATGATTAAATATATTATTAATTTATGTTAAGAGTTTTATTCATTTCTTTTTTTAGTTTTAAGACATACAATGTAAAACTCTTTGATTAAAGCAAGGATGGAAGCAAGAGAAAAAATGATTTTCTGGGAAAAAAATATCACAAATCCCATAAAGACACTAGTCTTTTTTTTTTTTTTAATCGAAGGCACAAGACATAAGTCTCCTACATTTTATTAATCAAACAGAAACAAATTATATTGGCACATTTCGTGCTGTTGCCACCCCAAGAGCATCCTCTAACAAGATCGAAACAACAATAGCAGGAGGTGAATCCAAAAACATAAACCCAAAAGGTAAAGAAAAAGCGAAGTTAGCTAACCCATCAGCTAGTTGGTTTGCTTCACGAAAAACATGTGACACACGGACTGACCAGTCCCTTGCTATAGAGCCATGGCACACTAGTATTTAGAATCGCTTCTATTAATTCTTTGTCCAGAGTCAGACTTTAAAATTATAGCTTGCCACATCATTTTGTTTTTTTTTCTTTTTTTTTATAGTTAAGAACTATCATCAGTCTTTGCAATACGGATGCTCTTAAAGCACTTCCATTGGTAGTCTCTTACCAAATCTCTCAAAATAAAAAATTAATAAATTTAAGAAAAGAGAAAAGAGAGAATGGAGGGAGTCTTTCAAATGAGAGATTTTGAAAGACTCACTTTATGTGTTCTCTTTCTATGATTGATTTAAACTTTATTTCAAAATTAAAAAATTAATACAATTAAATTATATTAAAATTATTATTATTAAATTGATGAGAGACTCATGTGAGTCTCATGTGAGACTCATGTGAGTCTCTCACCAATGTAGATGATCTTAGACCATCCTCATCGGTTAGTACTTTAAATTGAGTTTTTAATGCATACTAGGTGATCGGCCTGCACCATGTAAATGTTATAAAATATTTAATATATTTAACTATTATTAGTATAGTATTAAAAATACTTCTTTTGTATATGATTACTTATGTATTAATAATAAATTTATAAACATTTAATAATAAAAATGATAAATTAAATATAAAATGTTATAGATTTCAAAAGAAAATTAAGATAAAAAATATTAACTAAAATTTTAACATATTTCCTTAGATAAAAAATATAAATATGATAATTAAATAAATGAAAAACATTAAAATCTATAATTATTTATTTAATTTTTATTTTTGGCCTGTGCGCATGTGTAGGTATAATTATTTTAGACAGAATTAGTTGTAATATTAAAGTATTGATTAATTTTCTTATACTTTATGTAAAAATCATGTTTTTATACATATACAGTTTTAGTGTTCAACAACAATCACAGAAACGTTTTATGTCATTTTGTGCATTTTGTGCATTTTTTATTTTTTCAAGCGTTTAGAGTAACAAATAATTGCAAATGTAAAAGTTATATTAAATAATAATTAAATTCTTATGATATGTTTTAAATATTATCTATATTATACTTTCTTTTTCTCATTACATAATATAATCTTGTCAAATATATATCTTTAAGTATTTTTTTCCTTAACCTATTTTTTATTAAACCAAAATGAATTTTACCAAATTTACTTATTCTAAGAACGGGTAGATGGTTGGCCCGCACACATTCATGCGTACCAACCACCTCACTGCTCTTAGGACGTATAAAGATTCTTAAAAAATATAAATTGTCTAACAACTAAAATTAAAATTAGAGTGTAATCGAGATTAACAAAATGTATGCACGACATATTTACATGTAAGTTTGACTTTTACACAATTGATATTTATGTTTACATGCACATTTGTAAGAAAATCGAAGTGTGGCTTTTATATGTTAAAAGTAAATAACAAAGTATATGTTTTGTAATATATATTTTTATAATGTATGGTTGATGTTTAAAAATAATAATAATAAGTATATTTATGCATTTAGATATGAGTTAGAAATAAATGAATTATAATATTTAGGTGTTGGTAATATTTTCTGCAAATGTTATGTTTTTACACGATGTAGTTATTGGCATTTAACAACAATCACGAAAACCGTTTTTATCGTTTGTATTTAATCAAAATTTCTTGTTTTTCAGCGTTTTATGATATATGGTTTTTCAATAAAAATATAATAAACATTTATTATAAAATTTATGAAATCATATTTTATAAAATTCAGTGATAGCTCTCCGCTCATCTCTTTGTCAAGTTTTTTAATAATCCGCAATCGCTCACTTTCACAAACTGTCTGTAACATAATCGTTTAAGCCAATCAGATCTAAACTTATATGTGTATGATTTAAGATGTAAAATAATATATTTAATATTTGATTGTTATATTAAAAATTAAAAGTTGATCTGTTCCTAACTTTAATATATTTGTTAATAAAAAATATAATAGATCACAACATATGCAAAATTTGATTCATGAAAGAATGTTTTAGTATGTTGGAAAAATTTATGAATGAAAGAATTAATATGTGTAAGATAATATTTTTAAATATTTGAAATAAAAATATAAAATAGATCAAAACTATTCTTATTTATTTATTTTCTCTTTTTGACTCATATTTTTTAACCTTTATAATATATTTAACATTAAGATCATCTCAAATATATTTTTCTATTTTTTCTTCTAAAATATAAGTGGACTTCTCCCTTTTATTTTTTCCTCTATAATTGAAAGAAAAAGTAACAACCTTTCTTTTTCCTCTAAATTAAAATATTTAAAATAAAAGTGAGTTGGATGTGCTTTAAATCGAAAATATAACCCGAGATTTTTACATAAAACCAAAGTTGTAAATATTTATTTTTACTTTTACTTTTACTTTTTATTCATATATACAATATTATAGTAAAACAAATTTGGCCAATAGGATACTTATAATTTATTTTTTTCTCTGTTTATTTTTTTATTTCATTTATAATTTTGAATTCTTGATATAATGAGAATTTATTCACATATGATATAAACTTTTTTTTTATTTAAAAATGAGATTTATTTAGTTTTAACTTAACCAATCAAAACATTTCGTTTATTTTAGAAAATTTGTCATGTCACATTTATGACATGACATTGTTTTGCACTAATTTTTTTTTAGATGTTGACACATAGGATTTTTTAGTAAACATGCTTGTCAAATAATAGTTATGATTTTTATTAATATATATTCCTAATTTAATTAATTATTAAATATATACTGATTGATCCAGTTATAGAAAGATATGTGGTAAAAACTTAATTAAAAACATATCTAAAACCTCTTAAACAAGAGATATCTCTTATCTCTTTCTTATTTTTTATTATTTTTATTTATTTTGAATGTTAAGAAACGCTTTATAAACTGCGGCTAGAGATGGGTCTTATATGTCTTCACTAAAACACTCTTCAACGAGAAGAGTTTTGTAGACATGGTGACGCAAATATATTTTGGTTTATTTTGGTTATCTTTCTTTTTACTTCGGAGATCTCCTAACTCGGTTTTGACTTTATGAGTCAATGGTTCTCTAGCTTTTACGCTCAGTGACCAACCATGGAAACCGAGTCGAAATTCCACAAAGCATCTTTCGTTAGAAGACTGACCACTTTTGTAATATACGCACGTGCAACATGAGATCATCATCTAAATCTATCTAATTATTTATACACACATTACACATCCGTAGACTAGATAGTAGACGCACTCTTTTATAAACCAGATCTCTTTCATTAAATAAATCAATCAAACTAGAGTTTCAAGTCTTTTCTTAACATTAAAACCAAAAAACAAAAACAAAAAAAGAAGAAGAAGAAGTTTCAAGTCTTTTTGATCAAAATGGCTTCTTCTGCGATGTCTCTCGAATCCATCTCTATGACTGCTCTCAACAATCTCTCCCGTAATCATCACTTTCATCGAAGCTCTTTTCTTGGTTTCTCAAGATCTTTCCAAAACCTTGGGATCTCATCTAACGGTCCAGATTTCTCCTCTCGATCAAGATCTACTCCCAAGTATCTCTCACCTACTCGAGCTTTCTTCTGGAATTGGGGCAAGACTGAAAACTCCAGACCAAGTAAGTTTACATATCTAAACATAATCTTAGATCCTAAAACCAATTACCCAGTTCGAAAATTTGGACTTCTGATCTTTCGAAAAATCACTAATTTGAGAAGAATCTTCAACATTTCGTGTAAAGGACTGACCTTTAAGCTCCAGAAACAAATACCCAATTCATAAGATCGAGTTCTTTGTTACTCAGGTAAAATCCAAGAACTGAACGTGTACGAGCTCAACGAAGGAGATCGAAACAGCCCAGCGGTTCTAAAACTCGGCAAAAAACCAGAGCTTTGTCTCGGAGATCTCGTCCCATTCACCAACAAACTCTACACCGGCGATCTCAAAAAGCGCGTCGGAATCACCGCCGGTCTCTGCGTCTTGATCCAACACGTCCCGGAGAAGAACGGTGACCGATTCGAAGCTTCTTACAGCTTTTACTTCGGTGACTACGGTCACTTGTCCGTACAAGGACCGTACTTGACTTACGAAGACACGTTACTCGCCGTCACCGGAGGCTCCGGGGTCTTCGAAGGTGCGTACGGACAAGTGAAGCTTCGTCAGCTTGTGTATCCCACGAAGCTGTTCTACACATTTTACTTGAAGGGTATTGCGGATTTGCCGTTGGAGCTCACCGGGACAGCGGTTACGCCGACGAAGGATGTAAAACCGGCGCCGGAAGCTAAGGCAACGGAGCCAGGCGCAACCATAAAAAACTTTACTAATTAGTGTTTTTCTCGTGGCCGTATAATAATTGTTTTTTTCCCTTAATAAATTGTTTTTGTTTGTTATCGAATCTTTTGATGATGATGAGTTGTGTGAGTTTAGTTAATGCTGTGTTTGAAGAATAAAATAACATCTTTCACACCTACTCTCTACGTTTTAAAAAGTTTGATGTTTTAAATTAATTACACATATTAAAAACAGTTACTTTTTAATTATAAATATATTATTTTTTGATAATCATGGTTTTTTAGTAAATGTTAATCAATTTAAAATTTTAAATCATTTCAGTTACTTTTCTTGAAATCTACAAAAAATTATATTTAATATTCTAAAACATCAATTTTTATAGAATAAAAAAAATATCCAAAACATTAATTTTTGTAGAACGGATGAAGTATTAAAATATAATAATTATTTATTTTATTAGTTATTTATATTTTTATTTTTAATTATTGTTTTAGTTTTCAATACAAATTAATTAATAGTTTATTTTTAATTCATTTTATAAACCTAAATACATTAATTAAAGCGCAAAACATCAATTTTTCAAAAACAAAAACAAAATCTAAAACGTTAACCTTTGTATTTATTTAGATGTCACTTTTGTTGTTCAAGAGAGTAAACAATTTATTTAGAGTAAAAATAAGAGAAAAATTGATGAGTATAAAGCCCAAGTAAGAAACATACAAAAGGCCGTATGTAAAGTCGACCTGCTGGGCCTGCTAGATTAGGTTCGACTGAGGTCGGTGGAAGGTGATTTGAACCACTGAATCAATAATGAATATGGTGGCTTTTTGAGACTCCCAGGGGACAATTATAATCCAATTATACTATACTAATTTATTAATTAAGAACACATTTCAATCTAACCAAAACAGATAAGCTCTTCGAACACAAATCTCGATTTCTAGAGGCGACCAATTTTTTTCATTATAGCTGACAGCTATTAGAGCTCTTAATTTTAATATCATATTTATAGTTTCATATAAAACTGAAAATAAAATTGGATATTACAACAGCATAGCAAAACTTTTAGTCAGAAAAATACAACAACAGCATAGCATATACATTAATATATGTCTTGATTGGGAAAGGCATTGGCTCGCCACTATATTGGAAAGAAACATTCGCATATTTACTTGATAGTGGACATCAATTAAAATTACCGGTCAAATACAAAGACGATATAGGTACTCTTCAGTTATACCGTCTGGATGCATACATTCTATATTACACTATAATATATTTGTAATCTATGGATAAGGTTATAACGAATTCAACAATGTGTCAAGGTCCTATGACTTTTAGTTGTCTTTTAGTTTTTTGAAATAATTAATCTATTATCTATATGAGGTTTTTATGAAAGGCTTTTCTTCTCCCATGTTTCGGGGTATCTACGAAGAGGCATTTGGCTTTTCATTTTGGGATATTAGAAAATATATATTCAACGTTAAGTAAACATTTTGTAAGGGTGAAATTAATGCTTATAAAACAAATTAGCTCATGCACGTTTGGTTTTTTTGTTGCCGACTGATTTAGGATTTGCATATTGTTTTCCACGTATTGAATTTAGAAACGACATATTAGTCTTATAAAATCAAACTTGTAATTAAGAATATTAGATCAAGAAGTGGAGTTTGTGTGTGAAGATTGATTTCTGTTACCATTATTGGATAACATATCTATAAAGTTCATTGGTAACAAACCAATCAGTTATTATAATTAAAAGAAGAATACACCCCTTGGTTAGGTATATACCCAAATTGAATTTATAAAATTCCTACAAGTAAAAAAAAACTTGGAATCACAATGGCGAATATTCACCACTCCACAAGTACAAGACAAATCTCCATATTCTAATTTGTCAATTGTATATATATATATAATTGGGGATCAAGGTATATACATATTTTATAAACAAAAGCTAAGATTCGACTTGCAATGCGACGGCTCGACCTCTCTTTCAAAATAATGATCCTTGAGAAACCCTTTAGAGCCATATATGTGTTCTCTTTATAAATAGACACTACCCCACCTTCTTGTTTAAAGACTACTACATATATATCTATAATAAAAAGGTGGCTTAATCTCTAAACTCACCATGATTAAGAACATAAGCAATATGAAGAATTATAACGAGAAACGTGGAAGATGTTGTGAGTACATTGAAGCTCTTGAAGAAGAACGCCGCAAGATCAATGTCTTCCAACGCGAGCTTCCTCTTTGCTTAGAGCTGGTCACTCAAGGTATAATAAATCAATACATACATATATGCATCTACGTATCTAAATAGATATACATGCACAGTTTCGCAGCATTTTTTTTTACTTTCAAGATTGTGGTTTTTGTAATGGTTTTTTCGAATATGTATATGAACATATAAAACGTTATTTTTCTATATGTCCCAATTTACTTTTGATTTAAAACTTGTATGAGATCTGAAGATTTTAATTATTTATGGATTTGGGAATTTAGCAATCGAGGCATATAAGAAGGAGATATCAGGGACGACGATGGAGAATGTGTACGGACAGTCGGAGTGCTCGGAGCAAACCACCGGAGAATGTGGGGCTATCTTGGATCTATTCGTACCAATCAAACACTCTCCAACCTCCATAGAAGGGGAAGAAGAAGAGGTTGATGAACACGACGACGACGATGATGATGATGATGATGATGAACATGAATCTCATGAAACCGACATAGATTTCGATGACAAGAACATGAAATCTGAATGGCTCAAGTCTGTGCAGCTCTGGAACCAACCCGACGCAGTTCCTTCTAAGAAACTGGTAAGACTTTGTAATTAAGGGATTTGCATCTTGATATTTTTTATTTATTGTATAAATGTTTGATAAATATATATTTTAACACATTAGAGTTTTAATTATGTCAATAGAATATTTACGTTTTTGAAATGTAAAATACTTTTATAAAATACCAATGTAAACGCAAAACGAAAACGTTTGGCTTTTACATTTACGTGACTAAAAAAATGCTAAAGGGTTGTAGGTTGATTTGGAAATAATACAACTGTAAACGCCATTTCAAGGTTCTAATTAACCTTCTTGCGGTTTCAGGAACGCTCACAACAGGAGTCAGGAACGGTGGTAGAAGCGATCAAAGGGAATGACAACAGAGCAGCGTCTCATCGGCTGCCATGTTATAAAACGAGCAACGGGGAAAACGACGACACAAAATCTCTGGCGACTATTAGCGGCGGAAGCGGTCCACAAAAGAAGGAAGCGGAGAAAAACATCGGTGGAAGCAGCAGCGGAAGAGGGCGTAGAAAGCAGAGGCGGTGTTGGTCGCAGGAGTTACACAAACGCTTCTTAAACGTTCTCAAACAGCTTGGTGGCCCTCACGGTGCGTTTCTTGATTTCATTTCACATTTTTAATATTCATAATTGTGAATAGGGTTCCTATATTAATTGATTTGTATTGCAATGTAATTTTGCAGTAGCTACGCCGAAACAGATAAGAGAGCTAATGAAGGTTGATGGATTAACAAATGATGAAGTCAAAAGTCATTTACAGGTTAGTGATAGTAAACTACAATACATAATTATAAAACTTCCATAATTGGTACAAAGTTTAAAGTATGTTTCTTGCCAAATTAAGACACTTGCGCACGTGATTTTTTAAGAGTACAGTAAAAGTTTTGTCGGTATAATAACTTTCTAAAAAAGCTACTTACCTCTTGAATTATTTTTCTTCAATTTCTCAGTAAAATATTTATTTCATTTTTTTCTTGGATAAAAATAGAAATACAGGCTGCATACAAAACGACCTAGCCAAACAATTTCTAACAACATAAACTCTCAAACGCAACATTTCGTGGTCGTCGGTGGCATATGGGTCCCACAGGCTAGCCACTCCACGGCCAACGCCGTAGCATCGGGTGAGACCAGCACTGGGATTTACGGTCCTATGGTCAGTGCGTTGCCGTCGGAGTGGCCGAGCCATTCCAATTTTTGCCGGACGATTTCGGAAGAAAGATCAAGATGCTCTAACAAAGGAATTCTTCGGTGTAGCTCACCAGCAATGTCTTCTTCTACTCGTACAAAGACTAAATATGCAAAATATCATAATTTTTGTAAAAAGTATTATTGATTAATAATCAAGTTAAAAAAAGTTATACACATTGATGATTTTTTTGATGAAAGGGTTTATATTACTAATACATAGGATACTATAATTTCTACAATATATTTTCACATTGTTGCTATCATATATGAAAATCAAAGGTTCATATTAAATTTTGAATCACCAGCTGTGCAATTCTAAATTATTAAGTTGGTGCATTTTGTTTAGCGAATATATTTGACCACGTTAGTCTAAACATTTACAGATGGAATCCATCAAAACCGGTTATATGAAATTAAAATATAAACCATCTTCTTAATTCCTACATATATATTAAATCTTTCTAAACCTCAGAGTCATACAAAGAAACGAAATTATTGATATTAACATATGTTTAGAAATATTCATATTTAAAGGGTTAACTCTGAATATTGGAGGAGATTATCGACTTTAAGACCGAAAACTTTTACAATTAATTCAAAAGAAACATATCTTTAGGAAACTTTAGCCACCACAACTATACTAATTTCTTCCTTAATATATGTGTTGTCGGCCACGTTTATGCATACTAATAAAGTTATAAGATACAGAAGACATTAGAGAAAATATACTATGTCTTGAGAAAAAGAAGAAAATATACTATATCTCGTTAGCCGGAAGTATATGGGCTTATTCATGGGAAGAATATGCTGGAATCTGAAGAGCATAGTTTGCAAATTTTCTATAAAGAAAATACACACTACTTTTTTAGTTATAACTTTATTCACTTGTTGCTAGATTAATATTAAGACAATTGTGCACGTTGGGCTCCTATTCGTAGAGTGTATTATTCTTTATTTGTTACCTTTAGTTTTGTAATGCTGTTCAATTGTTATCTATGACCCCGTAAATCTTAAATCGAAATCAAGATTTAATCTGAAAACATGTTTTTTTTTTTTTTTTTTTTTTTTCAACAAAGACATTTTATATCATACTTATTCTCCATCAATAGAGAAAATGTTTACAAAATGCAAAAACAAAGCCAAATGGGCGAAAGAAACCGATGCAACAACAGCATATCGGAAAGCTAACATAAGAGAGATAGAGGCAGACACAACACTTAACACACTAAGACCAACCCCAATGGTAACACCAAGAGATCTAATAAATGTTCTTAAGAATATAATTGAATAAAAAAATTATAAAGAGTGTCTTAACTTTTAGACCAGTGTCTAAATTAGGATCTTTATTCTTATTTAAGAACGAACACGTGGCAGATTATAAGTGGATAGGGAAAATTGACAAAAAAATATTTCATTTTTATTTTTCGTTTCTGTCTTCCTCTTTCTCTCTAACTGATTCAGTTCGGTTCGGTTTGCTGAATCGAACGGTTACCCAAAATTTTTTTTTATTAAGAAAAACAAATTATACCAAAATATATCAAATTATACCGAATCGAATATTCAAACTATCCGAAAATATCCGAAATAATCCGAATCTATCCGAAATTAACCGAATTTAACCTAATTTAAAAAAAAAAATTAAAAGTTTGGATAGTTTCAGATAAGAAACTTCGGTTATTTTCGGTAGAATTTCAGTAATACAAACTATCTGATTATCCAAATTATCCGATTTAAATTATCCGAAGTATCCGAAATCTCATGCCTAGCAACAAGCACTAGAATTCTAAAGGAGAAGGCTTTTCAGCAAGCATTGAATTGCATTTCTATAATTTATATGTTTATATGTATTACCTTTGTGAAAATATATTATGATTTAAAATTTGTTAAAATAAATTTTACATAAATTTATTAATTTTTTTTTTAAGACACTCATCAAAGTGTCTCCATTGTATGCTTAAAAACAACAAAATTCTACTAAGTGTCTTATATATATAAAGTACACAAAATATTAATAATTAATCATTAAGACCTTTTATAGTGGTGTTACCATTGGGGTTGCTCTAAAAAGATGGAAGAAGTCCTCTAAACTCAGTACCATTAGTGTTAAAAAGTGAGGTGCAGCGATAGAGCTTAGAAAGCATGGCTAGCGAAACTGCAACACAAGGTGCAAAGATAAGATAAAGATAGATAAGAACGAAGAGAATAACAAGGCTTGATATATCATGTAACAAGCCTGCTATCTCATTTAAACCCCTTCCCAAAACGAGGGAGAAAGCAAAGACATTATAGTCCGTTAATAATTGTAGCAAGATACCACATGTGAAACCTGAATCCTGGAGCGCCAAGGGAAGAGCAAAGGCTTCGCGAAACATGAGCTGTAGAGGTGAATGGGAGTTGTTGATGAGACTGGACCGAAACATAGTGAGGTCCACTAAACCATCAGCAAAATAATACTGGAGGAAACCGATTAGATCATCCTCACAATAGCCAAAACTCTTGATTCCATCCTCTGCTAAACCTGAAAAGACAGGTAAATATAGCAAAGACCCAATAGTTCGAAATGAACACAGTGGGGAAGTTTGAAAATCATCCTCATCCTGAGATAAAAGATAGCTTAGAGACAACCTAAAATCCTCATACTGAGGTAACGTAAACCACTTATGGAAGAAGTCGAAGTCTGATAGGAGCCAAAAACCAGAAATAAGTAACTTGTTCCAAGGGGTAGCAAATACATAACCTTTCGAAGCAAGGAGGGTGGAGGGCTTATCTGGCGGGTCTGGTGGGACAGGAAGGGCCAGAGGGTCTGGAGGAGCGAAAATCCTGAGCAGGTATGGGGGAACCTTCGTCCTCGACAAGTCTGGATTTGGCGGAGACAGAACAAAGGGGTCACCACACACAACGACCAAGAGCTCTGGAAACATCTTTCTCGGCGGCGGATCTGGCGTCTGCGACAAAGTGAGGGACTTACTTGGGAACTCAGTCCTCAAAAGCTCCACAAAGCCCTTCGATAATTCCATCGGAGATAGATCAGTTTCGACAACCGCTGAGAACATATCTAAAAGTAGAGAAGTGACCGGTGGAAGATTTGGATCTGGATCCGGATGAGGAAAAAGGAGAGGTGAATCTAAATCCCGTGTTAACACTAACAGAGTCATGACAGGAAGGAAAAGGAAGAAGGAAGAAAAGAAGAGGAGGGAGAAAGGAGAGATTCTCGCCGGTGGGCGTGAGGCCTCACCGACAGCGGCACACAAAAGGGAAAACCCTAAATCGAGAAACGAGAACCCTTCAAAAAATCTGAAAACATGTTAAAACTACATTTTCATGCCAATTAATTTTCTGGTTCGATCATTTCATATGGCTCTATAACGGGGCTATACACTAGAGTTTAGCACCAAATTGATGGATTTTTAAAAGTTGACTAAATAATTTTAGTTGAAATAGGAAGACCATCGGGAAACTCGAATCTAGAGAAAAGCTATTGGCGTTCTCGATATTTCAAATCTTCAGCTTCAATAATATTTTAACTATTTTTACGATTCTATAGATATGCGTACGTATATATATATATATATATATTATATAAAATAAATAAAATAATTTGATGATAGATCCGAAAGAACAGAAACCGGATTAGGGTTTCCTGAAGATATGATAAATTAATAGGTCAGGGATGGCTAAGCTAATAAAATCAGGTCTTAATGTGACCTTTCGCAGACACTAAAAGCCTAAACAGCTCTTGATACTTACTTTAGGACGAAATCAAAACATGGAAATAAAAGCAACCAATGCTTTTCTTGGTCTACTTCTCGTATTAACTAATGTTATATCCATATGGAATATTCGACTAGATCGATTTAGTAATTGTATAATGTTAGTTCATTCTACGTTTGCGTGTAAACTTATATAGATTGATGAGAACATTCTTTAAGTTTGTGCTAATCGTGTTATAATTTTCTCTTAAATGAGATTAGGATCGATCAAACCAAGTTTGACATTGTCATATCATATAGTCTTATAGATCAAACTTTCAAAGATTCTTTCTTCTATTGACGACGATGAGGTCGAAACCAGTCAAATTGGAAACAATTTTTTCTTTCTTTCAATATTACGTGATTTTCTAATAATAGTTATATACAATATGAACTGTCACACAGCTGCACGTAAAATATAGTTGATATTATGAGATATTTATTATTATGAGATATTTATTTACTAGTATTTTTTAGTGACTAGTTGCCATAGCATATTCAGTCAGTAACATGGATTAGTAAAAGAACATGTACATGTAGTATTATCTATCTAATGATCTGGTTAAAAGTTTCGAATTTATTACTTCTGCCAAACAATGATTTGGAATTGATGGAAGTACGAAATCTCATGACCTCAACGTTGAGTGCTTCTTAAAATTTGCATACGATTTGGGTTAATGAGCCCACAATAAGTATTCGAAAGTAGAAGACTGTTTCTAGTCTCCGAGGTAAAGCGATTTTGAATGGCCACTTCATATTCATATATACCCAATAAGTTTTATGTCCGTAAGAATAGAAATTTGAAATTGGTTTTCTATTAGTAAAAATAATAGTAACGTTCTGAAATAAACTACCAACTATAAACAATCTTACAATGTTAGGAAATTATCTCATGTTGTGCGGGCAATCTTTGATGGTCAAGAGACTCAGGGGGAAACAAATTAATCACTAATTTGAATCTTGTGTTCTTTATCTTTTAAACCTTGTGGAGATCATTGCCTCCAAGTTTATAGAGAAGTTTTTCTGTGTTGTATTAAAGGACAATCTATAGCCTTTGTGGTGCACTTCAATCCTTCGGTTCATATTTTCATAACATCCGACCATCAGTTTTAACAGTTTGAGTTCCTCGACTGTTCGACCAAATTTCATCCTCCCACCATACTGCCTATCGTCACGTGTACCGTCCCCTCGTCACGCGTACCACCCACTCTCATCTCGTGTACCGATTTCTCGTCACGCATAGTACCACTCATCGTCATGGGTCATACCGCCCATCATCACACCCTGTTCCATCTCGTACCCCTCATATCACTGTTCATCCGCGTGTCTTGTCCCACATCCCGGTCCATTAAAAACAAACATTCTTTATTTTTAATTTTCTCTATAAACAACTGTAACTAACTCCTTTATGGTTTAATGAGAAATACAAACATTTTTACTCTTTCTCTCTCTACATCTAATCAATCTCACACATGTTCCATCTGATTCGCTTGTCCAGGATTAAGTGTTACATTCTCACTATTATTTCAATTTACCGCATAACTTGTCTCACATTCTCATCACTCTGGTTACCGTTATATTCGAAATATAAAATTATAGTTTCTATTAAAGATTATTATTTCAGTCTTGTTCTAAACAAGTCATAAATTCACGAGATTAAAGAGCATTAAATATGGTCATCCAATTTATGATCATAGCCACTACGTTTTTGGTGGAGGGGGTGAATCACAAGACAACTTAAATATGTTTTCCATATGAATATCATTCACTCTCTCTATTTAAACAATCCAAAAAGGTACTATTAGGCGTCAAAAGAAGAAGATGGATACAACCCGTTTTCCTATTTCCACTTAGCTTTAAATTTATTTCAGATTCTCACAAGGAGCCTTGATATGATTTTCACTTGAATTGAATGGTTAATATAATATTAGTATTGTGACCAGTGATTCTTATTTTGTTTTTGAATATGGGGGTTCTTGCTGCATCTTTTAATTTTTTGTTTAAAAACTCTTGGTCTTTAAAGTTTTTTTTTTTTTTTGTCAGATATCGTTTTGTGTGGGTGTGTGTGTTTGGTGTCATTGTACCTACAAAAACAGAAACATGGTTTTCATTTTAAGACAAAATAGAAATTCAGAGAAGAAATAGATTCGGAGAAGAAAAAATTGAGTTGAGAATTAGGAATTGGGAAATCGAATTGAGGATTTTTTGGTTTCTAGAGTGAGCTTTTCTTTTTACAAACGACGTTTAAAATTAAAATAAACGATAGTTAACATCAATTAAATATTGTTAAGTTTGACTAATCTTGTACCTATTTTAACTAGGTTGACATAAATTTATGCTTCTTTTAGCTTAATAGAAAGTATGTACTTATTTTGGCGAAATCAGATAATTAAGTTTTTTTTGTTGTTGTCAACAACCTCAATAATCCTGTAATAGCTCAATGAGCCAGTTTGGAGGAATTGAGTTTACATAATATATATGATAAATGATTTCTTTAGCACTTCGTGCTAACTTGTCTGCCTTCGTGTTCTGCATGCGTGGTATCTGAACGATTGAGAAGGAAACAAACTCCCTTCTACTGATCTCAAACTCCTCTAAATGTATAGCGAATGCCGGCCATTCCTCTAGATGCGATACCATCTTCACTAATTCTGAGCAATCTGTTTGAAAACTTACCTCTAATCTACTTGCATCTAGCATACAATGCATACCCCAGATCAAAGCTTCCAATCTGTGTGTAGAGGGGATATGCTCTGACGCACATTCCTCGCCCCCACCAAAGTACCCATCATCTCAAAACTTGACAGAACCAGCCCAAGCCTGTATTTGGCGATGATTGTTTCCATGACCCATCGATCTGGCAAAGTAATCCTTCTGTTTGAATAGTCATAGCAATGGATAGGGTCCGATCCCCCAATGACATATCGAGTTGTGCCTCTTCCCAAGCACTCGCTTCTGCTGTCTCTAATCGGACCATTTCTCGCGGATCTCAATCAATATTTGAAAAAATCTTATCATTTCTCATTTTCCATATGTACCATAATAACCATGGGTAAATTTTCATATCTTTGTGATCCGGCAGATGCCAAAACAAATGTGTCATATTCGAAAAAAGTGCCTCTGTAGGAAAACTATGCAAAGGTGTGGGGATCACTGATAATGCCCAAACTTGAACAGCCGGTGGACATGTCAAAGAGGGTATGATTAATTGTTTCACGTACCGCCCCACAGCGACTACAATGAGCATCACATTTAATTCCTCTACTTTGAAGTCTATCTGTAACCGCCATACAACCTGATATCACCTGCCATAAAAATGTTTCACCTTTGGTGGACATTGACAGACCACACAAATGCCTATAACTTCCTCACATCTGGACCGTAAGTTTGCAAAGCAGTGGAAGCCCGTATTGTCTGTTCAGTTAGGTATCCCGATTTTACTGTATAACGACCAGTTTTAGTAAAACACCATCTCAGAGAGTCCAGTCTCCTATTTCTAGTAGTAGGAAGCCCCATGATTAGTGGTATATCCTCTGAAGCTATCAGTTGTTTGATTAGTGGTAAATTCCACGTAGAAGTTGAAGGGTCAATCAATTGATTGACTGTTAGCTTTGGGTATAAATTATATCCTTTGCATATTGCTGATCTCGGGCGTGAGTCAGAAATCCATGGATCATTCCATACAGATATAAAGTGACCTGATCTGACTCTTTTGATGAGTCCCTTTTGAACCAGAGATCTAGCCAAAGTTATACTTTTCCAGCCGAACGATGCAGAGTATGACCGAATTGGGTCTAGTGGTGTTCCATTCCTAAAATATCTGCCTTTAAAGACTCGTGCAAAAAAGGGAGTCTGGGTAGTCAATAAGCCACCAAAGTTGTTTAGCTAGCAGTGACGTATTAAAATCTTTAATAGCTCGAAAACCAAGACCTCCATCCATTTTGTGTTTGCATAATTTATCCCATGCTATCCAATGTATCTGTCCATTAGTACTCCACCAGAATCTCGCCACTGTACTTGTAAGTTTAGAGGTTAAGGTCTTTGAGAGTCGAAAACATGACATAGCATATGTCGGTACTGCTGTTGCCACTGATTTTATGAGAACATTTTTACCCCCTTTCGATAATAACCTGGATGTCCAACTATTAACTCTCTTCTGTTGCCGTTCTAGGATGAAGTTAAAAATTTTCGTTTTTGCCCCTCCCATACTTTCTGGGATTCCTAGATAAGTGCCCATACCCCCGACATTGGAAATGCCTAATGTAGCATGTATAACATTCCTTGTATTTATCTCCACTTTATGCCCAAATTCAACCGATGACTTGTTAAAACTAATTTGTTGCCCTGAAACTTCCTCATATTGCTTTAAAATATTAAGCAAGGCAATTGATTCGTCTTGTGTGGCTTTACAGAAGAAAAAACTATCATCCGCAAAAAACATAAGTGAAACTGCCAGGCTAGCCCTAACAATTTTCATGCTCGTAATTAATCGATCCTGTTCTGCCTTTTTTAATTTGAGATAAGCACCTCTGTACATAAGATAAACAGGTATGGGGATAAATGGTCCCCTTGTCTTAACCCTCGATTGGGAGTTATGTGTCCCCTTGGATGACCATTAATGAGGACCTTATATTGTACAAACCCAATACACCACATCATCCATGTAATCCATTTTTCTACAAACTCCATTTTCCGAAGCAAATGTTCGACAAAGGACCATTCGACTCGGTCATATGCTTTACTCATATCTGTTTTTACTGCCATAAAATCCTTCTTGCATGAGTTGTTTGTACGTAAACCGTGAAATATCTCTTGTGCGATCAAAATATTATCCAAGATAAGTCTACCCGACACAAAGGCTGGCTGTGTCTCCGAGATCAACTTGGG